GTGTAAAATGCTCAATCTTAGGTTTTTTTGTGTCAAGTTTTATGCACTGTTGTTTATCTGTTCATCTTGATTACCCACTTTATATCTTCTTTCCTTTATATCTTCTTTCCTTTTAGTCCATCATTAACTACCACTTCTGACACTATTTACCCAAAAGCTCTCATACATGGTAGGAATATTTATCAAAACTTATAGTTTACCATAGTATCTGCCATTTTGATCTACTATTATTGAATGAGTTATTGCACTTAGACTTTGACATTTATTTGCCTGTTATTGAATAATGACACCTTAAGAAGATATCTCCTCTGACACCATCTACCCGAAAGCATTCATACGTGCATTATCATCATGATCATTGGAAGTGTACAATACCTTCATCCTTTTGGCTGGACAATATTTGCTGAAATTATTGGACTTTGACTATTTTTGGCCTATTATAGCATAAATTGCACTTTGTTAAGGTTACTTCTACGAGACTTCATTACAATGCATTAATGATGGGGAAGATTAAATATTTCAATACTGTGTAGTAATCTTGGTCATTTTGATGGAGTTTTTTACAATTTGAAAGTATGTAATTTTTCAAATAGACAATTTAGACTCTTAAGGTGAGAAATAATTAAAATTAGCGATCTTTCAGATTTCTCTGTATTTTGACATGCAACTAGAATTTAAAGTGCATACATTATAACCCCACCAAACTCTTTATGAGCCTGTCCCAAGTTAGGTCCTGAAATTCAGTGGTTGTCATTTGCTGTGTCTAATATATCTTTTGTTTTTATTGTTTCTAGCATAAATCATGTTGTTGGTTTTCTTTTTTATGTCCCCGCCGTAGGCAATGGGGGCATTAAGTGTTACCCTAGACTGTACTTTCGTCCTTCCATCCATCTTTTCGTCCGTCCGTTCCATTTTCGTTTCCACACTCTAACTTAAGTTTTCCTCATCCAAATTTTATGAAACTCATACACAATGTTAGGACCCAAAACTCGCAGACGAAGTTCAAATTTGGGTGGTGAGTCACTTACCGTTCTAGAGTTATGCTCCTTTATAACTTGGAAAATTGCAAATTCTTTTCATTTCTGCACTCTAATTTAAGTTTTCCTCATCCAAATTTTATGAAACTCATACACAATGCTAAGAACCACAACACGCAGACAGAGTCATTTACCATTCTAAAGTTATGCCCCTTTTTAAGTTGGAAAATTGCAAAGCTTGAGCGGGGCCATTCTGTCCTCAGACACATTCATCTTATATTTGAATTGATTCATATTTTGGTTTGCTGAGGCCTTTTATAGCTGACTATCAGTATGGGATATACTTATGGTTGAGCCTTTACAGTGCCCTATAGTTATGCCCCCGCCGTAGTGGAGGGGGCATTAAGTTTTACCCTTGGCCGTCTGTACGTCCGTATGTACGTCCCAAAATTGGTTTTCGGTCTCTAACTTTAGTTTGCCTCAACAAATTAGCTCAAAACATAGATCAAGTTTGAATTTTGGTGTCGTCACTTTTACTGTTCTAGAGTTATGCCCCTTTACAAATGGAAAAATTGCTGAAAGATTCGTTTCTGTTCTCTAACTTTAGTTTGCCTCAACCAAATGTTATGAAACTTATGAACAATGCTAATTACCACAAAACACAGATCAAGTTTGAATTTTAGTGGCCTCACTTTTACCGTTCGAGAGTTATGCCCTTTACAAATTGAAAAATTGCTGAATTTTTCGTTTCCGTTCTCTAACTTAAGTTTGCCTCAACTAAATGTTATGAAACGTATACACAATGCTTATTACCATAAAAATCAGATCAAGTACAAATTTGGGTAGCGTCACTTTTACAGTTCTTGAGTTATGTCCCTTATTAACGTTATATGCAAGAGGGGGCATCATCTGTGTCCCATGGACACATTTCCCATTTATTTTTTATATCCTTTGGTCTCCGGTGGATAGTATTTTCATTTGCAACCAAACCACATCTTCTTGTTTTTATATGGTATAATTGAAAAGAAGGAATAAAGTGTATTAAGGTGGTACATAACACTACAGGGAGATAACTCTGTAAACATCAGCTGAACGTTTTAATCAAGTTCTATTGTTAATGAAATATTAAGCTTCTCAATGATCAAAAGTAGTGTTTGTCAAACTGCTATATATCCAATGAAATTTTTCCGATTAAGTGTGTGGTTCAAGTTTTTTGAAAATTTTATATTTTTGTCAAAGCGTCAAAGTAAATATTTTGTCAAAATTTTATGAAAATTAAACGAGCCAAATTAATTTTAGTCCAGGTATTTGGTACCACCTTAATTAATTACTCAAAATCCAAACACAAACTTGACTAACATGACTAAATCCCGAGCAGAAGAACACAAACTTGACTAACATGACTAAACCCCAATCAGAAGAACACAAACTTGACCAACATGACTAAACCCCAATCAGAAGAACACAAAATTGAGTAACATGACTAAACCCCAATCAGAAGAACACAAAATTGACTAACATGACTAAACCCCGAGCAGAAGAACACAAACTTGACTAACATGACTAAACCCCAATCAGAAGAACACAAACTTGACTAACATGGCTAAACTCCGAGCAGAAGAACACAAACTTGACTAACATGACTAAACCCCAATCAGAAGAACACAAACTTGACTAACATGACTAAACCCCAATCAGAAGAACAGTGTTTCTATTGCTGTTCTTTATCATTAAAGTCATACATGTAGCTAAAACCTTCAACACAGAGCAAAAGCTCAACTTTCAATTCAAGTTCAAGATGGTCCTTGGCACCAGTTATATGTATATTTAGCTTTTATTTTTCTAAAAATAGAGATGTAAATGTATACAATGAATGTCAAAATATCAAGTAAAGTTGTGTTATTCCTCTTTGAATTAAACCCTTTACCTCCAATGATCTACGATAATGATATGATATTGCAGCTGACATTTTGGTTTCATTGATGCATAATGTAAAAGGGGTTACTAAATTCATTTTTATGCCTGGACCTACAATAGAAGGATTTGATTCCTAGTTTGTTCCTCCATCTGGCCCGAGAACACAGTTATATCGTAGTGCATTTCTTTTAGACAATAAATTCAAATTAAAAAAAAATGCACCTGCTCTATCTCAAAAATATTTTTAAAGTGTAGTGTACTACTTTTGGGACAAATAATATCAAAATTATGGAAAAGTCTACCGGCTCTATCTCAAAATATGGGCAATTCTATGTTAAGGGGGTCTAAAATTCAGTTTGACAGCTTCAGACATACTAATTTTTGACCTTTTTAAACGGGACCAAATCACTAATTTACATAAAAATTCATCACCCAAATTGTTTTAACATGTAATTTCATCTCCATACTTAATATTTCATGCTTAAAATATAAAGAAATAAATTTGGAAAGATTATGAACAAAATTTGCAAGTTATACACTGTCCACACTAGGGACTATATTTGTAGACAACTCAAATCAAAGGACAATAACTGTGTCCTCGGACCATCTGTTTGTCCGTCCTTTGTTATATTATTAAACTTTTGGTTTAAAGTAGTTTATCATGAATTTATCATCGCATCAATTTGAAACTTAATTCTCAAGGTCTTTATGATGTGAACTTTTTAAAAACATGCCAAATAAAAGTTATGACTCATATATTTTCCTGTTCATCATTGTTCATTGAAATGAGTGAAATCAAAATACAATCTTAGATTAGTAGAAGATTATTATGAGGTCATCAGGTCACATTAACTGAAAGTACAAATGTCCTTATGATGTGAAGTATCTTAAAAAAATGTCAAATTAAGGGTTTGACCATATTAGGGCATGGTGTCTAATATATAAATACTAATTCTTGTTGCTATACTATTATTGAGAAGTGTACATAATAATTCAATATTTAAAATACTGAATACAATTTTGTGCATGATGCACTAACAATGTTACACTTATTTTGTATTTTCAGCTTTTTTCTACACTGAATACAAGAATTATTTATGTATGCTTTAAAAACAAGTTCAATGACTGCTTTAAATTTTATATTATTATAACAGCATTTCAGAGATAGTATCATATCATTTTGGAAAAAAAAAATATTTGCAGGACAGGATTTTGAGAAATGGCAATTCCATACGCCATTTCCTTGGTAACATTTTGTATCATTCTTTACATTTATATGTCTGATAGACAGAATATTAATTACGACACTTCTGGAAGTTTACTGCTAGAGTAAATGAGTTCATGGAATATAGTGATTTTTTGTATTTGACATACCATGTAGATGGAAGTTGAGCTATTCTGACTTCTTGGTGCCATAAGTTCACATTAGGAACATATGGAACAGACATTGCTATACTAAGATGGCATCAGTTATTCAATAAATAAATAGATAGTTTAACTCTTTAATATTTTTGACTTTTTGTTTAACAATCAGAAAAAATATCCTGATAGAAATGCCTGGTCTACTATTTTTTCTGATAGAAATGCCTGGTCTACTAACTCCAACAAATCATATTAATACATGATGCTACAATAAATATTTCTGACTTCATTTAGAAGTCCAAAATTGTACAGTACCTTGCTTATTTAGAAACAATTTTGAAGATTTACAGAGAGATTTATCTAATAGTCATCTTGATTACAAATATTTTTGCTCGCTGCTCGTCTGAATCTTTGTCACAAGCACTTCCTACCCATAATTGTCCATTCTCGTCAATGTCCAGACTGTAGGGGTGTTTAATGCCAAGGTCAATCGTAGACTTAAATGCTATAACATTTCCTGCAGTGTTCAATATATGTATTGCACTATTTGCTGTGTCTGCAACCACTATTTTGCTTGATTCAGTGGTTGCTATGGCAGTAGGGAAAAATGGTTTCACATGTGTACTTGTTTCCTGTGGATCGTTATATTCCCACTTTCGATGTCCAAGTGAATTGACAGCCAAAACTCTTCCTGCGTGTTCACTAGTGTGGTCCAAAACACAGATTTGTCCAGCAATAGTTGTAATGCGATATGGAACAGTTATCAGTCTTTTCCCAGATGTGGTAAGTTCAAAGGATTTCACCAAGTTCCATGTTTCTGAATAGGCTATGAGCTTTCTTGTACTTGTTGGTTGAACTTCATAATTCCCAGGTTCTTTTAGTCCAAACCAGTATAAAATACCTGAATTAGTATGTTCAATATGAAGGCAAGTAGGCTCCAAAGGATCGAAATCAAAGATATTTAATATTTGTCTCTGACCAAATGCATCTGTGAATGCTCTTTTGAGATTTTGATCATCTCTAGACACAAACAAAATGTCTTCATTTATAAGTTCAATATTGTTAGCTTGGAAACCCTGAATTTGATCTGTCTGATTGCATTCTATATCTTTGTTCATCTTATTATAAATGTACCGTATGCAAAACTTCCTACTCTTTATTGGCATTTTGATCTTCTGAATTTCACTAATGCTATCACATCCTATCCAGGCAGATAAATACGACACAGTTTTAAGGCAATGAATCACTGGCATTGGTGTGACTACTGTATGTATGACATGGAAATCTACTGTGGTCAGGCAATACCCTTCTTCTTTGCTTTGAGAACGAGCAAGAAATCTAGGTGGCAAATGGTCAGATACCTCTATTCCTTCTGCCTGTAATTTCTCTGTAATAAATTGATCTATACCAAAAATGTCATGAAGTAAATGATTCTGAGGAATACAAGAATCACAGACTAAAAGTTCACAACTTTTGCAATATAGTGTGTAATGTTGATGTGGATGGCGCTGGCACGGTAACACCTTAATTTTGTTTTTTATCTTTCTGTCTAGCAGGCAGCAGTCAACATCATTAAACGAAATGATTGTATGTTCCTTTGTAGACTTTGCACTTGTATGAATAATTCTACAATTATCACAAATCTTCATGTTGCATTGAATACAGCGCCATTTAATATTGACCGTCCTTGTGCAAAGTCCACAGTAAATTGTGAGGTCAATGAGTTCCATGTTCATTTTCTAAATAGTTAATTAAAAGATTAATCCTGGAATTCACATTAAAGTTGTAAAAATATACACCTTGACACAAAATTGGTAATTATGCTTTGAATTTAATTACAGACTTCTTTGTCTGTAGTTTCCATTCGAGAATGGAACTTTATTTTGTTGAATATCATTTTTAAAGATATCTTTGTAAGGAAAATATTTAAGGTAAACTTGTGAGCTTCCTTATATGGCTTTACATTTATACAATATTATTCATGTATTGCGTAACTACATGTGATAGTAAAAAATATGGGAAATCTTATTTAATTTCTTCCCTGGTTGAATGAAGTATCATTCTGTCAGGTGATTTTAAATATTATTTCAAGTTCATTAAATCTATGTATGAAATTTAAGAAGGAAACAATAATGTGTCTCTAAGTGTAGCCTTGCTACCACAATTTTATATGAAATTTATTGAAGAAAAATACTTAAAAGTTGGATCTTTTTTGCTAAGGTTTAAGATTTTCTCTACTAAATGTATCTTATGATTTTTAAAATAGAATTTATAATATTTATCTGAGGATATATAAAGAGGACCCCTTATTTAATCATGGTAACTTTGCCATTACAATCAAACATTTTGTTAAGCAGCTAAGCTTAACTTTGACTAAGCATGATGTATCACTAGCCATAAACTGTTAACCATGCACTTTTAAAAATAAATAAATATATGTGATGGCAGTTCTCTGGAAGTCTGTCAACTTTATTAACAGCTGATCTTTACTCATGCTCATTTAGAGCTTGATATATGGTATCTATAGGCACTTGCCTCTCGTTGTCCTCTATACATCTCTTTTTTAGCTCACCTGGTCCAAAGGGCCAAGTGAGCTTTTCTCAACACTTGGCGTCTGTCATCATCGTCTGTTAACTTTACAAAAATCTTCTCCTCTGAAACTACTGGGCCAAATTTAACCAAACTTAGCCACAATCATCATTGAGGTATCTAGTTTAAAAAATTGGTCTGATATTTCCAACCAAGATGGCCGACATGGCTAAAAATAGAACATTGGGGTAAAATGCAAGTTTTCTCTATTCTTTTGGAAAACGTTATAAATAAAGGAAATCTGACAGGAGTGAAATGTTCAGAATGTTGAGCTCTACCTATTGTCTATGTATGTCAAAACTGTCAGACGATTTCTTATAGGAGTTATTGCCCTTAAGTGACAAATTTTACCATTTTTTTAGCTCACCGCGGCTTGAAGGGCATCATGTGAGCTGTTGCCATCACTTGGCGTCCGTCGTCGTCTGTCGTCGTAAACTATTTCAAAAATCGTCTCCTCTGAAACTACTTGGCTAAATACCTTCAAACTTTAACTAAATGTTCCTTAGAGTATCTAGTTTATAAATTGTATCCAAAGTTTGTATCCATCGACAAACATGGCCGCCATGGCTAAAAATAGAACATAAGGGTCAAATGCAGTTTTTGGCTTATATCTCAAAAACTAAATCTTTTAGAGCAAATGTGACAGGGGTAAAATTGTTTAATTGGTCAAGATCTATAGGCCCTGAAATTTTCAGACGAAATCGAACAACCCATTGATGGGTTGCTGCCACTGAATTGGTAGTTTTAACAAAATTTTGCAGTTTTTTGTTATTATTTTGAATATTATTATAGATATATATAAACTGTAAGCAGCAATAATGTTCAGCAAAGTAAGATCTACAAAAAAGTTAATATGACCAAAATTGTCAATTGACCCCTTAAGGAGTTATTGCCCTTTAAAGACAATTTTACACAATTTGTTCATCAAGTTTGCTAACATTTAAAAATCTTCTCCTCTGAAATAAGGGTGAGCGATTCAGGCCCTTAGAGAGCCTCTTGTTTCATTTGTGCCTTTTATCTTGAGAACTGTAATAGATAAGGAGAAACATTAAAGAGCAAAAATGATCAGCTAGACATGTTCTACAAATAAGTCTAATGGTTGAAATCGTCAGTCGACTCCTTATTAGAGTTATGGCCCTTTGATGATGAATTTTTACCAAATTTTTGCGTTTTGCCTTCTATCTTAAAAATTATAATAGATAGATATAAACTTAAATAAGATAAAATGATCAGCAAGACAAGATCTACAATTAATACAATATGATGGAAATCGTCCCAGTACTCCTTATTGGAGTTATTGCCCTTTAATGACGATTTTTACCATTTTATTTGCGTTGTGCCTTATATGATAAAAATTATAAAAGATAGCTATATAGATAGAAACTTTAATAAGCAAAATTGATTAGCAAGACAAGATCTAATAACAAGTCAAATTTTGCCGATATAGTTAGTAGACTGTCATTCCTTATAGAAGTGATTGCCTTTAATTTAGGAATTTTTTTTTACCCTATTTTGTGTTTTGAGCAAAAACTAAAGAAGATAGAGAGAAACAAAACAGACTAAATGATCAGCAATACAAGATCAACAAAACAAGAGATTTTTGTCATGAATTCCATTCTCGCCTACAATGTTGGAGAGTGTCATTTGTTGAATATGCATAAAGACCAAGGTGAGCGACACAGGCTCTTAAGAGCCTTTAATTCTGATTTTATTATACCAACTTATGCCTCACATCTCCTTATAATCATATTTTTTATGCCCCCGCCATCACTAGAAGGGGGCATTAAGTGTTACCCTTGGCAGTCTGTACGTCCGTCTGTCTGTAAGTACGTCCTGAAATTTGTTTCCGTTCTCTAACTTAATTTGCCTCAACCAAATGTTATGAAACTTATACACAATGCTTATTACCATAAAACACAGATCAGGTTAGAATTTGGGTGGCGTCACTTTTACCATTCTTGAGTTATGCCCCTTTATAACTTTATATGCAAGCGGGGGCATCATCTGTGTCCCATGGACACATTCTCCATTTATTTTCAAATCAATAAACATTTGTCAAAAGATAAATCCCTAAAAAAAGAAACTAAATGTGACACTATTTTGTTTGAATTTTCTTTCTCTACTTATTAAGTACTTGTTTTGTATGAATAATTGGTTTGTTAAAGTCAAGTAGTGTGAACTTAACAATGTTTGCATTTATATATCTGTGAGCCTACATTAGAATTCACTTAAAAAAGTTTTTAAAAAAAAGGTAAAGTTTATGTTGTTTTCATTTCATGTCAAAACAGTTACTGTATATAGCCAAATAATGGGTTTACTATTTGAATTTCCTAATAGATTGTGAAACTGTAAATACACTCCTACAGGAATAAATAATCTGAATCACCAGGAAAATGGATCTTAAAACAAAAAGATAATCTTTAAAATAATCTGTCAAAACTGTTTTTAGATTTCCTTTGTTAAATATTTGTGTAAATAAAGATATTTTATCTGTCATTTGATACTTTAAAATGACGTACTACGGAAGAAGTGTCCTGTATGAAAATACAGTTGGAAAACCAATGAGGTGAGAACAATAGAAAAATAACTCATCTTATGAAAAAGTCTACAAAATCAATAGTTTGTTTATGTTGGTAACCATACTAATCAAAAATTATTTATAAACCACAATAGTACATTTTATAAAAATAGTCTGTTAAACTCATTCACTTAAAATATACATGCAAAAAACATGATCTCTTTTTTTTATTATTTTCGAGATACTTTTTAAATTATTAGATTTTTGTTAAAATAGATTTAAGAAATGTTAATCTTAAAAAAATTGCTGCATATTGATAACAAAAAAATTTCAAAAAATCATGTTCATAAAAATCTTAAGCTCTTTTCAGGTACCAATTTTTAAAGTGTTCCACATATAGTCCTTATTATGTTACAATTTCCCAAAAATAAATTGAGGTTGGTACACCAGAAATTTATTCGCATAGCAACATTTTATACTAATTTTGCACAAAACTCCCATGGCCTGCTTTTTTCATTGTTTGCTATAAAAAAAAAAAAATTATAACATTATATTGTGATTTTGTTTATATATCTTTTAATCTAAATTTTTACAATTTTTACCAGAACACTTTCTTGTGAATTTATAATCAATTATTTCCTTGCGGAAAACAGGCCAAGCATTGATTAGGATCAAGTTTTCAGTGTTTGCAAGAGAGACAATACACTGCACTTGCTTGCTTAAGGATTCTATCTGAAGAGATATGAATTTTAAAAAATATTCACCTTAATTGTATGCAGCATTTCTTGATATGCAAATAATTATAATGTGTGGATCAACTACAACAGTAATAAATTTTCAAAGAAAGATACTTCAAAATTGTTTTGGATTAAGGGCAAAACGTGACATGAAAATGTTATACTACTGATATGGGATGTAAACCTGTTAAAATTGGGTTAGAAATGGAGTTTTTGCTATGTATTCACCTTTTAACAATTTAGGTATAAGCATTGAAATAGATTTCCATTTTATTAGCAAAAAAGGTAAAGTTTGAAACAGCATAGATTTATTTGTGTTAAAAACAGAATATAAATATCTATGTTGCAATTGTGAAGCTAAACATACTGATTACAATGAATATCAAACTCTAAAAAAAAGAAAAAACAAATATTGACTGTCCTTTTCAAACAGAGAAAAGTCAATTTTCTTGAGCATAGCTCCAACTGTTTATTAGTTTTGGATTGTGGAGAGTTTGGAATGAACAATAAATTGTTTGTAGACATTCCTTAGTTGGACTAAATACCAGATACACAACAACCTACCATCAACACCTTTCAAGTAAGAGATTTCTGATGAAGCACTAGCAGGTCCTTTATGATGAAGAAATCTAACAAGAAAAGAAATGAATGGTAAAAGATAAGAAGAAAAAACAAGGATGAACACTCCTCCTTTTCCAAAAAAAAAAGAGCCCATGTGTTTGAGCAATTTCAGTTTTGTTTAATACACTTGCAATAATGCAGAAGCTGAAAGGGGATTGAAAGATTGAAATTTTGTGGTACAAAGTTAATAGCTAATTAACTATTTCAGGGGTTCAAATGAATAAATGAATGTGTATTTGAGGTCTTGATCTCTTCTTTTCTTGTTCTTGGAGGGGACTTCATTTTTGAATTACAAAAGTCAAGGATCTCCCATCCTTTGCACTGATGCTATATACAAGACCATTGGCTTTCTTAAGCTGGACTTTTTACCTATGAAAATAAGAATAGTCCTGGTATGGACATTATATCTGTTCTGGCTGAATAGATCTTAGTGAGTCTGGCAAGATGAGCAATTCATGATCTTTTGATCCACTAGTTTAGAAACAAAATGGGCATGTAGCAAGAATTGTGGGACCAAAGTTAAAAATCTATCTTTTCATTCCAGGTGAGAGATGGATCTGATGAAAATGCAGATCTTCTGGGTCGTTGGTGTGGTAACGAAGTCCCTGCAGTTTTGTCATCAACAGGAAATAACCTATATATAGAATTTAGATCAGATGTCTCTACAGCAGGAAATGGATTCAAAGCTGACTACACTACAGGTATTCATTGGTTCAACATCTTGATTGTTGTAATCAAGTGCATGTTACATGTTTTAAAATCACATGAAACTACATCTTATGGCATGCCCAAAGATTCATTTCTTAAGGAGATCTTAAAAAATGCAAAATGATAAAACAACCTGTTATAATCAGAATACAAAGTGTGAACAAATATTGAAGGAAGCAAAGGCAAAATTCATGAATGGTAGAAAAAACACAACCTACTGTGGATTAATTTATTTTCGTTGGTACCAATTTCGTGGATTGTGGAAAAAATTGTATTTTCGTGGATATTTGATTCACTGTTTTGCCAATGTCTGCATACAAGCCTATACAGTAGTGTCCTGTAATTCCGTCCGTCCGGTAAATCCGCCCACTCCCATTTACTTCCGTAATTGTCACTTCCATGTATATTTCGTCTGCTGTTTTATTCATAGGAACTGTACTTATCATTACTGCATGTCAAATGTTAAAGAAAAATCCTTTATTACGAAAATATCTAGTGATATATATAATACAGTTCCTAAAGCTAACGATAATCTATTATTGCTTACAAAACTCGTTTCTGCCTTGAAATTTTTTTTTTCCTGATTGTCTGGAATCCCTTTTATAAATCATTGTAAATGGTCTATTAATAGATCACTTTTCCTTTCATAAATATGTGATCAACTGGCCCTCCATACATATTTACTGCCTATTGGCGGATTTACCGGACAAACACATTTCAGATAAAAACACAGATGACCCACTTGTTTTGTTGATTTTAAAATTTATTTCAGACATTTTTGGGGAAATGAGATAAACTACTCAAAATAGATTTGCCAGTGAATCGATTAATGTTAAATTTGATACAGTTTGTATATGATTAAGCAGAAATACATACGGTCAAAGCTTTATGTTGGCGGATTTACCGGACTGCATCGTAGAAGAACATTGAAATTACTAGTTCACATATACCCACCAAATCCATGAAAATTGGTATCCCACTTATAGTCAACAGTAAATCCTCAGCCAAAAATAGTTAATCCTTTTGCCAAGAATATTTGTGAAAGTTAGAAGGCAACATTATTGCCAGGCATTTATGAACTTCTTCCTCCCATTATAAAGTAGTTCTTCATCCATAGTTTATAGAACTGAAATAAATATGTTTGTTCAGACAAAGGAAAAGTAATGATGAATAGACTCAGTACAGCTAAATTGATTTTGAATTTTGAACAAATTTTTGAATGCAGAAAAATTTATATTTCTTCACTTCATACTGATTGTAGGGTGTGGAGGAACCTTTACAACTGAGGAAGGAACCATTCAGTCACCATACTTCCCTAATGCTTATCCTGGCAACAAAGAATGTATCTATATCATAAGTTTACCTGCAGGCAGCAGGATCACCTTGACCTTCAGTTCTTTTGACGTTGAAGACTCGTCAGATTGTAGCTATGATTATGTAGAGGTAAGATTTGATAAACTGTTACTATAATCACTCATTATAATTCAAAAGATTATTGTCAATGTTTTGTTGGAATAATTTTTAAAGCCCTTATGTACTCCACAAAGGAGTAGGGGCATTAAGGTCTAGGTTTGGCCCAAGAAAATAAAGATTTTGAGAACTATTTCAAATTTGCACATATTGTTTGAAAATGCATAAAATCAAGAAATATAAATGAATTAGATAAGATTTTTGATGTTATGACGTCAGAATTACATCAAAATATGCACCATTTCCATAAAAACAAACTTTATGCAGTTTTCCGTCAATATTTCCTTTGTGGAAACATTGTGTGCAGGCAAGAAACAACAAAATAATTTAAGAGAAGCTTTAGTAAAACCATTGACATATTCTAACCAAATATAAAGTTGTTTTTTGGGTGCGCACATACTTTTACAATATATATTTGGTGTATGGAATGATTGTAAGGTACACATGTCTGTCTGGCAGGTTTCATATGACCTTGACCTTATTTTCATGGTTCATTGGTCAATGTTAATGTTTCATGGTTTGTCAGGTTATCACATTAAGCAATAAGTCAACTATAATTTTATAACAAATAGGTCTGAAAATTAGATTTCTACTAGAAAAATCGATGGAGTTTCAGCTTTACTTCAGACTATTATAAAATTAATTTCTGATTTGTTTGTAATTTTGTACTTTTGTTCATTGTATTTATGCTTAACTTAGAGTGGTATGTAAAGAGATGCAAATCTGAAAAAAGGAAACTTTGAACTTCTTTTGAATAAAGAAAGCAATAAAAATACAATAATAAAAATATTTAAATTTAGGCATCATTTTTTTGTAGATTCGTGATGGAACAAGTGCTGATTCAGGAATCCTCAATAAATTTTGTGGAAGTCAGGTTCCAGACCCAGTAACAACAACACAGAACAGCATGTGGGTTAAGTTTGTCTCTGATGGTTCTGTCCATAATACAGGATTCCAAGCTTCCTATGCTGCCAGTAGTGCAGGTATTGAACTATTTTATATGTAAATTAATAAAAAAAAATTTGACACTGACATTATACAATTAGGTGTAAGAAATATTCTCAACATAAAGTATATCTCACACCCAAGTATAGTAATAAAATAACCCCCAATGAAAATTGAATAAAGGTTTCCATTTCTTTATGAAGGTTAATTATCCAAAGATTTGTAGACAGATATTTTCTAAAATGTTTTTTCTAAATTTTGTGCCGACATTCTGGTTGTTTTTGCTATCATGTTACCATATATGATAAATAGCTTTTAGGTAAAAATAAAGGGAGAGATGAGGGGGGGGGGGGGGGGGGGGGGGGGGGGGGGGGTGAACATTAGTGAGATTACATTCCTGAAACAAAAGACTGGACAAGATACACTTAAATTTTAACAATAGACAAGTATCAATAAATTATTTTCATATTACAAACTTTTGACTCTGGAGTATACTTTTTTTTGACAGGTTGCCTACTCTGTGGTAAGACATTCCAGTATTAGGTCAAGTAAGAGCAACCGAAAGAAGTAAAATCAAGCTTACAAAGGTGCAATTTGGGGAAATAATTAACTGTATTATGTTTCTATACACTACAAAATCATCAGAAAACAAAAACACTTAATTTTTACCCCAAATTGCACTGATTGTAAGCTTGATTTTACTTCTCTCAGTTGCTCTCACTTGACCAAGTACTAGAATATCTTACCAAGGAGTGGGTAACCTGTCTAAAAATTATATACTCCTGAGCCAAAGTCTATTCTGTTCTTCAAATTGTGAATAAATTTAACAAAGCCCACCAATTTTCAAACTGCCATTGACTCTGAATTCTTTATAGCAAAAAAAAGTACACAAAGAGTAACAAAACAGCCACATCCGTCCCTCAAAAACGCTTTAAAAAATTTGCATGAACTTTGGTGAATTGTTTATATCTATTGATGTGAGCTCCCTTTTGATTTTTATAAATTTTAGATTTTAAGTTTCCAAGTTGTGGGGTTTTATCCATTAAAAAAGGGTGATTTTCCAGTTTTCAGACAATAACTCAAAAACACTTTCACCAATTTGCAAGGAACTTTAGTGAATTGTTTATATCTATTGACATGAGCTCCCTTTCGATTTTTATAAATTTTAGATTTTATGTTTCTGAGTTATGGGGTTTTATTCATTAAAAAAAGGGGGATTTTCCAGTTTTTGGACAATAACTCAAAAATGCTTTGAGCAGTTTTCATGAAACTTTGGTGAATTGTTTATATCTATTGACCTAAGCTCCCTTTGATTTTTATAAATTTGAGATTTTACGTTTCCGAGTTATGGGATTTTATTCATAAGTAGGGGGTGATTTTCCAGTTTTCAGACAATATCTTTAAAGTGCTTTGAGCAGTTTTCATGAAACTTTGTTGACTGGTTTATATCTATTAAGATAACCTCCCTAGTTTTTCATAAATTTCTGATATGACATTGAGAAGTAATTGAAATTTATTCTTTGAAAAAGCGAAGGGCGTATCATGCGCTCATGGCACAACTGTTTATTGTGTTTTGGTCTGTTTTTCAAGTACTATAAGCAATAGGTCAACTATATTTGGTGTATGAAATGATTGTAAGGTGTACATGTCTGTATATATAGCAGGCATCATCTGACCTTTACCTCATTTTCATGGTTCATTGGTCAATGTTAAGTTTTTGTGTTTTGGTCTGTTTTTCAAATACCATAACAATAGGTCAAATATATTTGGTGTTTGAAAAATTGTAAGGTGTATATGTTTGTCTGACAGGAATGATCTGACCTTGACCTCATTCTCATAGATCTTTAAAAATGTTAAGTTTATGTGATACTTTTAGTAAAGCCTTTGTCTTTAAGACTTTCAACATAAAATCAATGGTCAGAAAGCAGGCGAGACATTTCAGCGTGTACACTCTTGTTAAATCTCTATCATCGAAATAACATAAAACACATAGACACAAAGAGTTTTTTTAGGATTTTGTGACATGACTTTATACACCATATCTCCCCCTTTTATACAGTAATGTCAGTTTAAAAAAGTATTTAACTTCATAATATTTGTACTACAGATGAAAAACTCTTATCATTCGTACTACAGATGAAAAACTATTATCATTCGTACTACAGATGAAAAACTATTATCATTCGTACTACAGATGAAAACTATTATCATTCGTACTACAGATGAAAAACTATTATCATTCGTACTACAGATGAAAAACTATTATCATTCGTACTACAGATGAAAAACTATTATCATTCGTACTACAGATGAAAAACTTTTATCATTCGTACTACAGATGAAAAACTCTTAGTTACAAGTAAAACAGAACTTAGTAATGCTAGCAAAAAATTACCACTTTTTGAAAGTTTTTGTACCATAAATTTTCTTTCTTTCAGCTTGTGGTGGTGTACTGACAGAGGATACAGATAGCTTTACAAGTCCAGGTCATCCTAACTTTTATCCACATGGAGTTAACTGTACATGGCAGATACGAGTCAGTCCAGGTCACGTAATACGGCTGACCTTTAACACATTCAGCATTGAAGATAATTCTGACTGCCGTTTTGATTATGTACAGGTTTTTGACAATGCAACAGCAACTCCTGGTAGTGGTTTGGGAAGGTAGTGTTTGATTTCATAATCTTGTATTCTTGAAATACTGAAAAGTTATCACCAATTTTGTTATTTATATAAAACAAATATTTTTAAAAAACAAACTGTTAGATTTTAACAGTTTTTGTTTAAATCGGCTAACTCTTGGTATAATTTCATGATAACTGGATTTTTTGCTGGGAATATCTAGAAAATACCATGAGAAATAACTGATGAAAAGTTAATGGATGAAATGGCAAGTGACCATCAGTGTAGTCAGAAAAATAAGTTGAATAATTTATTTGCCAATTGATTCTGTTATTACACACTTTTAACACAAATTGCTTCCTCAATCATAAAATGGTTCTATACCAGACAAAAATTGGCTTATGTCCTCACAAAGTATAAGTTGATATATCACCGTTTTAACCAATTTTTAGTGAAAAATAACTCCTGGTTTCAAAAAATTTTAGCTTTATAACAAAAAATTAAATGTAATAAAAGATTCGATAAATTTCAAAGTTACACACATTACACACAGATTATGCTCTTTCCACTAGCTCTCCATTGTTGAAGAAAATGTCCCTCCGAAGGGAGACAACTGAAAATTGGATCTCAAATTACAGGGTCAATTACACAAATTGTCTAATGTAAAGAAAATGGTAAATGTCATTAAGACAGCAACTTTGTATCACATGTAATCAAAGCAGACATCTAGAGATAAACATTGGGTATTCATCAATGGGAAAGTGCCCTAACTCTATGACAAGCTCTAAATGGCATCAATATTTTTGAAGTTGATTTTTTTTAAATTTCTACAGGAACAGCCTGTTTTATGGTTTCCATATTTACAAAGACTTGTATTTGAATTGAAAGACATTATTTTTGATAAATTAATTTTTGCGAAGAAACTGCTTTGTGAGATAGAATGTCTGTCTTACTATATACATGAACCTTTAGGGTGCAAATAAACCTAATATGCTGGTTCTTCCTTAGTTCTGAACAAGAAAAACGTGTTGATTTTTAACAAAATTGTGTAAATTGTTAATATCAAAGTATTCATGTTGGTTATTGTTTGGATACTGAAATTGATATCTATAATCTAGGTAAAAATTACTTGTTATAACCATTAGAAACTCATTTGTAGTAATAGAATAAAAATAAAAGGATGGATTATTTTTCTTTCAGAAAATGTGGCTCAACAATCCCTCCAGTGTTGACATCATCAGATAATGTAATGTCAGTTGTTTTTGTGTCTGATAACAGTATAGCTCATGAAGGATTTTCAGCCTCTTACGTTGCTCTTAATGCATCAACATGTAAGTAAATGTAAGATAATATGATTAATTAGAAAATAATTGGCTGTTACATATTGATCTATTTTCTATGGCTTGTCACCCCAACAAAAAATGGGGATGAAATTTTTTCTCTGGAAAGGTAAGCTGCTCCAGTTGCACTAGTTGCACCCATGGTGTTGTTGATAGACAAAAACTAAAGACAGGATTATAGATCAGCAGTAGAAAATCCATAAAAATGCCAATATTGCTGTTGCCATTAACTCATTATAGGAGTTACTGCTCTTAAATGACAATTTTTTACCAATTTTAGTATTTTTGTCTATTTTCTTTAAAACAATGAATATAGAGAAAGAAACTTTTAAAAAAAAATGATCATAAATATAAAAAGTCAGGATGACAGAATCTATCAATTGAATCCTTGCAGGTATTGATCAATCAATAGCACAATGATATTTGGTACTGTAAATTTAGAATTTTTTGCAAAGTTTTTATAATTGGGAAAATTTCAACGAGATAGGTGTCACACCTACGCTTTCTCAATATTTTTTTTACAGTGTGGTTTACTACTTTTGGGACAAATTATATCAAAATTATAGAAAACTTCATCTGCTCTAACTCAAAATATGGACAATTTTATATTAAGGGGTCTTGAATTCTTTTGACAGCTTCCACTAATTTTTAACCTTTTTCAGCTGTACCAAGTCACTACTTTACTTTAAAATTCATGACCCAAATTTTTTTACAGTGTAATCTCATCCCCTTCTTGCTATTTGAGGCATAAAACATGAAGAAATAAATTTGGAAAGGGGAATGAAAAAAAATTGAAAGTAATACATGTTTCACACTAGGGACTATATTTGTAGACAACGGAAATCCAAGGACAATAACTGTGTTCCTAATACTATTTGTACATTTCAGTGTGTGGTAATGCTTTGACAGAACGAACAGGACTAATTACTAGTCCTAATTACCCCAGCAACTACCCACATAACAGGGAGTGTGTATGGACAATAACAGCTAATGATGGGAACCAGATTTTACTGAACGTTACAGATTTTGAATTGGAAACACATGCTTCATGTGTGTTTGACTTTTTAGAAATCAGGTTTGCATATATGATATAGAGATTGGTTGTTTGACATACTGAATGCTCAGCTTATCAGTTTGGCGACAAAATTAAAGTGTGTTGATATATCCATTCTTAGAAGATAGCCTTTTGTCTGATTTGATGCTTCAGTTTTTTTAATTGATTAAATTGTTTCATTTATATTCCATTATTTACATGTTATGTAAAGATGTTTAAAAGTATAATAAGTTGACGTTAAGTAAAGGGCAATGTAAAAAACTTATATTAGAGTTGCATACCTTGTCTGTCTACTGGTTTATTTGTATTAACAAATAAAAGTTGAAATTGCCATAAAAATCAACGATTTTTTTATAAGAAGGTATATATATATATATTGCTTGTATATAAATAGTAGAAATTTACTTGGATTTTCAATTTTATGAATTCCTTTAAAAAAGTCACCAGACAATTGTAAAAATTCCTTTCAAACTTCATACATTCTTATAAACAATAATGAATAAAAATATATTTTCTTTAGTATAGTTACCACATAAAGAAATACCAAATATTTTTGTTTAATAAAAGTTTTTGCCAGCTTATTTTGGGATCTGACGTGCATGAATTAAGCTCTACTACTCTCTATGAATATTTTTCCTTAACAAATTACAGGAATGGAGGATACCAGACTTCACCATTACTTGGGACATACTGTGGCACCACAATTGATCCAATATTACGTTCCCATAGCAACCAAATGTACCTGAAATTTAAGTCTGACTACTCACGATCAGCTAAAGGATTCCAGATTTATTATGATTCTACAGCCTCTGGTAATCATGTTTAGATAATCAGTTTATCACTGTTTTCCTAGGCAATGTCAATGACTTATGCACATGACGTCATACATTCTCTTTCTGTCATGACAGAAAAACCCATATCACTCGAGTAGCGTGATATAAAAAATTATCACAAAAAAAGATCAAAGCTAAATTTGAGAAAAATAAAAATAACTAATATTTATGTGAAGTATAGTTTGTAAAGATAAAAGATAGTTTTCAAACTTCAATGGAAGAAGCAAACCTACAATTTAGAACGGCTGTTTCATGCAAAAATACTGTTCACAATGAAAATGTCTTGGTTAAATTGTCTCTACAGATGGGAACCAAATTGTCATTCCTGGGTAAATGTATCATGTAACACTGCCTGAAGCACAATTCCTTGCATCAGTGAGAAATCTCATGCTACACATGATCAAATTTAATCTAATCATGTCCAAAAAAACATGCGATAAAATTCCCTGTAGAGTACGAAAAGGGATGTTCATGTTCCATATATAAAACTGGGAAATTTTTCAGTTATAATTCTTTCACAAGAGGTTAGAACATGCCGAACCAAAAGTGTGAAGTTTATATTTTGTAAGACCTTGGAAAGTTAATAACGTAAAGTCAATGATTAAATCTAGCATGTTGATAATAAAAATGCAAAGAGTAATTTTATTTTGAAAGTCTCCTATCGACAAAGCAGTTGTTATAATTGTCGAAATGTATTTGATATTTTTAAGCCCCTGCCATAGGCAATGGGGGCATTAAGTGTTAACCTTGACGGTTCGTCTTTCTGTTTTTCCGTCTATCCATCCTTCCGTCTTTTCGTCCGTCCCATTTAATTTGCAAAGCTTGAGGGGGGGGGCATTCTTCTTTTATTTAATATACTTCAGTTAAAAACAGGTATCTTGTTTTGACATGTCCACAATGTAATCAATAATTAAGGACATTTTTATTATTGTTATAAGTCAGAAAAAGTTTTAGCAAATACTTTGCTCATGTTAAGAAAAACCTTCAAAAATAAGAATTTGAGGATAACCTTAAAAGACAAGGATCCTTTATTGTGTCCACACACCATTAAACTCTGTTTAGTAGTAGTAGTGTTCATACACCATTTCACAACATTTGCTAGAGGATATTGAAGTGGATCCACATGACACCTATGTAAGACAGGGGAAATAATCCTGGGTCATCTTTATCTGTAGGTTGTGGTGCTGATTTAACTACACCAACCGGTAGTTTTGTTTCTCCTAACTATCCAGCACCATACAGTCACAATGCTGAATGTTTCTGGACTATAACTGTCTCCAGAGGGAGTACTATAACATTGGTCTTTGTGGACTTCGACCTGGAAAATCATCACAGATGTACATATGATTATGTAAAGGTATGCCATATAGAAATATTCAAGTGACATGCATGTATTAAAAGGTATTTGGAAAATATCAGTTAGACAGCAACTTAACAACACAGTAAAAAAAACAACATCTAAACATCAAAATTTGTGTTTGTTTAGAATAGACAACCATCCGTAACACATGTCATGCTGTGAATTGCCACAAGTCTTGACATTGTAAATACATTCAACAATGATTACACAAGATCTGCCATGATGTATTATGTAATGTGTTGTTTTGTTAATTTTCATGTATGCTATCAACCCCATTGGTGTATGATAGTGCATTATTTTCAATAAACCATTAATTCCAAACTTTTCCCAGTGGTTCTAAAAGAATGATAATGTGAAAGGTAAAAGAATCAAATCAAATCATGACCAAATTGTGGAATAGATTATAAATGATTTGCTGTAAATCTTTTATCATTTGGATTAGATTCGAGAGGATGGACCACATGGACAGCAGCTAGCCCATTATTGTGGTTCACAACCACCAGAACCTGTGACCTCTAGCACTAACAAAGTATGGATAAAATACAGGACAGACCACTCTGTATCAGGACGGGGATTTCATGCTACATACTTTTCAAGTAAGTATTCAATATTAAAGATAATATTTGGGTTAATTCTTAAGTTTTCATGATGAAATTTTGTTTGCCATGTTTCATGAAAATTAATTAGAAGTGCACAGTTCATGTCTAAATATTAAATTAGGGAAGAATTGATAATTGAGTACACGTTTTTTCCGAGCAAACTAGTACTCAAAAACCTTCCTTCTAAATTATGTATTTATACCACACGCAATGAGTTGCGGATGGTATAATGTTTTTGACCCGTCAGTCTGTCCGTCCGTCAGTCCGTCAGTCTGTCAGTCCTGTTTCTTGTCATCGCAACTCCTCTCAAACCACACAACAGAATTTCACGAAACCTTTTTAGATAATAAGGACATACTATGTAGTTGTGCATATCGACAGGAAATTCCGATTCAATTCTTTTTCTAGGAGTTACGCCCCTTTGAACTTATTTACTTTAATGTACTATTGCAACAGTTTGTCATCGCAACTCCTCTCAAACCACACAACAGAATTTCAAGAAACCTTTTCAGATAATAAGGACATACTACGTAGATGTGCATATCGACAGGAAATTACGATTCAATTCTTTTTCTAGGAGTTACGCCCCTTTGAACTTATTTACTTTAATGTACTACTGCAACAATTTGTCATCACAGCTCCTCTCAAACCACACAACAGAATTTCATGAAACCTTTTCAGATAATAAGGACATACTACGTAGATGTGCATATCAACAGGAAATTAGGATTCAATTTTTTTTTTCTGATACAATTTTTTAGCTCACCTGGCCCGAAGGGCCAAGTGAGCTTTTCTCATCACTTGGCGTCTGTCGTCGGCGTTAACTTTTTACATTTTGAACTTCTCCTAGAGAACCACTGAATGGAATGAAACCAAACATGGCATGAATGTTCCTTATGAGGTGCTGACCAAGTGTTGTTACTTTGTAGCGGATCCATCATCCAAGATGGCCGCCAGCGGGGGACTTGGTTTAACATAGGACCCTATGGGAAATGCATACAAATGTCTTCTTTTAGAGAACCACTGAATGGAATGAAACCAAACATGGCATGAATGTTTCTAATGAGGTGCTGACAGAGTGTTGTTTCTTTGAAACTGATCCATAATCCAAGATGGCGGCCATCGGGGGACTTAGTTTAACATGGGACCCTATGGGAAATACATACAAATGTCTTCTTTTAGAGAACCACTGAATGGAATGAAACCAAACATGGTATGAATGTTCTTTATGAGGTGCTGACCAAGTGTTGTTACTTTGAAGCCGATCCATAATCCAACATGGCCGCCAGCGGAGGACTTAGTTTAACATGGGACCCTACGGGAAATACATACAAATGTCTTCTTTTAGAGAACCACTGAATGGAATGAAACCAAACATGACATGAATGTTCCTTATGAGGTGCTGACCAAGTGTTGTTACTATGAAGCTGATCCATAATCCAAGATGGCCGCCAGCAGGGGACTTAGTTTAACATTGGACCCTACGGGAAATACATACAAATGTCTTCTTTTAGAGAACTACTGAATGGAATGAAACCAAACATGGCATGAATGTTCCTTATGAGGTGCTGACCGAGTGTTGTTACTTTGAAGCTGATCCATCATCCAAGATGGCAGCCAGCGGGGGACTTAGTTTAACATAGGACCCTATGGGAAATACATACAAATGTCTTCTTTTAGAGAACCACTGAATGCAATGAAACCAAACATGGCATGAATGTTCCTTATGAGATGCTGACCAAGTGTTGTTACTATGAAGCCCATCCATAATCTAAGATGGCCGCCAGCGGAGGACTTAGTTTAACATAGGACCCTATGAGAAATACGTACAAATGTTTTCTTTTAGAGAACCATTGAATGGAATGAAACCAAACATGGCATGCATGTTTCTTTTGAGGTGCTGACCAAGTGTTGTTACTTAGAAGCTGATCCTTCATCCATTATGGCTGCCAGATGGGAACAATGTTTAACAAAGGACCCTATGGACAATACATACAAATGTCTTCTTTATGAGAACCACATACTGAATGGATTGAAACCAAACATGGCATGAATGTTCCTTATGAGGTGCTGACTAAGTTTTGTTACTTTGAAGCTGATCCTTCATCCATGATGGCCGCCAATGGGGGGACTTCCTTTAACATAAGACCCTATGGGAAATACATACAAATGCTTCTTCTAGAGGTGCACTGAATGGAATGAAACCAAAACATGGCATAAATGTTTCTTATGAGGTGCTGATTAAGTGTTGCTACTTTGTTGCCGATTTACTGTTCAAGATGGCAACCAGGATTTTTTTATTAAATTACAGGACCAATATTAAACCAAATTTGGCCTCACTCATTATTAGGGTATCTGTTATGATTTTAATCTATTTTGACATGATTTCCAAAACCAAAGTAGAATCAGGTGAGCAACACAGGCTCTTGGGAGCCTCTAGTTTTTCTTACACTTATTTTATTTCTCCAATGACAATGTGGGGACGTGGGGTATGTGAGCACGCTCACTAAGGTTCTTTAATTGTTTCAGATTTAAGTGTCAGACTGACATCATGGAGTGGTGTGATAACAACCTCTCTACCATATTATTTCTGTGTTTTAGATTGTAATGTCAGACTGAAGTCGTGGAGTGGTATGATAAACTACCTCTCTACCATATTATTTCTGTGTTTTAGATTGTAATGTCAGACTGAAGTCGTGGAGTGGTATGATAAACTACCTCTCTACCATATTATTTCTGTGTTTTAGATTGTAATGTCAGACTGAAGTCGTGGAGTGGTATGATAAACAACCTCTCTACCATATTATTTCTGTGTTTTAGATTTAAGTGTCAGACTGACATCATTGAGTGGTATGATAAACAACCTCTCTACCATATTATTTCTGTGTTTTAGATTGTAATGTCAGACTGACGTCGTGGAGTGGTATGATAAACAACCTCTCTACCATATTATTTCTGTGTTTTAGATTTAAGTGTCAGACTGACATCATTGAGTGGTATGATAAACAACCTCTCTACCATATTATTTCTGTGTTTTAGATTGTAATGTCAGACTGACGTCGTGGAGTGGTATGATAAACAACCTCTCTACCATATTATTTCTGTGTTTTAGATTTAAGTGTCAGACTGACATCATTGAGTGGTATGATAAACAACCTCTCTACCATATTATTTCTGTGTTTTAGATTGTAATGTCAGACTGACGTCGTGGAGTGGTATGATAAACAACCTCTCTACCATATTATTTCTGTGTTTTAGATTGTAGTGTCAGACTGACGTCATGGAGTGGTATGATAAACAACCTCTCTACCATATTATTTCTGTGTTTTAGATTGTAATGTCAGACTGACATCATGGAGTGGTGTAATAGAGAGTCCCAATTTCCCTAATGCATACTATCACAACAGGAACTGTTCCTGGGTTATACAGACAACTATGGGGAATACTATTAATGCTTCATTCTCACACTTTGACATAGAATCACATTCCAGTTGTCAATATGACTATTTACAGGTATGTGTGTAATTATAGATTACTCATGTACTCCATTAGAGTTATTGTCTCGCCTTGACGGAGTCAAAAAGCAAGACATAGGTATGCTGTTTCTGGCGACTGCGGCGGCGGCATCAACAATGTATTAGTTTGTGATTAGGTCTAGTTCATGGTGAACCACTAGTGGCACATCTCATTACCATGGAGATTATTTGGCCCCGCCCCCTCAGTCAAGGTCTATTGACTTTGAAACTTTTCATAGTTTACATGTATTAGTTTGTGATTAGGTCAATTTATGGGGAACCACTAGTGGTAGGTCAATGATATTTGGTATCTAGTTGTATAAGCATTAGCATATCTCATTTCCGTGGAGATTATTTGGCCCCTTAGACTTCGAAAATTTTAACATGTATTAGTTTGTGATTAGGTCAGTTCAAAGGGAACCATTAGTGGTAGGCCAATGTTAATTGGTGTTCAGTTGTATAAGCATTAGCACATCTCATTTCCATGGAGAATATTTGGCCGCGCCCCCTCAGTCATGGTCTATTTACTTTGAAACTTTTGTTTAGTTTACATGTATTAGTTTGTGATTAGATCAGTTTTATAAAGATGAACTTCTAATGTTAAGTCAATGATTTTTGGTATGCAAATTTATTGGCATTTGCAAGTATCGTTTCCATGGAGATTATATAGCCCCACCCCTGATCATGGGTCATTGACTTTGAAACTTTTACATAGTTTACAAGTTAATGTTTGTGTTTAGGTTTGTTTAAAGGGAACGACTTATAATAAGTCAATGGTATTTGGTATGCAGTTGTATTAGCATTGGCACATCTCATTCCATGGAGATTGTTTAGCCATGTACCTTCAATCATGGTTCATTGACTTTGAATATTTGCATAACTTACATGTTAAAGTATTGCTATTTTAATTTCAACATTTGCATTATCAAAACTACAAAAAGGCGAGACATATCTCTGTGATAACAGTTTATTAAAGAATGTTATTTTAAAGATAATCATTCAGTGTTGTGTATTTTCTGTTTGTTTGTCTAAATAATATTTATTTCATACTGGAGCAGAGGGAAAAGCTAGATGTGCTTTGTATAAGCAGTGAAAACCAAAATGTTTTTTTTGTATAGATAGGTTTTGGTTCATACAATTTTAACAAGATCTACTTCCTTTTTTAGCTCACCTGGCCCAAAGGGCCAAGTGAGCTTTTCTCATCACTTGGCGTCAGTCGTCCGTAGTCCGTCGTTGTCCGGCGTCGGCGTAAACTTTTTACATTTTGAACTTCTTCTAGAGAACAACTGAATGGAATGGAACCAAACATGGCATGAATGTTCCTTATGAGGTGCTGACCAAGTGTTGTTACTTTGTAGCGGATCCATCATCCAAGATGGCCGCCAGCGGGGGACTTAGTTTAACATAGGACCCTATGGGAAATACATACAAATGTCTTCTTTTAGAGAACCACTGAATGGAATGAAACCAAACATGGCATGAATGTTTCTTATGAGGTGCTGACCGAGTGTTGTTACTTTGAAGCTGATCCATGATCCAAGATGGCCGCCTGCGGGGGACTTAGTTAAACATAGGACCCTATGGGAAATACATACAAATGTCTTCTTTTAGAGAACCACTGAATGGAATGAAACCAAACATGGTATGAATGTATCTTATGAGGTGCTGACCAAGTGTTGTTACTTTGAAGCCGATCCATAATCCAAGATGGCCGCCAGCGGGGGACTTAGTTTAACATGGGACCCTATGGGAAATACATACAAATGTCTTCTTTTAGAGAACCACTGAATGGAATGAAACCAAACATGGCATGAATGTTCCTTATGAGGTGCTGACCAAGTGTTGTTACTATGAAGCTGATCCATAATCCAAGATGGCCGCCAGCAGGGGACTTAGTTTAACATTGGACCCTATGGGAAATACATACAAATGTCTTCTTTTAGAGAACCACTGAATGGAATGAAACCAAACATGGCATGAATGTTCCTTATGAGGTGCTGACCGAGTGTTGTTACTTTGAAGCCGATCCATAATCCAAGATGGCCACCAGCGGGGGACTTAGTTTAACATGGGACCCTATGGGATATACATACAAATGTCTTCTTTTAGAGAACCACTGAATGGAATGGAACCAAACATGGCAAGAATGTTCCTTATGAGGTGCTGACCAAGTGTTGTTACTTTGAAGCTGATCCATCATCCAAGATGTCAGCCAGCGGGGGACTTAGTTTAACATAGGACCCTATGGGAAATACATACAAATGTCTTCTTTTAGAGAACCACTGAATGCAATGAAACCAAACATGGCATGAATGTTCCTTATGAGGTGCTGACCGAGTGTTGTTACTATGAAGCCCATCCATAATCTAAGATGGCCGCCAGCGGAGGACTTAGTTTAACATAGGACCCTATGAGAAATACGTACAAATGTTTTCTTTTAGATAACCATTGAATGGAATGAAACCAAACATTGCATGCATGTTCCTTTTGAGGTGCTGACCAAGTGTTGTTACTTTGAAGCTGATCCTTCATCCATGATGGCTGCCAGATGGGGACAATGTTTAACAAAGGACCCTATGGACAATACATACAAATGTCTTCTTTTAGAGAACCACATACTGAATGGATTGAAACCAAACATGGCATGAATGTTCCTTATGAGGTGCTGACTAAGTTTTGTTACTTTGAAGCTGATCCTTCATCCATGATGGCTGCCAATGGGGGGACTTCCTTTAACATAAGACCCTATGGGAAATACATACAAATGCTTCTTCTAGAGGTGCACTGAATGGAATGAAACCAAAACATGGCATAAATGTTTCTTATGAGGTGCTGATTAAGTGTTGCTACTTTGTTGCTGATTTACTGTTCAAGATGGCCACCAGGATTTTTTTATTAAATTACAGGACCAATATTAAACCAAATTTGGCCTCACTCATTATTAGGGTATCTGTTATGATTTTTATCTATTTTGACATGATTTCCAAAACCAAAGTAGAATCAGGTGAGCGACACAGGCTCTTGAGAGCCTCTAGTTTCGCCATGTTGGAGGTCTCAGTGCACAAATTTCCTCAGAAATCAGCCAAATTCAACTTGTTAAACTGACAATTTCGTTTAGCACTGCTTGACTCATTACTACGATCTAGTAAGGATCTTTTATCAGACTTGTTTGTATTGAATGTTTCAATTTGGTTAGGCCAAATATGAAAATCAACCATTTACACCTCCAAAATTGTGACAAGGGAGATAACTCAAACTTAAATTTTGTCATATCAGAATCTATCTTTACTAATATACTTATATAGCTGATGTCTTATAGTTGTCACAATCCTATTTACGTCAGTTTAATAAAACAGCTATCTTAATCCTAAGACATCCAAATTGTCAACTTTTGAGAGTTGTTTTATTGCTGTCTACAGCCTGCTCAAAAACAACCCAAATATTATCCATCTAAGTAAGCTATAATTGTAAACTGTTTTGGTATTGCAGATACGTGATGGTGAAAACATGGAAGCTAATGAGATTGGTCAATATTGTGGCAGCAGCTTGCCACCAACTATTGCATCTACTGGAAATACCTTATGGCTCAACTTTATGTCAGATTATTCTGTGGCAGGGAATGGATTTAGATTGGAATACATTACAAATGGTTTGTATACTTCTTGGGATTTATAAAGATAAAGATCTTCATTGCATCTCTTTATGACAGAATTAAAAGTTCTGTCAATTGCACTGTAGTTTACAATGTAACAATATCAGTCTGATTGCCTCAAATACTTTTTGAGAAAGACTTAGTACCTTGAAAATATATTCTACAGTTTCTGATTGATTGATTGGTGATTGCTATACTCTTCATCAGGGCAAATTTATTTAATTCATAAATTGATAGTGCTTGTTCAAAATAATTTTTGATCAAATTTGAATTTCCACATATGAGAAACTACAAAAGAAACAATTTTAGCTAATAGATATAACCTTAATTACATATTTTGTGAACATCATGTATTTGTAAAGAGTCATTGATTACAAATTGAGCCTTTATTTCTTTTCATTTGAGAAATTTAAATAGTTTCTAGACAAGATGTATTGTATGTTATAATTTCTCATAGGTTGTGGTGGATATTTAGTGTCAACAACAGGAAGTTTTACCAGTCCTAACTATCCCAATCCTTATCCGTATCGTCGGGAGTGTGTTTGGGTGATATCACTACCAACAGGCAATGCTGTAGAACTGACAATAGTCGACTTTGACCTTGAAACCCATTCTTCATGTCAATTTGATGTTTTAGAGGTAAATGGTCACAACTTATTATACCCCATGCAACGAAGTTGCGGAGGGTATAATGTTTTTCACCCATCCGTCTGTCCCTCTGTCTGTCCGTTCTTCCGTTCATCCGTCCGTCCGTCCGTCAGTCCTGTTCTTGTCATCACAACTCCTCTGAAACCGCACAACAGAATTTCATGAAACTTTGTAGATAATAAGGACATACTATGTAGATGTGCATATCGACAGGAAATTACTATTCAATTTTTTTTTCTATGAGTTATGCCCCTTTAACTTAGAATTTTGGCCAATCCTGTTCTTGTCATCGCAACTCCTCTGAAACCGCAAAACAGAATTTCATGAAACTTTGTAGATAATAAGGACATACTATGTAGATGTGCCTATCAACAGGAAAATACGATGGAATTTTTTTTCTCTAGGAGTTATGCCCCTTTGAACTTAGAATTTTGGCCTAAATATACTACTGCAACAGTTTGTCATCACAACTTCTCTGAAACCACACAACAAAATTTCATGAAACTTTGTATATAATAAGGACATACTATGTAGATGTACATATTGACAGGAAATTACTATTGAATTTTTTTTACGAGGAGTTATTCCCCTTTGAAGTTAAAATTTTGGCCCAAATATACTACTGCAACAGTTTGTAATCGCAACTTCTCTGAAACCACACAACAGAATTTCATGAAAGTTTGTAGTTAATGAGTACATTATATGTAAATGTGCATATCCACAAGAAAATTTTTATCAGTTGACTTTTGTAGAGTTATGAGTCTTTGGGCTTAGGAATCTGGTGAGATTTTGTTTGTCCAGTTACAATGTGGGGGCGTGGGGTATGTGAGCATGCTCACAAAGGTTCTTTAATTTTGGAAGAAGCTTAGGATATTAATGACAAGTCAAGACTAATAATTTGACAACATTTTGTGTTTGAACATAGTCTGAAAGCATATGCACAACTTCAACTTTAAAGTATTTTGGTGTGATCAAAATTATGCCTTAGTACTTCATATTGGAACCACATTACTTAAATTTGTGTGATTTTATGAAATGTATTATTTGTTAATTTGTTTTTTAAAAGTTCAAGTTCAAGAATGAAAGTTACACTTGTAAAACATTGTAGCCAAATTGCTGATTTTGTTTTATCCATAGAACTACCAAAATCCTCTGTTTCTCTTTCAAAGAGGCATTAGTTACGAGATATAAAAAAAGTTAAAATATGATTTTTTTTGTTCAATCATAAATGAAAGTGAAATAGTGAAATAATAATTCGCTTTTAGCAGCCAGTTTAGTTCAATTTTGTGAAAACAAGCTAAGAAACATCGACCTCATTGAATCGGTATTCATGTGACCTTCAATTTAACCCCTTAGCTAGAGATTGGTTACGCATGTATTAGTGGTGTTCAGCCATTAAAAGGAAAAGAATGTTAACATAGAAAGTGAATCGTTGACTGATTCGATCCACAAAAAATCATTCTTGTACAGGTAAAAACGATGATAATAACTTATTTTCTTAACCTATAACATGAAATCAAACAGACCTAGAAAAGTCCAATTGCACGAAGTCGTTATCTACTTATATTTATGTTTATGTTTATATCAGGTTATGTGACCGTCGGCAGTCTTCAGAGGTCATCTCAATGGTTAATTAGATAGCGCCTGGACTAAAATACACACGAAAAGCTGATATATATTATCTATTCCATGTATTGTTAATTGTTTATTTCAGACTTATTGTAATTTGGATATATGTTTTAGTATGTTATAAATCAAATATGAGAATTTGAGTCAAATCGGTGAACATGAATTTGACAGCTAATGCCTCTTTAAGGTTTGTTGTTTAATAGTGAAAATAAATTTAACAAAAATATTTTAGGTGTACGAAGGATCAGACACATCCGGACCCCAGCTGACGAAGATTTGTCACAAACAGAAAAAACCACAGCTGTTGACATCTAGTGGCAACATAATGTATGTACGGTTTGCAAGTGATAGTTCTGTTAGTGGTAATGGATTTAGAGTAACATACAGAGGCATTACTGGAGGTATGTGGGCAGTTTTAAGATCTACAATTCTTAAATAGAATATAATTTCTATATACTGACTTGGTTGTAATTTTACTTATTATAGACCACTAGAATCATTGAATGTGTCTGTGAAAGAAATGTTTTCCTTTTTTAGCTCACCTGGCCCAAAGGGCCAAGTGAGCTTTTCTCATCACTTGGCGTCTGTTGTCCGTCGTCGTCGTCGTTAACTTTTTACATTTTGAACTTCTTCTAGAGAACCACTGAATGGAATGAAACCAAACATGGCATGAATGTTCCTTATGAGGTGCTGACCAAGTGTTGTTACTTTGTAGCCGATCCATCATCCAAGATAGCCGCCAGCGGGGGACTTAGTTTAACATTGGACCCTATGGGAAATACATACAAATTTCTTCTTTTAGAGAACCACTGAATGGAATGAAACCAAACATGGCATGAATGTTTCTTATGAGGTGCTGACCAAGTGTTGTTACTTTGCAGTCAGTCTATTATCCAAGATGGCCGCCAGCAGGGGACTTAGTTTAACATAGGACCCTATGGGAAATACATACAAATGTCTTCTTTTAGAGAACCATTGAATGGAATGAAACCAAACATGGCATGAATGTTCCTTATGAGGTGCTGACCAAGTGTTGTTACTTTGCAGCCGATCTAATATCCAAGATGGCCGCCAGTGGGTGACTTAGTTTAACATAGGACCCTATGGGAAATACATAAAAATGTCTTCTTTTAGAGAACCACTGAATGGAATGGAACCAAACATGGCATGAATGTTCCTTATGAGGTGTTGACCAAGTGTTGTTACTTTGCAGTTGGTCCATCATCCAAGATGGCCGCCAGCGGGGGACTTAGTTTAACATAGGACCCTATGGGAAATACATACAAATGTCTTCTTTTAGAAAACCACTGAATGGAATGGAACCAAACATGGCATGAATGTTCCTTATGAGGTGTTGACCAAGTGTTGTTACTTTGCAGCTGATCCATTATCCAAGATGGCTGCCGGGGGGGACTTAGTTTAACACAGGACTCTATGGGAAATACATACAAATGTCTTCTTTTAGAGTACCATTGAATGGAATGAAACCAAACATGGCATGAATGTTCCTTATGAGGTGCTGACCAAGTGTTGCTTCTGTGTTGCCGATTTACTGTTCAAGATGGCCACCAGGATATTTTATTTAATAACGGGACCAACATTAAACCAAATTTGGCCTCAATCATTATTTGGGTATCTGTTATGATTTTTATCTATCTTTACATGATTTCTTAAACCAAAGTAGAGTCAGGTGAGCGACACAGGCTCTTGAGAGCCTCTAGTTTGGTATTGAGACAAATGATATTCAGATTTAGGGTTTTGCTGTAGTTATTAGGTATACATGATATTCCAATTTTGATTTTATGAATGAATTGCCTAGTTAACCTGGGGTCATTTGGGCAAAACATTGTAAGGTAAAGATATTTGCCTTGTGATACCAATTGAAAGATCATGTATTAAATCTACTAAATCTTTGAAGAATTAATGTTAAATTAATTACAGCCAAAAAGTAGTGGTATTCTTGTCTTGTATTTCTGTCTGACCATCAGTGTGTGTTTGTCCATATGCCTGTCAGTCACACATTTAAGTTGGAATTTTCTGAGCAAATACAATTTAGGATTCTTTATATTTGAAAGCAATTGTCATTTGGGTAAGCCTTAAATATGCTTTCATAACTTTTTAGCTCACCTGGCCCAAATGGCCAAGTGAGCTTTTCTCATCACTTGGCGTCCGTCGTCTGTTGTCGTTAACTTTTTACATTTTGAACTTCTTCTAGAGAACAACTGAATGGAATGAAACCAAACATGGCAGGAATGTTCCTTATGAGGTGCTGACCAAGTGTTGTTACTTTGAAGCCGATCCATAATCCAAGATGGCCGCCAGTGGGGGACTTAGTTTAACATAGGACCCTATGGGAAATACATACAAATTTCTTCTTTTAGAGAACCACTGAATGGAATGAAACCAAACATGGCATGAATGTTCCTTATGAGGTGCTGACTAAGTGTTGTTAATTTGAAGCTGATCCTTCATCCACAATGGCCGCCAGCGGGGGACTTCCTTTAACATAAGACCCTATTGGAAATACATACAAATGCTTCTTCTAGAGGTGCACTGAATGGAATGAAACCAAACATGGCATAAATGTTTCTTATGAGGTGCTGATGAAGTGTTGCTACTTTGTTGCTGATTTACTGTTCAAGATGGCAACCAGGATTTTTTATTAAATTACAGGGCCAATTTTAAACCAAATTTGGCCTCACTCATTATTAGGGTATCTGTTATGATTATAATCTATTTTAACATGATTTCCAAAACCAAAGTAGTATCAGGTGAGCGACACAGGCTCTTGAGAGCCTGTAGTTTGTTCTGTTTACTATTTTACTTTCTTTATTTTGCTACAACCATTTATGTTCTTTATATGAAGTGAACAGGAAAAAAAAATTGTCACATTGAAAATCACAAACTTAGAAGTAAAAAAAGGCTTTGATTTTAATCATGTTCTATGTGCTATCTCTGGTTGTACATAGTAACATGATCAGACACATTCTTAACTGTTGTAAAGAGATAGATGCTAGTAATAAAGAAACCCTATCTAATCACAGTAAAATTGAATCTCCACTTGCTCATTTTCAGCGACAAAGCATACAAAATGAGTGATTTGAGATTTAACTTTAGTTAGATAGAATGAAACCCTTGTATATTTTTACTTTTTTTACACTCAGGTTGTGGTGGCAACTTTAGTACACCTACTGGTACTCTGTTGTCTAAAAACTACCCAGACAATTATCCTCATAACACAGAGTGTGAATGGATAATCACAGTACAAGAAGGTCAGACAGTTGTTATAACCTTTGAAGATTTTGATGTAGAAGGTGGAAGCTGTACATATGATTATGTGGCTGTAAGTACTTGTTTGTATGATTGATGTGCTAGCCTACATGTCCAGGATAGTAAATTCTTGTAAAGCCTAAGTCACATGTGAAATATATTCTTCATGTTACTATTAATATGATGTTTGAAAGACTATTACAAAATCCACTAAAACGAGTTAAAACGATATTTATTCAAATTAATTCATCACATAAAATATATTTTACACGAAATCAAGGGTTTGGAAACGGTCATATTTTCCAGTCATGACCCTTGACCGAAATGTATATTTGGGATTTAGGTCAAGAATTTTTTTTGTAATGAAAATTTATGAAGATCTTGTAATATTCCAGAGGGTCCTACAAGTATTTTTTTTCATGCCCATAGGGATTTCAGGTAAATGCTTGTAAAGTTTACTTGAATTGACACCTGACAGCAGAAAATACTGACCAGATACAGACTATTTTATTATGAAAATCTCAGCAAAGGCATTGATTATTTAGATTTTAAAATTAATTCTTTCTATACAATTTCATTGAAAAAAGAATTTTTTGTTCAGTCGTAAATGCTGATATTTACAAGATTAGACGCTTTATCATAAAATGCTCATTCATGTTATGGGGAATGCACGAAAAATAAACCATAATTATTCATACTAAAACACTTTTACAAAAAAAATCTGTATTGTAAATCCGTTTTCAGTCGTAATTTATATTCTTCTTGAAAACTTCTGATTTCTCAAAAAAGAAACAATTCCTAAGGAATTTGAGGTTTTAAGTCATTAAAATTACTGCAGTTTTAAACTGATGCATTACACATATTATTCTCAAATGCATTTACAAAAACAGGTACATAATTTCATGCCATTTATACAGCAAAACTATTGATACAGGTTTATCCAAATGAATTTTCATGATATTTGAAAGAGCTTTAAGTTTAAACTTTGCATAAACTTATCAAATATCTATGCAAAAATAACCAGATTTTGGAATACTTCAATTACATATTATAATTATACAGAGACCAAATAAGACCATTAGCTTATCTCCTCTTTTTCTCATTTTACAGTGTATTGTTTTACCTCATGTGTTATATATATCATTCTATATATCATACTGTGATAAACTCCCTTAAACTAAATTGTAGGGATATGATGGACCAAATAGGAACTCTACAGAATTATTTAGGCATTGTGGCACAGCTGTTCCTAGTCCAAATATATTTAGGTCAACAGGGAACCGGATGTTTGTTAGAATGAGAACAGATGCATCTGTATCCGCCAGAGGATTTAAAGCTACATACTCAACAGGTTCAATATTTGATACTAATTTGCTGTCAAAGAATTTTCAAAGACATATATATCGTCGATGATTGCAAGTTCATTGTGCTTGCAAGTTCGTGACATTTGGGGATTTCCACTTTATTCGTGACGTCATGCATAATTATTTATCATTGGCAACGTGCTACTTCAAAAAAACTTAACTGGATATTTTTCATTGCATTTTTACTAATATGGCTTGATAAAGAGAAGTTGTGTATGTTCTTGCATATTATTTGTTTAAAAGTCTATTTCCACTATTATTGTTTATTACTCTTCTAGAATTTTGTTGAATTCTTGGGAAAATCCTTTCAGCAATGTTATTGACATCTTAACAATGAGTCATCTATTTTTAGGTTATGTGGCGCTCTTTACCCTTTTTGAAGGCCAAGAGTATTATTTTTTGAAGTCTGTATGTGAGCGGTTTGTTTAAGATCAGAAAATGATTTGATATATTTTGATAAAACAAAACCTGCCGAATATTGGCTCGTAAAATTAATTTAATCCTATGCCATTGAATGCAATTTGAATGAAAAAATATTTTGATGCACTAATGACATTGTGACTTCGTTATAGTTATCTTAAACATGTTTAAAGTGTTTAATTCTGGACTTTCCAATTAACCATTGAAAGTCATGTGTAAAAACTAGAATAATTGTTGTAGGGAGAATAAAAAAGTTAGTATATCCCAATTTCTCTTTTTTTCGAGATATTCATTTGTTATTTGATCTCAAATTTATTCTGTAATGTTCAAATACATAATACAATAGGCCTGACCTATATATTGCACATGCGCAAAAACCACTGTCCAAGAAAAAGGTCACGAACTTACAAGCATGTCTACTTATTTTACAGAATTGGGTCACAATACAAAACATAGACAGATTGACCAGGTTTCTGAAGTTATTCATCAATTAAATGTATAAGACTGTTTGCAAATAAGTAAAGAATATTTACATTCATATTAGATAATATTTGCTCCAAGGTTGTGATTTTTTTCTTCCGTTTCGAGTTAGGGTAATGAACTTCCAATCATCGAGGATATAGATAACTTGGTTTATATATATATTTTCTCTGTTGGATAATTGTCTGGCAAACACTATACATTTTTTTTTCCATCTTGATGTCAATGATATAAGAACTGATTTCCCTATCCCCCTAACCCGATTCCAACTAAAATATTAAGTACAATAACCGTTATTACTTTAAAATAAATTAACACCATGCCTAAGATATTAGGGGTATTATATTTTCCAATCTATGGGTCCATCTGTCTGTCTGCCCAGTATGAGGTTACAAATTTAGTTTTAAGTGTATGTTACGGTAGGTAACCATGGAGTTGTGGTCACATCAAGTTAAAACTTAATATACATATTTATTATGAATTGAACTTTTGAAAATATATGCAAAATTAGGGTTTCCACCCAGATTTTGTGATTTACTGAATGTGGAAATTTGATAGTGGAAATGGGGCATGGTGTGCTATGAACACATATTCTTGTTTAGCTACATAAGTTTTCAAACCCACAAGCCTCCTACTTCTCATTTATATCCCCACATGTTCACTTCTGTTTATTAAAACAAAAGGAGGATAATTAGTTGTCAAAGAAAGACGTCCAACACCATGGTAAAAATTTAACAAACAGCAGTAAACAAAAAACTACACAGACACAAAAATTGAGCAGCACAAACCCCATAGAAAATGGTGGATGATCTCAGGTACCCTGGAGGGGTCAGCAGTTCTTGCTCCTGTAATTATCCATTAACAAAAAATTATGTAAGAAATATTTTAAATCCAATTTCTCCAGGGTTTCTTATGTTTTTTAAGTTGAAAAAGTTCTCTTTGTGAGATCTCTGACAATTTTTGTTTAGATAGAAGTGCATGATAAATGCCAAAAAAATGCTTGTTATCTTAATAGTTTGCTATTGTGTGTGTTTAAATGGCCTTATTTGATTTTAATAGGTTTAATTTCTATGTTACAGGTTGTGGAGGATTATTAAGCGCTGAAGAAGATGGAGAAATAGTTTCACCTAACTATCCGAATACTTATAGAATGCTGAGCAATTGCACATGGATCATTAGAGGACTTCATTCCAGTTAGTTCAGAGATTTTAACTGTTTTTAGACCATAAAATAAATGTAACACTTTATAAATATGCTTTTTCCAAAGCACTTTTCTAGAATTTATTTTCACCAGGAACTCAAACCCAAAAATTTAAAAGCCAAAATGTAAAAATACCTAAACTTATTAAAAGTTTTATGACCGAAAGGGACTAAAAAGAATAGCCAAATCAATCTTAGGTCATCTTTGCCTGAGGGAGTTGGAACCTAAGGTTCTTAATAAATTCTAAATTTATCAACGATTAATTTAAGAGATATGTTGTAAACTGGGTCAGTAAGTGCTGACTTCTGAGTTGGTGATGCCCTTGGGGACTAACAGTCAACCAGCAGAGGTATCAACTAAGCATTAGAAAATGGTATAATCCTTATTTGAGATTTGTATTAGTAGTAGAATGCTTTGTCTATGTATAAAGTTTGGCCAGTTGGGAAATCCTGAAACTGCTCGTTGAAATAGCTATGACTAGAAATTATAATCAAAGAAAATGGGAATATCAATTCCTCCATTTGGAAAAATAGAAGAAATGATCAATTGACTGTAAAAAGTTTAGTAAAAAAAATGCAAAATTGATTATGGGGAGAGATTTTAAGGATAATTCATTTTATTCTTAGTATTTATGAAAAGATAGTTGAAAAACAACACTAACCATGATATATCATTTTATAACAGGCCTAGGTTTATATGTGCATTTTTTGAATTAAATTGGGAGTTTTTTTGGTGACAGGTTAATCTTAGTAGTTATCAACATGAACACAGATATGGATTCCTTCCGCTCAGCTCAGGTGTACATGTATAACCCAGCGATTGTGAAAACTGCAAGAATGCACATAATTTATTAATGTATAGTGAGTAGTAGGACGATCCAGTAATTATGTTTTATGAAATGTGGGAATAAAGAATGTTATATGCAAAGATGCATTTAGGGCTGTTCGATTAACACATACATGGTAAACAGAACAGGCACTTTGAAAATAGGGTGACCAACTATACAGACAACTTAAGAATTCAACATACATTTTTACTGTACAATATATTTGACACGCATCAATAGTTGTGTTCAAAGTACCTCCCCTTGGTCCCATATAAGTTTTTTTTTAATCAGTTCTTAGGTATTTTAAATCATAGCTACATATAGATTCCACCACTGCATCAAGTGAGTTACAATATTTCTGCATTAGAGACAGTTGAATTTTAATTTTATAAAGCACGAGGCTTGCCGAGTTTTTTAAATAATTAAAATTTAATTGTTGACAGTGGAGAAATATTGTAATACACAAGTTATAGTGATGGAATCTGTTTCTCTGATGATTTTTAGACGATCTCTAAACAAAGTTTATCTTTCCTTTTCAAAGATTTGCAGAAAGTTATGTTCTTTAGATGTGACGTCATCAGACATGGTCGCCTTTTTTCATGACGTCACAATAGGAAATTTAGAAGAAACCAAAAAAATTTGACGTCAACATTAAATTTCGACCAATCATTTGCCGAGAACAAAGCTTTTCCTAGAGATGAGAAATATTTTTCACACAGATTGAGAAATGTGAAAAAAGCATGAAAATTAGAGAAAATTATATTTTGATTTAGATGAAGTTTCTGTATTAGTTTTTCTTCATGACTATTTCAGATGATCGTGTCACCTTGACCTTCACTCACATGAGTTTAGAGGTTCACAGTATCTGTAACCATGACTATGTGACAGTTTATGATGGAGATGATGTGAATGGTACTGTAATAGGAACGTATTGTGGCACCACTGTTCCAGCATCAATTACATCTCAGGGGTCAGCCATGACAGTCCAGTTTACGTCAGATGCATCTGTTCAAATGTCAGGTTTCAGAGCACTGTATACCAAATCAGTGTCAAGTAAGTGTTTTAAAATGTATGACTGCAGGTAAAAAAATGTTTAAAACAAAGTCTGAGCTATACAAATAAATCCAAATGCATTAAATTTTTTTGAATAATTCACATTTGGTCCAAGGACACAGTTATCGTCCTTTGGTTTTCGTTGTCTACGAATATAGTCCCTAGTGTGAACAGTGTATAACTTGCATTTTTTTTTGATACACTTTCCCAATTTATTTCTTGATATTTTATGCATGAAATATTAAGTAAGGGGATGAAATTACATGTTAAAAAAATTTGGGTGCTGAATCTTTATGTTAAGTAGTGATTTGGTCCAGTTAAAAAAGGTCAAAAATTAGAATGTCTGAAGCTGTCAAACTGAATTTTAGCCCCCCTTAACACAGAATTGTCAATATTTTGAGTTAGAGCTGGTAGAAGTTTCTATAATTTTGATATTATTTGTATCAATAGTAGTACACTACACTGTAAAAAATTTTTTGAGATAGAGCAGGTGCGATTTTTTTAATTTGAATTTATTGTCTAAAAGAAATACACTACGAAATAACTGTGTTCTCGGGCCTAAGAGATGAATTCCGTCAATGTAGATTCTGTACTTTGGCAACTTTCCTGAATGGTTTGCTGGTTTCAATGTGTCAAACTCAATAAAAGTAAAGGATTTACATCTTTGTTTGACAGAAATTCTGTTAAAATGTCCCATTTTGGCATTATACGGCTAAAATAAGCATTTTAAAGCAGTTTCCATTTTATGCCTAAGAGCCATGCTGACTTTCTATCTGACAGCTTTTTATGTTCCTGATATTTGTGTTTCTATGCTTAAATCAAATTTAATTAACCATTTGTGAACTCGCAATCTAGAGAAAAGTATATTATCACAGAAAAAATGTGCAGAATATTTGTATTTATGTCCCTGGTTAAACGGCCTGTTTGATGTATGTGAAATGTGAAGAGCTTTGTACATAAAATCTGTAGTCCATCACAAATATTTCACTAAATCTGTAAAAAAAACACTTTACAATGATCAGTACACCCTATTCATTTCATATGCTACCATAATTTTTTTCTTTAGGATAGTAAGTGGTTCAAATATGTGCCAAATGAGACTAAGACTACATGCAAGTTTTCCTTTGAAAAGTGAAAAACTGGTCATCAGACCATACTGTCTGCAAAAAAAAGTTGAATTCAAGAGTCCTTTTGCAATTAGACTTCTTGTATCATGACATCTTAGCATAGAAATGAGCAAAAAGTAACAAATTTCAATTTCTTATAGCCTCTGTGTGCATTTTTATATGTAAATATGGGCTACGGCCTAAATCGACTCTAAATAATTCTCAGTCTTACATGGCCTAAGACCATTTTATACTCATGTGGTATGCTTTTTGTAACTTTTCTTTACATTTAAAGTACATTTAATATATATGGAAGAATAATGTATGGATAAAAAACTTCAAAAACTTCAAATTGGTTGAAAAAAATGCATGTTTATGTAAGGCTTCCCTTAATTCGAAAATCTCTATTTTCAGGCACAGGCTCATATAAATTTGACTTTTGAATAACTGTAATAAATCTGATAAATCAAATGAGTGTTCCGTTGCTTTTAATACTTATTATATTAAATTCAAGAGTACTTAAAAAGCAAATTTTTGCAATATTTAAATTTTTTAGGCAAAAACCTTGACAGTTGAAAATATTTGATTTAAACGTCAAAAATAAACATCCAAATTTCAATATTAAAATGGCCCTAGTTTCTATAATATATATTCTATGGCCATGAAACTTGGCCAACTATCTTATAATTGCCTAGGGTTAGGTCATGCAAAGTTTTATTAAAATTGGTCAAGTCTTTCTATCCTATTAGGTCCAAGGACACAGTTATCGTCCTTTGGTTTTCGTTGTCTACGAATATAGTCCCTAGTGTGAACAGTGTATAACTTGCATTTTTTTTTGATACACTTTCCCAATTTATTTCTTGATATTTTATGCATGAAATATTAAGTAAGGGGATGAAATTACATGTTAAAAAAATTTGGGTGCTGAATCTTTATGTTAAGTAGTGATTTGGTCCAGTTAAAAAAGGTCAAAAATTAGAATGTCTGAAGCTGTCAAACTGAATTTTAGCCCCCCTTAACACAGAATTGTCAATATTTTGAGTTAGAGCTGGTAGAAGTTTCTATAATTTTGATATTATTTGTATCAATAGTAGTACACTACACTGTATAAATTTTTTTGAGATAGAGCAGGTGCGATTTTTTTAATTTGAATTTATTGTCTAAAAGAAATGCACTACGAAATAACTGTGTTCTCGGGCCATTTATGTATAATCAGCTAACCCTTTTTTTTAAACCATTAAACCAGTTGACAACTTGTGCACAATAGTCTGTCTGTCAGCCATTCAGCATATTTATGTCATACCATAAGTCAAGATTACATCAACCAAATTCCATAATGTGTATGCACAATTTGTATAGCTTAAAAAGGATGGCCACTTGCAATTTTTATGAAATTTGGTGGGGGGGAAAAATCACAAATTTTAGCATCAAAATGATTTGTAGGTAATATGCTATTCCAAATTGATTTCCACAGTCAAATTTGGGGTAAATACTAAATTTTGTTGAAAAAAATCATAACTGAAAAGAATCATCTTTTTACAAGGATTTCAACAAAACATGATACGTATGTGTAATATGCTATTCCAAATCAATTCACAGTGTCAAATATTGGGTAAAGACTTAGTTTTGTTAAAAAACACACATATTTAGAAGCATATTTTTGTGCTTGTATTTAACAAAAAATTGATACACAGGTATAATATGCTATTCCAATGGGTTCACAAAGTCGAAAACTATAAGTCTGCTACAAATCATGAATTAATTCTTGGTGTCAAAATTTGTGAAAATTGCTACCCAATGAACATGCATTGCTATATTCACTTTGGTATAAGTTATTTTCTTCTGTGACTCACACAAAAATGTTCTAAGTGGACCCCATCAGTTTTTAGTTGTACTTGGGGTGTGTCATTTATAGAAATATCAAACTGTAAATGCTATTAAAGTAAAAATTAAAAAAATCAGTGAAACAGATTACTGCAAGTGTTTTAGGTTTTCATGACATCTTTTGCAAAACAATGTAAAGGTATGCAAGTGCTCCAAGTGAAAACTATGCAAAGGGCTGTTAATGGAATTAAACAGAATTTTGATTTGCAATTGCATTTAATTGTTTTGAAAGAAAATACTTTCACTTTTCATTGTAAAAGGAAAATTGAGGTTATTGCAAATGTCACAAAGATTACCATTCTCAGTCTAGATTGTTCATACAATCTAACAAATCTATCTTTTTAGGTTGTGGTGCAAATTTTACAGCGGAACATGGTAGTTTTACCAGTCCAGGATATCCTAATGAGTATCCAATGGAAACAGAATGTGTATGGACTATATATGCCCCACCTGGAAATAATATTTTGGTTGCATTCAGGTAAATCCCCCATATGAAAAAAAATATAATGCAAAGAAGCTGAAGTATAACTTATCAGTTTGAATAAAAAAAAGAAATGAATAAACATGCATCTTTATAAACAAAAAGAAAAAAAACAAGTTTTCTCTATTTATTTGCATTATTATATGAGCATACATAGCTGATACAGCAGTTGATACAGCGTATACCATACAGGTTTAGTCAGATGTTTTACAAGTTATCAGTTTTATTTTAATTTAAAGATAAATCAAGTGTTGAAACCAAAATCACTTTGATGGAACTTGGTTGAATCGAATGTCAAATTCAATCAATCTGTTTTTTTGTGGTTTATAGAGATATTGATCTAAAAGTTATTTTTCAAATCTGTCATCATTGAGGTGTATTATGGTATATTCTGTTCATCAAATGGGCTGTTAACAGTTCACACAATATGTTAAAATTGCTTTGACTAATTTTCTTGAAATGTTAACACAATTTTAAAGTTGTTTGAAGAAAGCTCCCTTTTGATGTTGATAATTTAAAATAATAAAAAATGAGAGGAGGGGGAATTTTGCATTTGGTACAATAATTAACTATGAGATTTTAGCACTGTAAAAACTGTAGGAGGAAAGCATAATTTTGACAGTTGTCTGATTTTTTGTTTTGGAGTTATGCGACTTTACTTACAAAATAAAATGGAAGCAATTTTCACATTGTATAGGTTAACTTCAAAATGTTGCTGAAATTTCTCAGAAATATTTCTAGAAAAAGCGGTAATGATTTTCATCTTAAAATTCCAAATTATGGTACTTTACTCTTCTTTTATTGCATGGAAATAATAATGACTGACATATCATTAATGCATGGGGCAGCTGTTCAGTTTGTGAAAACAAAAATGTTTTTTTCATACCACTTTCAGAAGAAACACACCTAGAAAAAAATTTTGGAGTAATTATTCTCACATGGAAACATACAAACATTTAACAGTAATTTGATTTGATTTGATTTTTGGTGTATTAACGCCACTTTTAAGCACCGCTTTTGGGGTATTTCGTGGCGGCCAGTTTTTATTGGTGGAGGAAGCCGGAGTGCCCTGAGAAAACCACGACCTTGGATAGGAAAACTGACAATCCTAGTCAATTAAGATTGGAGTCGAGTGCACCCGCACGAGCAGGTTCGAACTCACAACCTCAGTGTTGACTGGCTAGTGATTACAGAAGTAACTACTTAGACCACTCGGCCACCGAGGCCCCCCATTTAACAGTGAATTTATATCATCATTAATATTTAAAAGAGTATACAAAATAACTTAAGTTTTAATTGGTCTTTCAGTTTCTTCAGCTTAGAGGATCATTTACCAACTTGTAGCATGGACTATTTAGAGCTTAGAGAAGGGAATGTTCATGGGAGGTTATTAGGTCGTTACTGTGGTGACCAAGCTCCTTCTAACTTGACAGCTGTTAATGGGCTGTGGATAAAATTTAGGTCAGACGATAGTTTAACAGAACGAGGATTTATTGCTCAGTATAGTACAGGTAAGTGCCGTTCTAACAGTTCTAGGATATTTCTTGCTCAGTATAGTACAGGTAAGCGCTGTTCTAACTGAACGAGAATGTATTGCTCTGTATAGTACAGGTGAGTGCTGTTCTAACAGTTCAAGGATATTTCCTGCTCAGTATAGTACAGGTAAGTGCTGTTCTAACAGAACAAGGATTTATTGCTCAGTATAGTACAGATGAGAGCTGTTCTAACAGAACAAGGATTTATTGCTCAGTATAGTACAGGTGAGTGCTGTTCTAACAGAACAAGGATTTATTGCTCAGTATAGTACAGATGAGAGCTGTTCTAGCAGACAGAGGATTTATTTCTCAGTGTAGTACAGGGGAGTGCTGTTCTAGCAGACTGAGGATTTATTGCACAGTATAGTACAGGTGAGTGCTGTTCTAACAGACCCAGGATTTATTTCTCATTGTAGCACAGGGGAGTACTGTTCTAGCAGACTGAGGACTTATTGCTCAGTATAGTACAGGTGAGTGCTGTTCTAACAGACCGAGGATTTATTTCTCATTGTAGTACAGGGGAGTGCTGTTCTAAAAGACTGAGGATTTGTTGCTCAGTATAGTACAGGTGAGTGCTGTTCTAAAAGACTGAGGATTTGTTGTTCAGTATAGTACAGGTGAGTGCTGTTCTAGCAGACCGAAGAATTAATTATAGGTTAGACAATACTTGGTCATGTTTTATGAATATTTAAAGCCCGAGGCGTAGCCGAGGGTTTTAAATGTTCATAAAACATGACCAAGTATTGTCAGACCAATTTAGAACATATTCAAACCTTCAAGTGACATTAAAAAAATCATCCTTTCTAATTGTAATAATCAGACCTTAATATGAGTTCACTTTAATTGTTAACATTGTTAATAAAAGGGATGTAAATCACAAATTTAATGGTCATTTCAAAATACAGGTGCAATTTAATAGCACTGATATAGTTTTTTGAGGACAAATAGGATGAATTGTTCAAAAATGGAGTTTTTTCAGCTTCAGGTAAATTTACATACCTTTTTATATCTCAAATTCTTTCATTTTGAAAAGCACATAATGTTATAAAAATTACCTTTTCAAAATAGTATATTTGTATATTAATGATAAAACTTAATAAAAAGATAAAATTACTATCCTTCCAACATCAAATGCTTACTTCTTTACTGACGAATGTGTTGTTTTTTCCCAAATTGCCTTTGCCTTATAGATCAACAGTCATTGTTTCTTACAAAGCATTGACTTTAAGGTCTTGTTTAAAAATTTGATTAAATATTAATTTACCTACATGTTTAAACCCCTTTTCATATTTTTTGTGTGTTCTATATATGTACCATTATATAACTTTTGCAATATTCAAAACTCAATTTAAGATGTTTTATAATTCTATTATCTTATTTTCATTTAGAATAATTTGACAAACAACAGTATTCATACATTTTTTTCTTTTGCTGTTTTACTATGGAAATTGCCTCAGGGGTTTGTAACACACTTCGTTAGTGCAGTTACAAGTTCACTTTCATAATTAATCTACAATGAAAAGTCATTCATGTATAGCATTGTATAGTGCATGGAAAGCCATGTACTATGAAAACAGAAGGCAAAATACCGATTTTCCATTGGACGAGAAGGGGTGAGTATGTTCTAATGCTTAGTATAGTACAGGTGAGTGCTGTTCTAGCAGACCGAGGATTTATTGCTCAGTATAGTCAAGCGAGTGCTGTTCTAGCAGACAGACAATTTATTGCTCAGTATATTTCAGGTGAGTGCTGTTCTAACAGACAGAGGATTTATTGCTCAATATAGTAAAGGTGAGTGCTGTTCTAGCAGACCGACGATTTATTGCTCAGTATAGTACAGGTGAGTGCTGTTCTAACAGACCGAGGATTTATTGCTCAGTATAGTACAAGTACAGGTAAGTGCTGTTCTAACAGACCAAGGATTTATTGCTCAGTATAGTACAGGTGAGTGCTATTCCATTTAAACATACATTTTACCCAGGGAAGGCACTTTCAAAATGGGCTTACCACCTACAGAGGCAAATTGACACCCACCTATAGTTGTGATTTCAAAGTGCATTCTCTGGGTCCCTTTGAAAATATCTTGACAACTCCTTTTGTTGTATAGTGTCTGATGAGTTTAGATAACATGATTTATTTTCTATGTGAAATTATCGGTTGTTATTTGACTAGGAAATTTTGTTGCTACTAATGTAACAAGTTTCATAATTGTATAACATAGACATCAAAATTTGTATGTACTTTTATTGAGAATTAAAAGCAGTCTTCTCTTTCTTTTGACCTAATAAACATGTCTTCTTGTGGATTATGAAAAACAAACTTGCCTCATCAATTTGATGTGAAATACATTCATGCATAAATATTTATTTCTTATTAAAATCATGAATTCTTTATAGTTTTTAAAAATGATGATGATGATGAATTATGTCTCACTGTCCAGTGGCAATTATTACTTGCATATCAGGACAAAAAAATTTAATGTGATGCTGACAGTTCTGAGTTATCAACCAAGTCTTTGCTCTTAGATCTAAATGATGCATGTTTAGGGGAGAAACATCAAAAATCAATTTTCAAGTTTGACACGACCTGAAATCAAACCCACAAATCTCTAGCACTTGTGGTGTGCACACTACCATGTGACCACCAGGTGGTTGAAAGAGTTTTCCTGTTTGAAATTAAAGCTTAAATCATGCATCAATCTATTTTGAGTTCCAAAGACTTTCAGTTTGATATGTACTTTTTGAAATTTATATGCATTTGTAATATATAAATGAAACTTCAAATATTCATGCAATGGCAACTGAAATATCTGAATTTGATTTGGAGAATAAGATACAAGAATTCACAAAACTTTGTAAACATTTTCTGTAAGAATGTAATTCTCTTCTTGTAGTATATGGAGGGACACTGTCAGGAAGGTCAGGACAGGTTGCTTCCCCTAGGTATCCAAATGTTTACCCTAACAATGCAGATTATGTTTGGACCATATCAACAGATGTTGGAAGCAGAATTAGGATTACTTTTTTGATGCTAGATATGGAGCGTAATGGTCCGAATGATCGGTGCACATATGACTATATTGAGGTTTGTTTGACATGCTATATTTTTTCTAAACTGGTTTATGCTTTTTGTTTTCAGTTTTTACTTTAAAATATTTTTACTTCTCGTGCTGATTGAAGATTGAGCTTTGAAGATATGTTCCTATTACATGACCTACCAAGTCATCAATCTATGATTCAGATAACCAAAAAATAATTGCTCAACAACAATTACCAAATAATATTGAAATCCAGCATTGCCTGACTAGTTGCTCACCAAAACTGCTGTATTAAAAAAGCTACTTTGGTTTCAATATGCATTACATTGTATACACCAATCTCGAGGTGTTTTTTTATGAATGGGTTACACCAGTTGACCCGAGGTCAATTGGTGTAAAAAAACGTCATTGAACAATTGTTTCTTACAGTGATGTAATTACATAAGCATTGTGACATAGGAAATTTACGGGAAAGTGCAGGAATTCAAAAGTTGTCTATTAAAAATTGTAAAAAACATTAACAAAAATGAAATATTTAGGTCATGCAATGAAAATGTGAATATGTGACTAGTAATTTTATCTATTCAGTTCAGAGATGGTGACCAAGCTGACAGTCCTGTATTATCAAGTTTTTGTGGAACAACTCTACCTGATCCTTTCTTAACAACTACTAATCAGCTGAGAGTTAGGTTTTTGTCAGACTTTGCTAGCTTTGGTAATGGTTTTCTGTTCAAATGGGAGGCAACCACAGATCAGTCAATATCTACAACTCTATCACCAAGCACAGCAACAGGTAATGTAGGCTAGAAATTATTCAACAAAGTTTTTCCTAAGTTATGTCTGAATAATTCTTACTGCCAGTTATAAAATTCATATCTTACCATTTTTTTTAATTTCAAGTTCTCAAATGCATCAGCATTAAATTACAAATAACTGGTAGCCAGTAATAATACATGTATGTTAAACGATGTCACAAATCAGAAGTAAAGAGACCAGTTCATGGACAATTAAGGCAGAATAAATATCAACTTGAAAACTTCAACATGAATTTTAGAGAAAAACATATCCATGATAGATTGCATTTAAAATATTTTCTTCATTCAGTTCCCGGATGTGGTGGTAATATAAACCTGACACCATCATCAAGACAACAAACAATTACCTCCCCTGGATATCCTAATGGTTATGCTCACAACTTGAATTGTGTCTGGAGAATATCTGCACCAGAGGGATTTAGAGTGTGGGCAAACATTACAGATATTAACCTTGAATCACATGGGACATGTAACTATGACTATGTCCTGCTGTATCAAGGTGAGTAATAAAAAAAAATTGTAAATTTATATTGTGAAAAACATTTTCATTTATTACCAACTGACATGGTAATATGCTCTTTACATTTGATTGTTTGAAAATCCATGATATGAATGTATTATAGTTGGTAAGATATTGTATGCCAAAATGAGAGGTATTAGTTACAAGAAGCAGGTAAATATATTGATTTATTGCCAACCAAATGAAAGTCTTCCACAGAGTCGTCTGCTCTTGACCAGGGTATTTAAACTTTTGTCTATTCTCTTGTCCTATTGAATAAATACAATAGCTATTGTTCTCTGTGTAGTTTTTTTCACTGGGACCTTTAAATTTCTTCTAGGAGAAATCTATCACTCATTGATTAATTTACCTGACCAAAAAATTATCTTCTTTTTTTGGGGAAATAGTTGTATAAACTCGCATAAACTGCATGCAATATTGTATTTAATCAATATCAATAATATATTTTCAATCTGTTCAATATAAACACTGATTTAATTATAAAAAGTTTATTTCTGACAAAATTTTTAGTATTGTTCCAATGAATTTGCATGTTTTTGTTGTTTTTCAGTTATAGAATACATTTATCAAGACCTTAATTTAAACACAATAATTTTCAAGTTTTTATTTGTCAAACACACAAAAAAGCAAATTTTAATAGGGAAAATATAAAAAATTTGTTCAGAAATCAACTTTTAATTTTTGAATCAGTGTTTATATCGAAACTATTAGAAATGAATTATTGATATTGAATAAATACAACACCACATGCAGTTTTTTTGAGTCCTTATTTAGTATTTGTACATGTATTTTCATTTTTGACCGTTCAATTTTTTGTTCAGATAAATTAATCAGTGAGTGATAGATTTCTCTTGGAAGAAATTTAAAGGTCCCATCAAATAAACTACACAGAGAACAATAGCTATTGTATTTATTAGATGGGACAAAAGAACTTGCAAAAGTTAAAAACGACAGGTAACTTGCAGGTGAATCTGTGATAAAGTATCATTGGGTTCGCAATAACCTGGCCATGTGTTTACATGTCTGTACAAAGTCAGGCCTGTGGTTTAAAAAAAAAATATCTTATGACAAAAATTTATCTCAAGTATACTGAATTGCTTATAACTTATGATCAATTTTAGTCTTAAGACTTTTTGCGAAACACGGACCAGGAGCATAGTATATCATTAGTGATTTTTATGAAACACGGGCCAGGAGCAAGGTATATCATCAAGGTTTTTGTGAAACGTGTTTCAGGAGCATCGTATATCATCAGACTTTTTGTGAAATGCAGGCCAGGAGCATCGTATATCATCAGTGGTTGTCTAAGCTAATTCTATAAGTCTTTTGTCATCTAGGGCATTTGGTTCTGTTAGCAGACCAATGTTGATCACAGAAATCATTAGAGCATTCTATATTGTCTACACTTTCTTCTGTTACTTAAGACTGTATGTTAACCGGTAGCAGTTTAAAAAAAAGTTATTTTTGTGTCATCAAATTGCTCTCGCATTAACATTAACTTTTTTTAATTATAGCTAATTGTAAATACATTATGGAAAATAGTTTATGTCCTTGAAAAAAATCATTTGATGGTATATTTATTTATTAGGATTAACTTTAGTATAAATCTTATTAACCTTAAATATATTGGAAAATGTTATAATATGAAATTGATATTTTTAATTCTCATTGCAGTTTTTCAGAGGAGGGAGACTTATTTAGGAAAGTTTTGTGGGCGAGTTGCCAATACACAACCAATGGTTTCAGAAATGAATAGTCTAATGGTTTCTTTGGTAACAGATCAGTCTGTTAATTATACTGGATTCTCCATGACAGTCAAATCAGGTATGATTTATCTCCTTTAACTCTTGTAAAAAGATCGACACAATTCTGAAAAATAATTTCAGAATTTGTTTTTGGAAAGATTGGAACTTGTTCTAAATCTTTCCTAAGGCACCGGCCTTGCTGAAATATGTTCCTTATAATGGCCCCTTATCCAAGCATCCAGAGGAGGCAATGGATAAAGGGCATTCTAGAAGGAAGCCAAAAGGCTTCGAGGGTTGAATATGAATATTTTATTCCTACTGGCTGTAGATGACCTTTTTTACAGGTAAAAATACAGGTAAAAATACAGGTAAAAATATATCAATCAAAAACGGATTCGTCCTGTGCTCAGTGAGCCGTGTACTATAAAACCTAATGATATACTTGAATCAGTCTCTTTTTAAAGCCCATACCCTGAAGGCAAGAGCAAACATCATTTATTGGTACCAAAATGGTTGGAGAAAAAACTCGAAACACAAGTTTGTTATCATTGTCACACCACTATTTCTTTCTAATCAAATGCAAAAATGATTTGACACCAGAAAAAAAACATCTATCACATAGATATACCAAATTGCAGATTAAGAACTTCATATACTTCAAATTCCTCAAACATTACAAAATGTCCAGGAAAAAAGTACAACCAAGTATTAACTTGACCAAAACAAAAGTACATGAACAAGTTTTGTATCTACCCCAATCTAAAACCAAACAGGGTTATCAAAAACAACAACCTGTCAACAAAACTATGGTCATGAAGCAAAGACTATTTGTACCAGTGGGTAGGAAACTTCAACCCTCGAAGCCTTTTGGCTTCCTTCTAGAATGCCCTTTATCCATCGCATCCTCTGGATGCTTGGATAATGGGCCATTCTAATTACAGAAGCCGCCAGGCTTCTCAGGTTGAATATGAATCTTTAAAGTAACCAATAAATAAAACAACAAATAAATTAATATGTTATTATTATCAAATAATGTTACAAACATCAGCAGTTTAATTCACAATTATTGTCTAAAAACATCACTGCTCCATCAACATCCTGTGATAAGTTCATCCACAAGTATCTAAATATAATAGTTATAACAATCCACAATGGATATAACATTTCAAGTTTATATAACAACATCCCACATGTGTATGTAATCCAATTCCATATCTAGTCCTAATAAGTTAAATGCAATACATCTTCACGAAATCATCATAACTGTCCTGACTGTACAAGTAGTACATAAAACGCAATCTTCACTTGCTGACTGTCCTGGTCAGCAACAACAAAATAGTTGAACCATGATGCATCCTCAAAATACTGAAAAATAAATTTCCATTTACTGAGATAAAACTGCATTAGAAAAATTAACAACATGTTCATCAGATTGCTGACTTCTATCATTTTCATGGAATCGGTAATAAAATTTTTTGAACGTTTTTGCTGAATGCCAGTTTGCAGTTTTAAGAATGTCATTTAATGATATTCCAGACCTGAATGCAGCAGAAGTTGAAGCTCCTGTGAATGAGTGAGCTTTAAATTAGGAAATATTGATTCCTGAATACTGTAATACTAACTTTAACCATCTGGCAAAAGTTGATGTTGAAATTTTTTTGAAAGTCTTAAATGACTTGATTTTCTTTGTTATTTTGTCACTTTAAGATAATATAATAAAGTATTGACAGGACATAATTCTTTTCTGTCAAACTTAACCAAATCTATCTTTTGGCTAACTCTACCAACCTTGGAAGTTTTTTGTAAACTTGTAACTATAAAAGAAATGTTTTTCTTATTTATAGACATATTGTTCAAATCTAAACTTGTTATGGTTTGTGCTCTCTGTGCAGTACATAAAGCCAATAAGGCTGATACTTTTAATGTAAGTAATTTTTTTGATAAATCTTCCAATGGATACAGAGAAGACAAATATTTCAGAACTTTGTTTACCTCCCAGGTAAATGAATACCTAGGTAAAGGTGGTCTAAGGTTAAAAATACCTTTCATAAATCTGGCAATAAATGTATTCTTAAGAAATTTCTTCTTCCCCATAAGAGCCAGAGTCTGGCATACTGAACATTTATATACATTAATGCAGCTATATGATTTGCTAGATTTGAACAGATGTGCAAGAAAATTTACAATCTGACTTTCAGTGGGTGAAGTGGAATTAATTTTCCATTTATGACACCAAAGTGTCCATTTCATCCACTGATAGTTATATTGTTTTGCTGTGGATGGTCTCCATGACCGCAACAAAATGCCACTAGCGATTTTTGAAAATCCCTTACTTTTAAGGGATCTCCTGATATTAAACAGGCGACTAATAATAGTTTTCTTTGGTTCATTGTATGTAATGTATTGTTGTGCACCAATTTTAGCAGGTCTTTTTTGAAAGGAAGTTTCCTTGGAAAATCTACTAAACAATTCAATAATTTTGGATACCATGGCTGTGTGGTCCACATTGGAGCAACTAAAATTGCTAAGCTCACCTTTTCTTCCTGTATTCGTTTCAAAACTCTCTGGATAATGCTGAAAGGAGGAAAAATATATGGTAAATAATCATTCCAACTCAGAGAAAAAGCATCAGAGGCTAAAGCATCTGGGTCTGGGAACCACGAAACAAATTTGTCTAGCTGTTTATTTAACCTACCGGCAAATAAATCAATTTCTGGCATAACCCAAGTACTACAAATTGTATGAAAAACCTCTTAATTCAACATCCACTCAGAGGAATCACTAAATTGTCTTGTTAAATTATCTGGCAAAACATTTTCAACACCAGGCACATGAACAGCAGATAAATACAAGTTTCTACTTGTTGCCCAGACCCAAATATCTCTACAAATTTTTAACAGTGATACAATACTGCCTCCCATATCATTAATGTAACTAACTGTTGTTATGTTGTCAGATTTTACACAAATATGTAAACATTGCGATTCATTGCATAAGCTTACTAGGCCATATTTTACTGCTAGTAACTCGAGAACATTAATATGCAAATTTTGTTCAACCTTGTTCCATCTACCTTGAGTACTTAACTGATTAAATACTGCACCCCAGCCTAAACCAGAGGCATCTGTATGCAACTCTGCCCCGGGTGTGCCAAAATTTACCATTTTTCCATTTACATGTTTCAAGTTTTCTAAACACCACTGTATATCCTGCTTTGCTTGTACAGATAATATTGTTTTTGCATCATATTCATCATGAAAAACCTTCAAAGCCTTACTCTTATCGATATCAAGGTATCTATAATATAATAGAGCCATAAGAACTGCATTTGATGCCGATGCATACAATCCAACCAGTGTAAATAACTCTCTTATTGTCAGTAGCTTTTTACTTATAATTTTCTTTGAAAAATTCCAGATTTTTTTTATCTTTTCTTCTGGTAGGAAAATCTTTAACTCAACAGAGTCAATAATGAAATCAAGAAAAATTATCCTTTGTGTAGGAACCAGAACATATTTTTCCTCATTAATAGTAAAACCTAGTGATCTCATCATTTGGAGTAAAAAATCAGTATTATCCTGACAAATTTTGCTTGAAAATTCAAGTAACAGAGAATCATCTATGTAAAAATAAGAACCTACTGTATTCCCATGCTTCTCATATGAGAAAAAATAACTTTCATTACTTTTGTAAATACTCTAGGAGCGGTGCTCAAGCCAAAAACTAAACAAGTGAATTCGTATAGTTTACCCTTCCACAAAAATTTTAAATATTTTCTATCTTCATCATGAATTTTAATTGAAAAATATGCATCACGCAAATCAATGGAAGTATAAAATTCACCTATAGAAAGTCCACATAAAACTGTTTGAAAACATTCTTGTTTAAAATGAAAATATTTCACAAAATGGTTAAGTCTCACCAAATTTAAAACAGGTCTAAATTTACCATTTTTCTTTTAAACCAGAAACAAATCTGAAATAAACTCATTTTCCTCATGAAAAGATTCAGTAATGGCCCCTTTAACCAATAATTCTTGAACTTCATTGTCAATAAGAAGGGCTTCTTCTTTTGAAAAATTTCTTGGCTTAGGCATACATCTCTGGATAGGTGTACCCAAAATTCTATTTTGTAACCAAATTGTACTGTATCAAGGACCCAAGGGTCAGAATTAATTTTTTTCCATTCAGAAGCATAAAATTGTAAAGAACCAGCCTTTGGTTTAAAATTTACCTTCAGTATCTTCTTTGTTTGCGGGACATTCTCCCTCTGAAGCCTTGACTTTGGCCTCTTCCTCTGCCTCTCAACCGGCTCTGACCTCTGTAAGGACTTGTTTGGTAATACGACATATTTTAACTTTTAACATCAACATCTTTTTTCATGATCATTTCGGCCGTACGTATTAACGGTGTTATTCCTAGCCCTATTGCCCTTTGAATACCCTGAAATAAAATGTCTTGTGACTTGACATTTCTGTTTAGAAAAGACCATATTTCCGTATTCACCCTAGGTGGTGCAATTGTACTACAATTAGCGGGTACTTTATTTCTCTTAACAATTTCAGTTACATTGGCCCTCTTTTTGGCAACTGCACTTACCAATTTGGCTACATTATCGGCAGCATCTTCCCTGAATTTGTCGTCTTCGTCAAATATTTTAGGCAGTTCAAAAGCGAACTCCTCAGAGACACAGTTGTTGTTTTCTTCAGGGTGCTCATTGTCACAGTTTGCAAACAAATCAAAACAATTAAGGTCATCATTGACTTCCGGGTCATTGTGCGGTGCACCCACTTGGTCGGGACTTACATTTGCATTATCAGTATTTGCCCTATTGTCTAAAAAATCTTCAAGAAGATTATACAAATTCATGAATTCTGTTTGTCTTTTATCTGTAGGGCTGGGTTTTTTACTAGCTTTGCTAGTTGACGGCAAAGCATCACCACCGGAGTTATCTCTGCTCCTTTTCAGTGGGGCCTTTCCTTTGCGGTTTTTACCTGGACCTTTCCCGTGACCACTTGGCTTTTTAGGGTCACTAGTTGGTTTGTCAACAAACTTCTCACCTGTCGGTAAACACGGTGCAGAAAAACCAGAGAAGCTTTCTTCGTCTGATGCAAATAGATTCATTATATCTGCCTCCTCGTCACTATTTAGGTTTATAGGACGGTCCTGGTCGGACTCTTAATCTGACAAGGAACTGGACATTACTATCAATGTCCACAACTAAAAAACATTTGTCGCGTTTGGAAAATGCTGAGTCAGCAGGTTTAGTTGTAGGTTAAGACGTGTCTTCTTACAGCCTTTAAATAAAAAGAGACCGATTCGAGTATATCATTAGGTTTTATAATACACGGCTCACTGAGCACAGGATGAATCCATTTCTGATTGATATATTTTTACCTGTATTTTTACCTGTAAAAAAGGTCGTCTACAGCCAGTAGGAATAAAATATTCATATTCAACCTGAGAAGCCTGACGGCTTCTGTAATTAGAATTCTCATGTCTGTGGACATATGCACATATATACTGTGAAAAACTTAGGTATATTTTTGGAGCAGTTCATTCAAGTATGTATATCTTTAATGTGTGTTGATGTGCAGGCTTTTTTTATCATTTGGATTAGGTGATTGAGTAATGATACAATACTAGTATGATTGACAACTGTCATGATCACCAAACAATCAGAGACAAGGTGGGACTTGATAACAATGCCCCACCTTCTTAAATGCCAATCATACTGACCACATTACTAATCAACCTCAGTCTTACATAATTATACAGACCCTTCAATATACATCTCAATACACTCTCAATACACAAATATTTGACCTCATAATTTAATACACAAATTTATATATTAGGTGTTTGATATATAGAGATGATAGATATATTCATTGCCTATTCCTTTTGATCTACGCTACATAAAGTGATTCTGTAAATTGTGTCTGAAAGATAAATGATAAATTAAGGATTAACAAGATCTTTTTTTTCAAAAAAAAAAAAAAAATGAAATCTGAATATAAATATATACAAGGTATATAAGTAAGGCCTATAATTTACTTGATAAATCTGCAATAGTCATCTGTAATTAATCAACAATTTAGGTTAGTTCACTTATTTTTATACGACCGCAAAACAAAATGCGGTCGTTTATTGATATCACGTCATCGTCGTCCGAAGACACATTGGTTTCTGGACAATCACTTTTGTTTAAGTGTATGGATTTCTATGAAATTTTACCATAAGGTTTATGACCACAAAAGGAAGGTTGGGATTGATTTTGGGGGTTATGGTCCAAACAGTTCAGGAATTAGGGGCCAAAATGGGGCCCAAATAAGCATTTTTCTAGTTTCCAGACAATAACTTGTGAAATTGTGTATGGATCTCTCTGAAATTATACCACAAGTTACCATATCACAAAGGGATGGTAAGAATTTGCTTTGGGGGGTTATGGCTCAAACTGTTTAGGAATTAGGGACAAAAAAGGGGGAAAAACAATGATTTTGATTAGATTTATGGTGTTTTAACGCCACTTTTAAGCACCGCTTTTGGGCTATTTCGTGGCGGCCAGTTTTTATTGGTGGAGGAAGCCGGAGAAAACCATAGACCTTCGATAGGAAAACTGACAATCCTAGTCAATTAAGATTGGAGTCGAGTGCACCCGCACGAGCGGGGTTCGAACTCACAACCTCAGTGTTGACTGGCTAGTGATTACAGTAGTAACTACTTAGACCACTAGGCCACCGAGGCCCCTGGGAAAAACAATGGTTTCCAGGTTAATGGACAATTACGTAAAAACATTATTTTAAAGCAGTGTAAGGGAGGTAATTCAATCACATATTGTCAAATTACCTCCCTTACACTGCTTGTAAATTATTTATAAAGAAATGTATTGTCTTTAGGTGATTAGCTGTCAATTTATTTTTAGAAGTTACTATTTTAAAAATGTTTAATAAAGGTAACTAATTTAAATATAGCCATGATTATGTATGTGAAGGAATTTTATTTTTAGATATTACTATTTAATGTTGATGATTATGATGTCATTTTCTATTTTGATACTTTTATGATGTATTTAAATGGGTTTTTATGGTTGCAAAGTCCTACTGTCAATTTTTTTTAAGAAGTTACTTATAAATGCTGATGAAGGAATTTTATTTTTAGATATTACTATTAAAAGTTGCTGATGAAGGTTTTTTAATTTTAGCCATGACTATGATGTCATTTTCTATTTTAATACTTTTATGATGTTTTTAAATGGGCTTTTATGGTTAAAAAAAAACATTTTTCTAGTTTCCAGACAGTAACTTGTGATTAAGGGTATGGATCTCTCAAAAATTGTACACCAAGGTTCCATACTACAAAGGAAAGACTGCAATTGAGTTTGATGGTTAATGCTAAAAGGGGAATTCAAAAAGTTTGGGGGGAAGGGGGGGTTCCAATTTTTTTTTAAAAGGGTTCATATTTTTTTTTTTAAATTTTCAAAATTTCAAGTTTCAAGAAGAAATCTTCAATTGCACAGTATTGCGCATTAGATTTGTAAGATCTTTGACCACATTTATTTTGTGTCAGAAACCTATATTATGTCAAAAATTTGATCACAATCCAAATTCAGATAGTATCAAGCTTGAATATTGTGTCCAAATTTGCCCCAACTGTTCAGTGTTCGACCACTGCGGTCGTATCAGGCTGCGCTCAGCGAAGCATTTTATTTTATCAGTGATTGGCTTGAAACAGTTAGTAAAATTTTTAAACTCTTAATTAGAACAAACCAAATATTTTTTAGTTTATTCCCCATCAAATGTCTTGTTAACAATTTTAGTCATTTGAATATAAGAAGTGTATATATATCTATGCAATCAAGATAGAATCCACATTTCAATAAAATAAGCTTTTTATTTTTTTTATGTTGAAAAGGTAAATTTTCAATGTCCTTTGCTGAAAAATATTTAAATTATAAATTGATCAAAATACACTCTACAACTTTTAATCTTCAATGTCATATAATCATGATAATTGTTTTCATAATCAATAAGCAATTCTCAGAGGAGAAAAACAGTATACCTATGTTTCAACTTACAAAATGCCCCATAACAACCTTTTTATATTATTTTTTTTGACACAATAAAGTTCTTAGCTTCAAGTCTATCTGTTGGTCCTATGTTTTACAAGGATAATTGATAAACTTTACTAGAAGAATCTGTGATTTGCAATTTTTGTTTTGTTTCAAAAGATAAAATGTAAAAGGTGAAACATGTAAAGGGGAACATTATTTGGTTAAGATATAAACTGCAATTTAAATGAAATTGTTGTGCAAATTAAGGGACCCCCTATCATTCAATTTGATTCACATTTAACTCATTTTATCTACTGGAAAAGTGCTTTTCCTTCTAAAGACTGACAGTTAATGCAATTGTCAGCAATAGTGCTTTATTAATGTTCTTTTTTGTCAACACCATACCTAAATATGAATATATGATTTGAAATTTTTCAAACTACTCTTCCAATCTTTCCATGAGTGTTTTCCATCACTTTGATTATTTTGAGGACCAGATAAGGGCTTTAATCATATCTCTTCCATTTCATAGAATTTTTCAGTATAATGTTTCAATTTTGCTAAAATTATTATATTGACTGTTTATATTTAGAAAATTTAAATGTGATTATAATGTTTATTTCATAGTATTCTTATGAAATTCAAAGAGACTCATTTTTGCGAGCCTGCAACATTTATGTTCAGTAAGCGAGATATAGCATTCATAGATTCCGTTGTCATCTTCATCAATATTTAGATACCTGTTTTCAGGGATTGAGGAACAATTTATTTTTCATGGATATTTGATTTTATGGTGTTGCCAAAGAATGCATACAAACCTATTCAAAATTTGTAGTTTGTTGAACAGTTGAATTCATGGTTTACCTTTACAGACGAAATCCTAGAAAATTGACATAATGAATCCACAGTATTCAATTGTAAACTTATTTAATTTATATCATATTTGTTGTATTAGAAAAATAGAGGCAGAAGATAACAAAGGGACAATCAAAATTCATAATTAGATATAAGAAGATGTGGTATGAGTGCCAATGAGACAACTCTCCATCCAAGTCACAATGTATAAAAAGTTAACAATTATAGGTCAAAGTAGGGCTTTCAACACGGAGCCTTGGCTCACACCGAATAGCAAGCTATAAAGGGCCGCAAAATGACTAGTGTAAAACAATTCAAACAGAAAAAAAACAACGGTCTAATCTATATAAAAAACGAGAAACACTTATGAACCACATCAACAAACGACAACCACTGAACAACAGGTTCTTGACTTAGGACAGGTGCAAACAAATGCAGCGGGTTTAAACGTTTTAATAAGTCAAAGAGAGACTAACAAAACCATGTAAAATATTTACTTAGTGTATATTGCATAAATAAATGAAATTTTATGATTCATATATCGTGTACAACCTTTCGTCTATTTGTTTTCAGTATGTGGAGGCAAGATCTATGGAACCAGTGGTAGGATAGCAAGTGACAATTATCCTAACTCCTATCCAGCTAATTCTAACTGTTCTTGGGTGATTATTGTGCCTACTGGTAGAACTGTTAGAGTCCAGTTCAATGGAACTTTTAACATTGCTGGATCTGGTTCTGGTTGTCAAGGAGATTATATCCAGGTATATTACTTTTAAGTTTGCATTGCTTTACCTAATTATGGTTGTCAGGAAGACTAACCATATGTATTATGTAGAGGCTGGCATTGTTTGACCTTGTTCTACTTGTCAGACACCTACTTTCTCTTTGCTGATACTTTGAATATTTTAAAATGTTTATTGAACTTAATATTCTTGTCGCACATTTTTCCAGTACTTCTTAACCGAATGACTTCATGTGTGGTCAGCAGCTTGGCAATGACTAGTAACATGTAAGCACTTTTCAGATCAGTTTGACACATACTTCTTGTTTTCTGATACTTTGAATTATGAGTTGGGGTATGCATTACAAGTTAATTGTGAACACTGATTTCAGAAATTCAATATGGTGACTCACTCTTTAGGTATAACAGTTTCATTGTTGATTGAACAGTAAACAGTAGTCAAATAAAAAAGTGTTTAAACATAAAATCGCATTAAATTGTAAATATTTCAGCTTCTTACTGGTTCCAATGCAAATGCCCCACCAATGGGTAATGCAGCACAAGGAAAATACTGTGGTACCAGTCCCCCTCAACCATTAGAAACTACAAGCCATTTTATGTATGTCAAATTTATATCAGATGGGAGTAACAATGCTGCTGGATTTTCAATGGTCTTCAATGAAGTTCAAGTGACATGTGGAGGTCATCTGACCTTGAGTAATTCAGTGACCAGTGGTTATTTCACATCACCAAATTACCCTAGTAATTACACGCATAATGTGGAATGTGTTTGGATTATAACAGCACCTGCTAATGAAAGGATTCAGATCGATTTTGATGAACGTTTCAGAATAGAAAATCACATGAGGTATGAATATATATCAGAAAGAATGTATACATGTGGACAAAATCCTTTTCTGTATTTGTGAGCTTATGTTGATAAAGAAAACTGATATTCAGAAAATGTACATGAAGCAGTGACAGAAAGATATAAGATGACAAAAAATTTATTTTACTTTGAATTTTATGCCCTGCCTAGGAAAGTAGGGAACAGTTTATTTTCCTGTTTGTGTGTCTATTTGTCCATTCATCCAGTTTCAAGTTTAAGTCTTGTTTTAAAATATGGTGATGTTTTGGTTTTAACGGAAATTTACCATCAAGTTGTGGTTATGCCAACTTTAAACTTAGTGCACATGTTATAATGATGCAAACTAATTAATTAAAAGATATGCAAAATTGTCATCTAAGCACAAATTAAATTGTTAAACATAACATTAATTGTATTTTGGATGGAAAAAGATTTTAGGAAGAAATGCATCATAAGTCACTTATTAAGTTATTATTTTAAGGACATACATTATAACATATATATTATATTGAAGTTTCCCTCTGGTTTTCTCCCAAAGTCAATTTTGATACCAATGTTCAAAATTTGTGAAGAAAAAAACAACACTTGGTTACTAAATTTCAAGATGTATCCTTTTGTTTTTGACATGTTTGAAGTAAAAATATGAGAATTTAATGCCTTTTGATGGATTCAATATTTGTAATTAAATATAACAACATGTCTGCTCTTCATTGTAACTAGTTTAAATTCATGCAACCACATACAAGGAAGTCTGAATGTTTTCCAATTTCAAATTCCTTTTATTAATTAAGTCACAAAAACAATATGCATTATTATCTACCCTTGCTTTTGTATTGTATGCCCCTGTATCGAAAATGTTAAATTCAGAGAGGGTATCTCTGTAGGAAAATGGTAGAGTTTGGTATAAATTTAGACATACCCATTACTTACCTGACAAATATTTTCTTTTACGTGACAGCTGTGGTTTTGACTTTATCGAGTTAAGAGACGGAGGTACAACAAACTCCCCATCACTTGGTAAATTCTGTGGCATCACTAGACCTGGAACAGTTAAGTCCACAGGAAATGTTATGTATGCCAGATTTAGAACTGATGGAAGTGCTTTCTATACAGGGTTCAAAGCAAATTATAAAATTGGTAAGTATGTCTATTAAAGGTAGAGATTTAAATATCTAAATTTCTGGTGGCCATCTTTAATTTAAAAACTATTGGTATGGATTAGATTTATTTCTTTGTATGAAACAATTTATTTATTCCTATCTTATGGTATTTTTATTTTACATAAAACAGATAATTTAATTTATTTTAAATTTTAATGTGCATGATTTTTTTTTGGAAAAGACAGCTGTCCCTATTTGGTTGGCCACTCTCTAAGCCTCTCACGTCAATCATTTTGTGTTTTATAGTTCACAAAAACCTTACAATTTCATACTGAATATTGAAGAGAAGGAGACAAACAAATGAAAAGAATGATTTGAAAACTTTTTGACACATTTCCCTTCTGTTTCTTGGGAATTCATTCGCAGAAATTGTGTACATGAAGTGGAAGGAGACTTTAGGTTTGCACTCTGTCTGTCTGTCTGTCTGTCTGTCTAGCAAATCAGTTTTCCACACTTTTTTTTAGCTCACCTGGCCTGAAAGCATGGCGTCTGTCATCTGTCGTCGTTGTCTGTCTGTCGTCGTCCATTAACTTTTACAAAAATCTTCTCCTCTGAAACTACTAGGTCAAATTTAACCAAACTTGGCCACAATCATTATTGGGGTATCTAGTTAAAAAATTGTGTCTGACGATCCCACTTGCCAACCAACATGGCTGCCATGGCTAAAAATAGAACATAGGGGGTAAAATGCAGTTTTTGGCTTATATCTCTGAAACTAAAGCATTTAGAGCAAATAAGACGGGGTAAAAATGTTCATCAGGTCTAGATCTATCTGCGCTGAAATTTTTAGACAAAACAGACAACCCGTTATTGGGTTACTGCCCCTGAATAAGTAATTTTAAGGAAATTTTGCAGTTTTTGGTTATTATCTTGAATATTATTATAGATAGAGATAAATTGTAAACAGCAATAATGTTCAGCAAAGTAAGATCTACAAGTAAGTCAATTTGACCAAAATTGTCAACTGACCCCTTAAGGAGTAATTGCCCTTTATAGTCAATTTTTCGTAAATTTTTGTAATCTTTTACAAAATCTTCTCTGAAACTACATAGACTAATTCAACCAAACTTAGCCACAATCATCATTAGAGTATCTAGTTAAAAAAATGTGTCCTAAGACCTGGCCTGCCAACCAACATGGCCCACAGGGATAAAAATAGAACAAAGGGGTAAAATGCAATAATGTTCAAAAAATTAAGGTCTACAAATAAGTAAAGACGACAAAAACTGTCAATTCAGACCTTAAGTAGTTATTGCCCTTTAAAGTAAATTTTTAACAATTTTTCGTAAATTTTTGTAATCCTTTACAAAAATCTTCTTCTCTGAAACTACGTAGACAAATTTAATCAAACTTGGCCACAATCATCATTAGGGTATCTAGTTAAAAAATTGTGTCCGACGATCCCACCTGCCAACCAACATGGCCACCATGGCTAAAAATAGAACATAGGCGTAAAATGCAGATTTTGGCTTATATCTCTGAAACTAAAGCATTTAGAGCAAATCTGACAGGGTAAAAATGTTCATCAGGTTAAGAGCTATCTGCTGTGAAATTTTCAGACAAATCAGACAACCCATTGTTGGGTTGCTGCCCCTGAATAAGTAATTATAAGGAAATTTTGCAGTTTTTGGTTATTATCTTGAATATTATTATAGACAAAAATAAACTGTAAACAGCAGTAATGTTCAGGAAATTACGTTTTACAAATAAGACAATATGACCAAATTGTCAATTGACCCCTTGAGGAGTTATTGCCCTTTATAGTCAATTTTTAACAATTTTTCCTAAATTTTTGTAATCTTTTACAAAAATCTTCCCCTCTTAATCTACTTGGCCAAATAGAATTAAACTCAATCATAATTTTCAATAGGGTATCTTGATTGAAAAATGTATCCGGTGACCCTGCCATCCAACCAACATGGCCACCATGGCTAAAAATAGAACATAGGGGTTTACTATAGAAGTCTATGGGAAAATTGTAAAAAAACAATTTCACATGGTCACAACTTGAAAACTAATTTAAATTATGATTAGGGGTCTTCAGTAACTATTGTAAGACTACAACGGGATGACTTGCTTTTAATTTAACTACTGGGCCAGATTAAACCAAACTTGGCCTCAATCATTATTAGGGTATCTAATACTATTTATTATGATTTTAACCTTATTTTACTTGATTTCCAAAACCACAGTAGATACAGGTGAGTGACAGGCTCTTGAGAGCCTCTAGTTTGATCATCCTTGAAGATATTGACTTGATATTAGTTATATAGTTTACACCTTGACAAGTTATAGATCAAGAATAGCATTTTGTTAATGATATTTTAACCAGTAGGGGACTATATATTGCCACGCAATACTCACAGAATGCTTGTTAACCATAATTATAAATGAAATTCGTACATGAAATGGAGAACTATCTTCGTGTGGTACTTTTAAGCTAAACAAAAAAGGTGGCGGTGTTTTCTTGTCATGAAACTTGCTTAGGCTGGTTCTCTCTCTTGCAACATGCTAGTTTCAGAGCCAAACAGATAAAGGACAGGGAATCAGTCTAAAAACTTGCTTTGATTATGGTCATTTCATACCTCATTGAATATTTATATGTGTGCAATTTTGTTCCTCGTGTAATATTTATATTTTTTAAATGATATTAGCAAATCAGGGACTGTTATCATGAAGCAATCTAAGTGCTTAAGATCGTCTTAAGGTTATCTTATCTGCTAAGAGTGTATCTTGATGTAATCTTAGAATGATTGACAGCGCTTAAAATTCATGTTGCACTCGCAACCCTAAGAGTACTCTTTGTCCTTCTCGGAACGCTCTCTTAGTTTTAATCTTATCGACTGGGTATATCGAATGTTGATAATCAACTTAAGATCATCTTTGATTATTCTCAGCAAATTTTAAGTGTATCAGCATTCTTTTTTTACTGAAAACTTAACAGAAAATTCTAAGAGTGGTGAGGGACACCCCTATCTCTCTCTTAGTTGATAAAATGTTGCTTGGCTGCAATGTTCTTACATGTGTGTTCAACAGAACAAAATAGGATATCCAAAAGGATCATAGAGATCGAACAAATCCATTCACTTGTCCTAGACGACCGTAGGATTGTCTATGATTACAGAATCGGAAAATGTCCCAAGTAACACCATTTTGTTCTGCTAGCTGTCAGCATTGTTTCCAATTCATCTTTGTTAAAGCTGGCTTTTCTTTAAAGAATAAAGAGATGTGGTCACGGGTGGGGGGTCTCAACATGGGATTTTGGGTACAGTTGTGCACCCTGGATTTAAAAAACACCTCCCATTCATATATTGAATAATTGTGAAATCCCTACCTATACATATATTTCACAGCGAAATCATAACCCATTCAGTGAAGATCGTTGCACAACAAATTGAAAAATTATGACCCATTGATATATCACAATTGGTCAATTACTACCTATTGATATATTTCCTCTGTAAAATTGCACCCCATTGATATATTTGACGTATCAAAAAAGGGACCCATTCCAGCGGCACATATGTATATACCTTCATATAGGAAGAGACCCCCCATGGATGTGGTATGATTGCCAATGAGACAACTATCTACCAAAGTTGAATGAAGTGGATGTTAGGAATTATAGGCAACTGTACGGCCTTAAACAATGAGACATGAAAAATATCAAACAATTCAATTGAGAAAACCAACGTCTTAATTCATAACAAAACAATTTGTAAAATACAAATATGACAGACATGAACCAACGACAACTTGTGACCACTGAACTACATGCTCCTGACTTGGGAAAGGCACATAATAAATGTGGCGGGGTTAAACATCATGTTTGTGAGCCCTCAACCCTCCCCTAACCTGCACCAGGAGAAAGTGGAGTTACAGCACAGCATAAGAACAAACTATAAAAATCAGTTGAAAAGGGCTTAACTCATCAGTTCGATACAAAGCAGAAAAACATCTAACAAGAACACAAACCGGACGTAGCAGAGTATTTATACATCCATAACAACAAATAGACACAAAGTACAGATCTATTAATACTCACAGTTACTGACAGCTAGGTCAAAGGCAATAACAACTAATAAAAAAATCATGTATCTAAGACTAAAATATCAATTACTACACACACAATATCCTATGGATTTAGTTGAAAGCCATCATTAACAGTCAGAGGAAAACATGACCTTGTGCAATGCAAAAAATATAGGTATTGACAGATTGTAGTACCATGAATGTACATATGTGTATACTCCCTTTTCTATGCCCCCGCCGTAGCGGAGGGGGCATTAAATTTTACCCTTGTCCATCTGTACGTACGTACATATTTACATCCCAAAATTGGTTTCCGTTCTCTAACTTTAGTTTGGCTCAACCAAATGTTTATTATCACAAAACACAGATCAAGATTGAATTTTGGTGGCGTCACTTTTACCGTTGTAGAGTTATGCCCCTTTACAAATGGAAAAATTGATGAGTTTATCGTTTCCATTCTCTAACTTTAGTTTGCCTCAACCAAATATTATGAAACTTATACACAATGCTTATTACCACAAAACACAGATCAAGTTTGAATTTTGGTGGTGTCACTTTTACTGTTCTAGAGTTATGCCCCTTTACAAATGGAAAAAATGCTGAATTTTTAGTTTCCGATCTCTAACTTTAGTTTGCCTCAACCAAATGTTATGAAACTTATACACAATGCTTATTACCACAAAACACAGATCAAGTTTGAATTTTGGTGGCGTCACTTTAACCATTCCAGAGTTATTCCCCTTTATAAATGGAAAAATTGCAAAAATTTTATTTTCTTCTAAATATCAAGTAATTTTTAAAATTGAGTTATCTTCCTTTGTCCATGATTATAGTTGAATCAACTACAATCAATGCTTTATTCAATGCAATGTTTAATTTTGACTTCCACTGATAAAACACAGATCAAGATTGAATTTTGGTGGCGTCACTTTTACCGTTGTAGAGTTATGCCCCTTTACAAATGGAAAAATTGATGAGTTTATCGTTTCCATTCTCTAACTTTAGTTTGCCTCAACCAAATATTATGAAACTTATACACAATGCTTATTACCACAAAACACAGATCAAGTTTGAATTTTGGTGGCGTCACCTTTACTGTTCTAGAGTTATGCCCCTTTACAAATGGAAAAATTGCTGAATTTTTCCTTCCCGCTCTCTTTAGTTTGTCTCAACCAAATGTTATAAAACTTATACACAACTGTTCTAGAGTTATGCGTGTTTACAAATAGAAAATTGCTGAATTTTTAGTTTCTGTTCTCTACTTAAGTTAGCCTCAACCAAATGTTATAAAACTTATACACAACTGTTCTAGAGTTATGCGTGTTTACAAATAGAAAATTGCTGAATTTTTAGTTTCTGTTCTCTACTTAAGTTAGCCTCAACCAAATGGTATGAGACTTACACACAATGCTTATTACCACAAAACTCAGATCAAGTTCAAATTTGGGTAGCATCACTTTTACCGTTCTTCAGTTATGTCCCTTTATAACAATATGATATGCAAGCGGGGGCATCATCTGTGTCCACATGTGGACACTATCCACATTTATTTTTTATTAATTTTGTATTACATTGTGTCATAGATCAAATTTATTCGTTTAGTGTATGTTCACTTGTTTTTGTTAAAATGTCTTCTGATTGAGTTAAGCCATTGCATTTGATATTTTATAGTGTGTCTTCCTATGTTGTGATGTTACACTATAGTTTCAGGTTAGGGTGAAGGTTGGTGCCTATTAAAACGTTTAAACCCGCTGCATTTGTTTGCACCTGTCCTAAGTCAGGAACCTGATGTTCAGTGGTTGTCGTTTGTTGATGTGGTTCATAAGTGTTTCTCGTTTCTCGTTTTTTATATAGATTAGACCGTTGGTTTTCCTGTTTGAATGGTTTTACACTAGTCATTTTTGGGGTCCTTAATAGCTTGCTGTTCGGTGTGATCCAAGGCTTTTTTTAAGGTGTTTTTTAATTCTGGATGTACTATTTCTTTGCAATTATTACTCAGTAATTTACTGCAGTCTATACACTTCCACTTAATAGGTCATTCAGTTTCACATATTCAACATTTGGCTAGAGCTTGACTTCTTATAACAGACTGAAAGAATGCCATTATATTGTTTGATAAGAATGTTGTATTTTCTTCCTGATTTGTATCACAAGGTTGTTCAGTGTGAAAGGAGCACTAGCTGTCAAATTCATGTTCACCGATTTGACTCAAATTCTCATATTTGATTTATAACAATGTAAAACATTTATCCAAATTCTAAAAAGTCTAAAATAAACAATTTACAGGGCATGGGCTCGATAATATGTAGCTTCGTTTCGTGTGTGTTTTAGTCTAGACGACATCTAATTAACTAATGAGTTGACCTCCGAAGACCTCCAATGGTCACATAAGCAATATAAACATAAATATAGATATAAATAGATAGCGACCTCGTGGAATTTGATTTTTGCTAGGTCTGTTTAATTTCATATCATAGATTAGAAATATATGTTAATCATCGTTTTTACCTGTATAAGAATGATTTTTTGTGGATCGGATCAGTCAATCAAATGATTTACCTTTGATTCACTTTCAATGTTGACATTCTTTTCCTTTAAATAACTGAGCATGCACAATTCATGAGTTATCCATCTTTAGCTAAGGGGTTAAATTGAAGTTCACATGAATACGGATTCAATGAGGTTGAATTATTCACTTGCAAGTGATTAATTCATCATCAATGTTTCTTAGCTTATTTTGACAAACTTCAGTATTTGTTTTGAATAAAAAGATACAAGACATTGTAAAGATTGTTAGCTAAAGCTAAAATTTGACCATACAAGAGCTTTATTTCCAACCTGAAAATACATTTTCAATGATGTTGTCTGTGACCTAATAGAGAGTATTTATAAATTAAAACTATTCATATATATATATATATATATATATATATATAAGTCTGAAAATTACACCCAACAGTGTTAGAATTAGACTTTTATGCTGACAAATTTTTGTCCCTCAACGGGATTCGAACTCACACCTTTGATACACTACAGCACCAATCGCTTAGCCTCATGTCCAGCGCTCTAGACCACACGACCACATCCGCTAAAATATAACTTCAATAGTCGTAGTGTTACCTTGTCACGTAAGGCGAATCTAGAGATAGACATAAGACATGTGTTTTAAGCGTGTGAAGATGTTATATTATTATTTAATACACAATGTATTTGTTATTTGTCAGCAATCTAACTCAACAATTTTTATATACCGTATGGGATAATGATTCAATTCATTATACAGTCACTAGAAATAAGTATATCATACAAACAAGTCTAAGCAAGTGACAACCATACAATATATATGCCCACTGGATCTCAGTGTGTTTGAGACACAGGGTTAATACAAATATTTAGTATATATACTAAACAAGTCAAAAAGGGTATAACATCACAAAAATCCAAGTACTGAAGTACTGAACATCGCAAGTTCTGGTGGATGGTCACAAGCACTTGTCTCAGAAAAAAATCCCATCTCTATATCTGAAAGTTAGGTTAAGGTACATAGATATATTTTTTTCTGAGACAAGTTCGTGTTTGGATGATGAATAAATGACAGAGAATTCAACCTCACCGTAATAACTATTATATTGTAGTGATATAATCATTTGTTATCAGTATACTGTGGATTCATCATTATTCGTTGGATACCAATTTCCGTGGATCTCGTGGGTACAGGGGAACCATGAAATTACGTGTTCGACGAATTACAAATTTTCTATAAGGTTATATGTAGACTTCTGCAAAACCACGAAATCAAATATCCACTAAAATGCCAATTTTCCTCAATCCACGAAAATTGGTACCCAGGAAATTCTATTGAAATAACTTGATTTCTGAATTTTCTTTATCTCTTGTTGACAAAGTCATAAAACTAGACTTAGGCTTTCTGTTTAGCTGGTGATGGCAGCATCAACAATGTATTAATTTGTGGTTAGGTCAGTTTAAGGGGAACAACTAGTGGTGGGTCAACAAAATATATTCTCATATGAATGACAAAATTTTGTTCTTTTGATATTTTTTTCACCTATCCATTATGTACGTAATATACATGAATAATTTAATTTTGGAAGTAACGCATCTTCTGATTGCCTGACGTTGTTTTGTTTATCAGCTCATAGACATAATTTTGTCATGTGACCGTGACGTCATTAACGTTTTTCCATGGTTTACTCCGGTTTAAAATGGAATTTAGAATTAAATTATAAGAAATAACTGTAATATTTTTTCTGTCTATTTCGAAATAACATAAAAAATGTGGTGCACACCTTAAAATAGCCCGATAGTTATTCATAGATTTACTAAAAAAGTATTCATTCTTTTTTTAGCAACATGTGGAGGAACCATTAGAGGTCAGACTGGATACATTCAAAGTCCAAACTTTCCCTCACCATATGACAGTAATATGGACTGTGAATGGTACATCCATGCACCAACAGGACATTATATGACCTTCAACTTTTTGTCCTTTAACCTTCAGTATGGAAGTAACTGTACAGTGGTCGACTATGTAGAAATCAGAGAATATAATAATACAGGTTTGTTAGATTATACTGGAGAAAAACAAAAGACTAGCTGTATAATTAGTACTGTAGTGTATCAAAACTACACAAAAACCTGTCAAAATACAACTTGTAAAAACAAAAATTCATTTTGAAGAAATGAATGTAACTATTCCTTTATGACAAATACTATCCCAAAAAAAAAATCTTTATTTAAAAAATTATTAAAAATTCTGACAACTCAATTCATTTTCATCCATGTTAATCTATTTACCACAGTTAATGATGTAATTAGACTAAATGAGGTAGATTAACATTCAAAAGGAGGTACAAAAAGAGGTTTGATAAAAGGTCGCCTCCCCTTTTCAAAAGTTGGTCAATAAGTCTAATTGTTAGTAAAATTTTAAAAATTTCTGTTTCTCCACTGGGAGTGTGTAAAAGCTAACACTATATTAGCGAAAACAAATTCAATATGGCTCTTCTTTTTAGCAAGATCAAGAGGTTCACACATGGTTTGCATTGTTTTATCACAAATATTTTAAAAACAAAAATGACTTTTCTTACAGGTCCATTATTGAAGAGAGCTTGTGGAAGCAGCACACCAACGTCTGTTGATACATCTGATAGCTTTGCCTATGTTCGATTTAAATCAAACAGTGCATCAAATTTAGCTGGATTTAAACTTGTTTTTCATGCTAGTGTTGAAGGTAACTTATTTAAAGTTATTGATTAAACAGTTTTTCGGTTTTTTTTCAAATATATTATCTTTAATTCTTGCATCCAAAATCTTATGTACAACATCTGTCTATTGACATTTGAAATAGTTGTATTTTTTAGTAATGTCTTATGATCACTATACCTCTTACCTTTACAAATCATCTAAATAGACTATTTTCATATTACCTACTTTTGGCTCCGGAGCGTATAAATTTTTAACAGGTTACCTACTCTGTGGTAGGACATTCTGGTACTCGGTCAAGTAAGAGCAACTGAAAGAAAGTAAAATCAAACTAACAATCGGTGCAATATTGGGGGGAAAAAAATAATTATTTAAGTTTTCTATACACAACAAAATCATCGGAAAACAGTTAATTTACCTTTTGATTGGTTGACCCCTATAACCTTATTAAAGTTTTGTTTATATTTGATACATTTTAGAATGTGGTGGGTATTTTACAACACCAATAGGTAGCTTTTCTTCACCAAACTTCCCAGGGCGATATCCACATTCAAGAACCTGTGAATGGAAGATAAGAGTTCCACAAGGTCGTCGAGTGACTTTGAACTTTGATAGCTTTAACATTGAAGCTAGCAGAACTTGTTATGATTATGTTGATGTAAGTATGGTTACTTTGATAATTGATACTTAGCCTTTTTATCCTTCTTTGGCTCATACATTTTACCACACTGCACATTGTCTAAATACTTTTCCAAAAAAAAGATTTCAAATACATTGTATGTAGTGCATAATGCCAAGGTGTGAGTACAATATTTTATTTCTTAATATACTCCCACAACATAAGAGGAGATGTATGCTGTTATCACTGTCTGTCAGTCCTTACGCACATCTGTCCATCCATCCAATAAAATTTTTGTCACATTTTATTCAGAATCTACAATTCAGAGCTTACTGAAATAAGGTATCAGGCTTCATGCGAACATGCTATACTTTGTGAGGCTTTTTCTCATTCATTGCTTATCAGCTATCTGTAAGCCAAATACTTGTATATTCTTACACATGATGGCCATGTTGTAAACTTTCATCACATTTTTCTCAGGTACTACTAGTCAGAGCTTTTGAAAATTTGATATTGAGCTTTATGCAAGCACGCTTTACCCTGTGATGCATATTCACATTCATCACTCATCAGTTTTCGGTTCAGTATATGAAAAATAGGTCAACTATATTTAGGGATGGTTCATTGGTCATCATAAACATGGGTTTCTATCAAAAATATACCCAATGAACATGAAACAAGTTCAATATTGCTCCCACCTTGGAATATATATTTATAAGCTGATCTAAGTTGGAAAATGCACTGTTTTCAAAAAAATATTTTACTCTGACACTACTGTTTCAATCGGGAGCAAACTTGGCAACAATCATCCTTAGGAAGCTTAGATTTAGAAATTATGTTTCATATGTCTGATTACGGACCAACACCAGCAAGGACTTTGGTTATTTGAAGTGTCTATTAATTTTCCTTTCTAAGGTTTATAATGGAATTTTGGACAATTCACCTCGCTTCAGAAGAGTTTGTGGTGAGACAAACCCAGGTATTATCCAGTCCTATGGAAACACTATGAAGGTTATATTCAGGACAGATGGTTCTATCAGTAATGGTGGATTCAGAGCATCTTATTCATCACAGGAAGATGCAGGCAAGTTATATAATGGCAAAGTATTTAAAAGTTTTTTTTTAACCAATTAAAAGAATTTGAAAAATCTCATAAAAGGGCAATTTCTATCTCTATAATTACTAAGTGCTGTTCCATAAAAGCATACAAGGGACCCAGGGAAAGCACTTCCAAATCTCAACTATGGGTGGGTGTCATCTATGTGTTTGCATAGTGGAAATGTAAGTGAAATTTTAATTTGCCTGTATAGGTGGTTACCCCATTTTTAAAGTGCCTTCACTGGGTACCATGTATGTTTTAATGGAACAGCCCTAAGTAAAAGATATGAATGGAAATCAATGGATGAAAATTATGAAATAACGTGTTTAAGACCAATTTTTCCCAAATTTTTGATAGTATGCTAAAACATTTGCTGCTCTTAAACCACTGGCCAAAAGCTGTCATTAAATTAAGCCTGAAAGATCCAAAGTCATCTTTCTGTTGATACAGCCAAACAACAATCTTTAATACCATTTTTGTCTCGCCTGCGACGAAAGTCGCAGAAAGTGAGACATAGGTATTACTATCCGGCGGCGTAAACTATTTGTATAAAGCTTTCTATTTCAGAAGGTAGAAGACCTGGATGCTTCATACTTTGTATGCAGATACCTTATGTTACGAACTTTCCGTCTGTCATATGTCCAATGTCCTTGACCTTATTTTCATGGTTCAGCGACTGCTTGAAAAAAAAGTTTAGTTTTTTTGTTATGTAAATTTCTCACTTATTATGAGTAATAGGATAACTATATTTGGTATATGGGTTCCTTGCAACGTCTACATGTCCATCAGACAGGGTTCACCTGACCTCAGCCTCATTTCATGGATCAGTGATCAAGGTTAAATTTACGTGATTAGGTCCGTTTCTCAGATACTACAAGCAGTAGGTCAGCTATATGTGGTGTATGGAATGATTATAAGGGATACATGTCAGTCTGGCAGGTTTCATCTGACCTTGACCTCATTTTCACGGTTCATTGGTCAATGTTAAGTTTTTGTGTTTTGGTCTGTTTTTCTAATACTATAAGCCATTGGTCAACTATATTTGGTGTATGGAATGATTGTAAGGTGTACATGTCTGTCTGGCAGGTGTCATTTGTCCTTGACCTATTTTCATGGTTCAATGGTCAATGTTAAGTTTTTGTGTTTTGGTCTGTTTTTCTAATACTATAAGCAATAGGTCAACTATATTTGGTGTATGGAATGATTGTAAGGTGTACATGTCTGTCTGGCAGGTGTCATTTGTCCTTGACCTCATTTTCATGGTTCATTGGTCAATGTTAAGTTGCTCTTGTTTGGTCCTCTTCTCAGATACTATAAGTTATAGGTCAACTATATGTGGTGTATGGAATGATTGTAAGGTGTGCATGTACTTCTGACAGGTTTCATCTGACCTTGAGCTTATTTTCATGGTTCATTGGTCAATGTTAAGTTTCTGTTGTTTGGTCTTCTTCTCAGATGCTATAAGTAATAGGTCAACTATATTTGGTGTATGGAATGTATTTTATTATTTAACTGCTGATTACTTACATTGAAATAGATTATTTTATAAAAATCTTTAAATAACATTAATAAGTATAATAAATAATAAAAACTTTTAAGGGATCATTACTAAACCGTGATTAACAAAAACATTGGAAGGTGTGAAAATGTTAAAATAAGGTCACTCATGCATGAATGTTTAACATAGAATACAGTTCACTCCAGTCCCTTCATAAAGATTAATTGGCTGAATATGTACAGATTGAAGAACTTTTGAAATTTTGTTTACACAACAGAATCACATTTACTGATTTTTGATACATATGAAATAAGATAAGTATTGAGATAAGTAAAAAATATTTTAGCATAGCAACATAAATAGATAAATAGATAAATAGATAATATGAAAATATGACTTTTTACAATATTTTGATCAAAGATTGAAGATAATTTTAGTTTTTTTTTGTTTTTTTTTTTGGGGTGGGGGGGGTCTTTCAGGTTCATCTCAAGGAATTGACAAATATTTATCCAGTTTCTGCAATGCCTTAAAACTTTTCCTTGTGCACAGGTTTGTCTGTACTCAAGAGGAAATAAAAAAAAAATGGCCATATTTGTCAATCCCTTCTGATGAACCTTAAATCTAGATGAAAAATTATCTCATAAGAAATTTCAAAGTTTGCTTTTAGTAGTCATTTGACTTAATGTTTCAAAAAAAAAATTTGTATAATGCGATTTTATTTACTCAAATGTTGTTGCTATATTTGCCTGTGATTTATTAGCCAAAAGTGTATCCCATGTGATTTTATGATGCTGTTTTTTCTAAAAAGCATTTCTGGTTGATCTGGTATCAAGAAAATTCCTCTCTTTCAGTAATAGTTAATATTAATAATTTTCCTTTTCAGCAGTTATGATGTTTTTATAACTCACTGCAGATGTAACATTATCACATGTCAAACTATTTCACTTTTCAGCACTTAACTTGCAAAGATTGTGATTAAATATTCTTCTTGTGTTAAAATCTAACAATTATAATATCACTCATCACTGCCATGTTTAATCACAATTATCAATATCAATGGTATATCACTATGTTATTTAACCTTAACCACAGTTATTCAGCATATTTTCATATAGTGGATAATAACCCATACAATTTGTAGTATGAAGACACTATGATAGTGATCTTCGGCAGGGGCGGCAGCAGCAGCGTTGGCAGGGGCATCGGCAGCAGCAGCGTCATTATCTCATTACTTACAGCTTAATATTTCTAATGCCTTATGTGACAAAGTTTCTGTCAGTCATATGTCCATTGTCCTTGACCTCATTTTCTTGGTCCAGCAACTACTTGGAAAAAAAACTGTATGGTTTTTGTAATGTGATTTTCTCAATTATTATGAGTAAAATGATAACTTTATTTGGCATGTGCGTACCTTGCATGGTTCACATATCTGTCAGACATATTTCATTTGACCTTGACATCATTTAATGGATCAGTGAACAAGATTTAGTTTTCATGATAAAGTCCATATCTCAAATTCTATCACCAATAGGTCTTCTATATTTGGTGTATAGAATGATCGTAAGGTTCACATTTCCAACTGGCAGATAAGTGATAAGTTCATAAAATTTTCTGTATGGAATGAATGTTATGTGTATATGTCTGTCTGACAGGTGTCATCTTACCTTGACCTCATTTTATGGTTCATTGGTCAAAGTTCAGTTTCCTCAATGAGGTTTGTTTCTAAGATACTTTAGGCAATATATGTTAAATAAATTTGGTGTATGGAATGATTGTACGGCCTACATGTTTGTCTGATAGGGTTTATCTCACCTTGACTTCATGTTCATTCATCATTAAAATGTTAATTTAATGTAAAGCTTATATAAACTTATTTTTTTTACTTTCAACATAAATTCAATTATGAACACTAAAACAGGCGAGACATTTCAGTGTGTCCACTCTTGTTACAAAAAGAACCTGCATTCAACGGGAGAAAAAACTGGGTCAATCAAATTTGTGTTCCATTTTTATTTAACTTTAATTGACAAAATTATGGCCTTTTTATACATATTAGATCTGTAGTCATTTTATTTTCTTATTACAAGGCCAATCATGCTATACTAACTCTTTTGCTGAAAAGATGCCAAATGAAGGAAAATGTGTGAATAATGGTCTTGTTTTGTATACAATTTCTGAATACATCTTTTATTGTTAATGTCAGACCAACTTGATTGACAGAATTGAAACTCTGAGAAAAAACAACAGTAATTTCTTTAATAATGAGTAGTAGAATAATTAGTTATCCAAATGAATTTGTTCCAACTTATATTTATTTTTGTATCATATTCAGTGAGTTTTATATAATCTTAGATTGATGATATCTCTTTCAGACTTAGGATTTATTTACATATTGTTACTTATTAAAAGGACATTATCCTAATATATAAACTGCACAAGGTCAATAGTATTAACTGGGACATTTAATATGCATGTGCTGAAGGCTTGTGCATTATCAATTTTACTACTGAATTCAATACTACTGTCTGAAGCACAATCTAATCATTATCAAGTCAAACACGTTGAAATGTCATTACATAAACAACTGGAGTCGGTTTCACAAAAAACTTAAGACTAAGATTAATTGTAAGTATACTGAATTGTTCATGACTTACGATCAATCTTGGTCGTAAGTATTTTGGTGAAACTGACTCCTGCTGAATCACTGTTGAAATAAAAGAGAAACATTTTTTAAAAAATACTAGGGACATTATCATGATAATGCCTGATGGAGTATTACTGTAGATTAAAGAAAAACACATGACTGCATTTAAACCAATAAAAAAGTTGAATTTAAATCTAATATATACGTAACGACCCTGCATACCTGAGGTATCCACTTTATGGAATCTACTGACAGAAGATTTACCAGGCGTTGGTTCACTTGTGTTTAATTTTTAGAATCTAATATGATAGATTGATATGATATATTTTAGTGTGTGGTGGAATCCTGAGTGATACTAATGGTAACATAACTTCTATTGGATATCCCACGGCTAATTATAGTAACAATGAGGAATGTATCTGGGTCATACGGAACCCGAACATAAATGGTTCTACTATAATGTTAAACTTCATTGACTTCAGCTTGGAGTCCCATGGTGACTGTACTTATGATTTCATAGAAGTTCGAGAAGGTATGTTGATTTTTTCTGTGTACATATTAACATCTGCCTGTACTGTATGTGCAAAAAGTCATTTATATCAAGAAATTAGTTATTCCTTTTACTTTTGTCATCTCAACAACAATGCTTCATTCATCTCAACTTCCGACAAAAAATTCAAGTTTGATTTAAATTATTTTCAGTAAATTTGATTTTATGATTGATATGAGTCAGATTATTTAAACTTTGAATTTGACTGCCACTCTAGACTTATTCATCCTTATTCATAAAGAAAGATGGACATCTGTAACTTAAAGTTTGAAAAGTAAGTTCTTTTCAGTTGTTAGTCCAGGATAATCTTACACTTCATATTTCTTTATTTTACAAAGATGAAAAGACATTTTTTTTTAAGATGGCTGATTATAAGAAATAAGCATTTTTTTTAAAGATCTTTTAAGGTTTTGTGCAAATGTACTGGAATAAGGCAGTGAATTTTATTAAGTGGATGAACAATCTTTAAATATATTTTGCTACTCGTCATAGCTTCTCAAAACATGAAATGAAGATTATATGTACACATTCTCTTTTCTCATTGTTTGAACAGGTACAGATGAGAATGGAGAACTTGTAGGAAAGTTCTGTGGTAACACAACATTACCATTACCAGTTTTCTCACCAATGCCAAACCTATGGGTCAGATATAAATCTGATCACTCTAATGTCGATAAAGGCTTCCTGATCAAGTATTACTTCACAGGTATTGTATACAATTGTTGCTAAAGTAGTCTACTTATGAATTGGAATGCTAGGTAATAGATTTGATATAGAAGATCAAGATACTTTGAACTCCTTACATGGTCACTTCTTTGTAGCTGAATGCACAGATTAGAGAAAGCCAAATATTATGATCTATTGTCGACATTGGGGATATTGTAGGGTCAGACAAGAGACATTTACCAATCCACAATTGTAGTCATGCTGAATCACTGGATATGTCTCATCAACGTACTGCAACAGGAGTAACACAGCAAGTGTCACTTGTGGAGTAGGAAGTGTTAACCCATTAGTAGCAACTGTATTTACCCATAATTTTTGTTGAGATTTATTGTACCCCATGCAACTTATATGGTCCAAGTACATGTTCGTCAAATGAATAATGTTAATTCCTAAGTTCACAGTTTAATAAATAGGTTAATGTTTTGCCACCAATAATGATAAGTTCTCTATATATATATATACTTTTGTACTAACTAAAATCGAAAGTTCTAGAATTCTAGTTTTAGATAATCTTAAATGTTTCAATATGATTTATCAATTCTTAAGCCATTGTACTTAACTTTTTTTTCAATTTACCAGATTGTGGTGGTATATTAGCAGCTCCATCTGGTGTTATAACTAGTCCAAACTTCCCTAACTACTATAACAATAGTGATGCTTGTGCCTGGTTAATTCAACAACCAGAGGGATACCAGGTCAATGTAAGTAAGCTTTTTGTTTTGGGTTGCTGTCTCATTGACATAATTATATATCACAGATCTAGCTTCATTCTTTTATTCATATTCATAAATACTTTAAAAACAGGAAAGAAAATATATGGAGTATGTTTCTCTAAAATAACGTTTATTTTCTGATACATAAAACTTACTCCCAAATATCATTAACACAGCTTTTCAAACGATAAACAATATGTAAAAATGGAAAATGGAACAGATACTAACTGAATGTATGTTTACATTTTTTATAGGTACATTTTGGAAACTTTTCCTTAGAGAGTCACCCTGAATGTAGATTTGATTACGTAGAAATATTAAACGGACAACTACCTAGATCTCCATCTATTGGACAATTTTGTGGAAACCATACAATTACAGATTTTGTGTCTCAGTCTAATGCCCTCAGAGTTATATTTAGCTCAGATTATAGTATAGGAGGAAATGGATTCATGATGTCTTACTTTCAGTCTGCTGGAGGTAAATCATCTATTTGTTTTACATACATTTATTTGTAGATTTTTGTCTCAACTAAAAAATCATTCAAAATCTGAGATTTTTATGGAAATTGAAAAAAAAAATGTTTCATTGGTTTGTAAGTCTAAGGATATACAATGAAATATGTGTATCTAACAGCCTAGCAGTTTTATCTCCTTAGTTTTTGTTGAACTTTCACCTTTAATAGTGTCTCAAGTTACTGAGTGAGAAATTGGTAGGGACCTTTCTGTTTATTAGTGGTCCCAAAAAGGTGTATAATCTAGTAAATGGGAAGATAGGATCTTGTCACACAGTGCCATTCATTTGGAAAATATACCTAAAGTAAAAGTATAATGATACAAAATATTTAATTGAAGACCCATTGATAATGAGGAATTCTTTGAAATTGCTAAAAATGGCCAATTGCAATATTTTCTTCCAAGTTACTAGTGGACTCCTGAAAAAGGAAAGCTTGGTTTTCACATAATAATAATAATAATAATAATAATAATAATAATCTTTATTTCAAGAGGGTATGCTCAATTAGTACAAACACTATTCTCCCTTGAGGCCCTCACTCCACTCACAATGCATCACACAATTTCTTCATAACAAAGATAAACATAAGAAAACATAATCAAAATTGATACATAATCATTTAAATAATTCCTGGATTTTCAAGCAAAAACTTAAAGCAGTTTGTTTTAAAAGTATTTATGTTTGACATGTGTCTTAGTGCTTCTGGTAGTTTATTCCATAAAGTTGGGCCAGAATATGAAAAAGATCATCTATATGTGTTTGTTCTTGCCTTTGGTATATTAAGTAATTGGGTAGTATTTGATCTAAGTTGCATTCCATTTTTATTTATAACATAGGAGATTTTATTAGACAAATATTCTGGGACAGATCCATATAAACATTTACGAACATATAAGGCCTTGTGGTAAATTACACGATCAGTAAATCAGGAGCCATGATAACTTTTTAAACATTGTATTAGATGGGGTATCATAAGGAAGTTCAAGAATAATTCTAGCTGCTCGTTTTTGAAGTTTATCTAATCTATTTGTATTTTGGTCACTGGTGTTTCCCCAAATTGTACAACAGTAATCCAAAATAGGGAGAATATAACCATTAAAGTATAACTTTCGTGTTTCCAGGAGGAGGGATTTCTTTATCCTAGACAAAAGATTTAGCCTGGTACTGATTTTTGTGCACAAAGTGTCAATTTGGGCTGTCCACTCAAGATTTTCATCAATAAAAACCCCTAGGAGCTTTTCGCCATTAACATCTCTAATGTGGGAGTTACCAACAGTCAAATTAAGAACATGGTCTGTTTTTGCTAGTTTCTGTCTACAACCAATAACCATAGATGTAGTTTTTGTTGGATATATATACATCTTATTTCCCTTGCACCATTCTTCAATTCTGTCTCAATCATTTGTAATGCTGTCCTGGATGGTATTGAGACTACGACCTGTGCAGTGAATGGTAGTATCATCTGCATAGAGGTCTGCTTGAGATGAGGTTATATGAAGGGGCAAATCATTAATGAACAATAAAGATAAAATGGGGCCTAATATGGAGCCCTGAGGTACTCTAGATTTCATTTCTAGTGCCCTTGACTTGATTGTCCCATTTTCAACTTGTTGGAATCTATGAGATAGATATGATTTAAACCAGTTACATGATAAATTTGAAATTTTGTAGCACTGCAGTTTTTGAAGAAGGATAATGTGATCTACCAGATCAAATGCTTTTTTAAAATCTAGGAAGATAATACCTATAATTTCTCCATCATCAATGGCTTTCAACCACTGATCAATAAGTTTTAGTAAAGCAGTGTGACAAGAGTGGTGGCTTCTAAATCCAGACTGACTTGCATGAAGGAGCTTATATTTTAATAGGTATCGGTATAGGTGTTTGCAGACATGCTTTTCAAAAATCTTTGAAAGAGTAGGCAAAATAGATATTGGTCTATAGTTGTCGACAGTATCTTTAGGACCCTTTTTATGACTTGGCATGACACGGGCATTTTTAAGCTCAGAAGGAAATATACCAGCAGTGATACTCCTATTTATAACATAAGTTATTGACGGTGAAATAACTTCTGATGATAGTTTAAGTATGCGAGGACTGATCTGATCAATGCCTGTAGCTTTTGCAACATTTAAATTCCTAAGGCAGTCCTTAACTTCTGCAACTGTAATCAAGGGGATGTAAAACCAAGTATCTTGAGGTACTTTTGCTGCTACCTCCTCATAAATCTTATTACTATCAAATTTGTATGATTTAGATGTTGATAGGCTATCTTTCAGGGCAATATTTATAAAATGTTTGTTAAAAGCATCAACTATATGCTGAGTTTCTGTGATAACACCATTGTGTATCAAGTTGTGATGGAAAAGGAGAACTTTTAGTTTGGTTGAGCCCCTTGACATATTTCCATAATTCTTTTAGATTTTTAGCCTGTTCAATAGATGTTTTATAAAAATTGTTTTTTGCATCATCTATAAGTGATGTGCTCTTGTTCCTCCAGAACCCGTATCTGTCTAGATCATGCTGTTTATGGTAATAATCCCTGTTTTGTCTGGCAGTTAATATTTCAGGGGTTAACCATTCTGGCCTTTGAACATTTTTGACTCGCTTTGTTTTTGTTGGAGCATGCTTATTTAAAACATTATTGAAAAGAGAATACCAGATATTTAAAGCTTTGTCTGTGTCATGTTCTTCTTTCACAGTATTAAATGGTTTACATTGAAGTTCTTTTATAAAATTTCCTTCATTAAACTTTTTAAAACATCTATAAGTTATGATCTTGTGGTTAGAATCAGGTATTTCTTTAACATTTGTTTTTCTTGTAAGGCATACTGGGTAATGGTCACTTAATGCCAAATAAGGTACATATGTTTCAATTATATTATCGGACTTATTTGTATATATATGGTCAATGATCTTTTTACTTTTATCTGTTACTCTTGTTGGATTATCAATAAGTTGTGTAAGACCATAGCACTGTATCATATTGGACCATTTGTTGTTACTACATCCTTGAGCATAGTCAATATTTATATCACCCATGATAATAATTTCTAAATCTAAGCTTGATGCTTTACTTATTTCTAATTCAAAAGCATCTATCCAGTCTATTTTCATATCAGGTGGTCTGTAAACTGAACACAAAAGAATAGATTTTGTGGATGGAAAATTGATCTGAAGCCAAATTGATTCAACATTACCAATCTCTAAGTCTTCTCTCCTTTCATATGCCATTAAGTTGTTTATGTAAACTAATACCCCAACCCCTGTTTTGTCTTGGGTTTCATGTCTATCTCTTCTTATTATGTCATAACCATTTACTTCAATTAAATTATCACCTAATTCTGGATTTAAGAATGTTTCACATAGGCCCAAAATATGTAAACTTTTCTTTTCATTAAGGGTGAGTCTTATTTCCTCAATTTTTGGCAATATGTGCTGAATATTGAGATTAGCAATTTTTAATCCCCTTTTTTGAAGACCACATCAAGAAATAAGATATGAGGGTAGGAATGGGGTACCCCACATAATGAACGACGGTAACATATTTGTTAAAATAACATTAACGATAATTATTTTACTCCATTTGACGCTAACCGTAGCTACAAAATGAGATATGAAGAGTGATGATAAAAAAAATATGGCTCATTTGATGCTAGCCGTACCAAAAAATGGACATTTGACGCTTGACGATGAAGGCATTCCTACCCTCAGATTTAAATTGTCTTTTTCAGGTTGTGGTGGTTTGTTACATCAGAATACTGGCAGAATTACCTCCCCTAACTACCCACAGAGTTATCCCCACTTGTCTGAATGTGAATGGGACATTAATGTGGAGAGTGGATATCATATCATCTTAAATTTCATTCCACCATTTGACCTTGAGATGGAATCTTCTTGTGATTATGATTATGTAGAGGTATGTAATTGTAAGATAGACTTTGATATGCCCTCCAGATAAATTTATTCTTATTTTCCTCAAGAAACAATGACAGTTTATAGGGATCAGCTTGTTTGTCTGGACCAACTCTTATATCCAGTTCATTATATTTTGTAGGGTATTGGTTCATAGTATGCAAACATTACACAAGACTGCTATTCTTTTTGTATTAAGTTTAGACTTTTAACTGCATGCTCAGTTCTTATTAGTTCCGATTAAGTATTTTTAAAAGAGTTATGCCCCTTGGAAATATGAATTATATGGAAAATGAAATTGATAGCACTCTCAAGCCTTCATTTCTCTTTAAAAGTCTAAATTTTTTCAAGGTTTTAAAGAAGAAAAAAAATTTTTTTATTTATTTATTGCCCTTTGACAGATAAAATATGTGCAACGTGGAGGAAGTAGTTCTTTTATTAGTCATTCATTCAATCCTACCTGAATTTTGTACAATCCTTTATACTGAAAGGAGCGTGACCTTTTATGGGCAGTTTTGAGGTCAGAGGTTAAAATCATGCAGAACGGTTGTTGATAAGTAAGACGATAGGTCATGTATTTATTACACGCTATGATAAATTTCAGATGTGCTTAAAATGAATCTTTTAACTGTAATTTATAGGTTGATGATTCGCTACCAAACAACACATTAGTACCACGTGGTAGATGGTGTCATAATTTAACACCTCCGAAGCAGATGTCTAGTAGTAATCGTATTGTTGTAAGATTCAGATCAGATAGGAATACAAATGGTAATGGATTTGCTGCTAACTGGACTGTAGGTTAGTGAAAAATTAGAGCATTATGGAACATACATGAAACTCAGAATTTACTTTTATTTAAAATCTATTTTCTGTTAAAGAGTTACAACTAGTCAATATAGAAAGGTTAAGTCTGTATTTATTAGTAATGAAATATAAATGTTTAGGAAATTTTTTTAAAGTATATGTTTTGATGATTCTTTAATCAAAAATCTGTTATGTGCTTCAATATTTGATAATTTTCAATCCTTTAAACTATTGAAAAAGATGTATTCAATTTTTGTAAGTCATTTAAATGGTTAGCCAGAAAATTAAACAATCTTTTTTTGTTTTAAATATTCCTCAGCACTGTTGTAATCTTGTCATTGAGAGCACTTGCTCTCATGGATGTTAAGTTGTATTGGGACATAAAACATTGCAATTTAACACCATGTGAAAGTTGGTAACAATGGAATCCTTATGAACTTTCTATGTACATTGTAATGCAATTTTTTATCATATGGATATTATCAGCTAAGTAATATTTGATTTGATAGATTGTGGTGCTGTATTTATGGACGATAATGGGGTATTTGTCTCCCCTGGATATCCTAACAATTACGGACCAAACTTAATCTGTAACTATACCATCGTCTCTAATCCTGGAAGGTTTATAGTACTACAGTTTAACAGAATATTTGATATAGAAGGTAATGTTTAAATTAATTATATCATGAACATAAAAAAAAGAAGGTTCACTATAAATGAAGTACTTTAAATTTAAATATTATTGCAAGTTTTTTTTTTTAATGCAAATAATGTGACTGAGTGAGTATTGCAATAATAAGAACTTGCATTCTGATATCTGTTACATATATCTGTATGCAAATTTTCCTCCAATTGCAATAATTAATCTTGCATTTTTGTCTATTTTTCAAAAATTCCAATAATAAATACACATTATTATTTCTGGATTTACAGTATTTGTGCAATAAATGTCAGAACTGATATAAAGTGTACCATATAAACGGTAATTGCCTTCTAATACACTTAATATACCCAGTATATATTTTTAGTAAATGAAACATTTCAGATTCTTCAATATGTAGAGGGCAAATTGTCTCCAATACTGGATATTATCTTACACTTATACATTTCTAGGAATATAATTGGTCAAAAGCAACTGCATGGAGACCCTGTTTATTTCATATGGGGTTCGTAGGCATGTTTTTTTTTTATTACACGGTTAGTAGTGGTGTTACATCCCTTTATAAAAACAACACGGCGTTGAGGAAAAATCTGAAAGGTTTCACCCGGATAACAGATGAAGAAATTGATGATAAATGATTGAAATTAAAACATATTAAAAGCTAACAAGTTGTTATTGTTGGCTTTTGTTTTTGTATAGACCAATGGAAGTAGGTTCTTTATATTGAAGACTTGATCACTTTGATAGGCCACTGGTCTAAATGCCACATGTTAAGATAGTTGGTAGGATAAATTCGTTTTGCTCTCACCCTACTTGGAATTTACTGACCCCATATATATTGTATTAGGTCATTAGCACACTGTGTAACTAATAATAGGAAGAACCCTGTTTAAAAAATGTTTCCTTTGGACATATTTATATTTCCAAATTAGATATTATTAATTAGTTTGTTAAAGTGATATGAAAAATTTCACAGCAGCATTACCAATAAAAAACTAGATATGATTTTACAGGAAAATTAAGTGTTTCACACTGAAAAAATGTCTTGTGGAGTTCTTGTTGTTTATGCTAAACATTGGACTTCGTGTGCTTAAAGAATGTCAAGACTATGTATATTTGGCATGACAAGTAAAAGATGACTAGAATAAGAATGAAAACAAGTAATATACTGGATAGACTTCCACATCATTGAATGACAAGGGGGTAAAAAAAAATTCCAGGATGTAAGCTAACAAAATCATGTCAGTGACTCTATGGAATGATGGCTTTTAAAATTTTAGATACCTTTAAATCATATTCCTCTTTCTTATTGATTAACCAAAGTTTGTATGGTTGTAGCCAATACTGAAACCTTGTCAACCAGTCAGTGATACTTAACTTTTCATGATTTTTTTCCCAGGTCAAATTTGTTGAATGAGGTCTATTTATTGTGGACAGTAGTTAGACATATCAAATTTTATTCAGAATTTCATACCTATCTATCTTACAGGTGTCTTTTGACCATGCCCATTGTTTTATATTATTAATTATGATAATGATCATGTATATAATAATAATACTTGATCATATAGTTCTTCAAGTATTCAAACATACTCAGATTTCAGATGTTTGGTTTTAAGCATTTGAAAAAGAAGATGAATCCAGGAAAGCACTTCAGGCACATCAATTTTATGAAGTGTTATTTTCATCATATAATTAAGAATTATTAGTGTATTCAAACATTCAAATAATGCTGTGTAGCAGGTCAAACATTTAAGTTTGTCAGTTCTGATGCATAAGTGCTATTGTTTATTATAGTTCTGATGCTTAAGTGTTATGGTTTATTTTAGGACCCGCTAGTTGTCCATATGATGCTCTGACAGTTTATGAAGGGAACAACACATCTGGTGCACAACTAGGAAAATTCTGTGGAAATACTGTTCCACAAGCAGTTAGTGGAAAAGATGCTCTTTTTGTACAGTTTAAAACGGATGGTACTGTCCCCGGCAAAGGGTTCTGGGCAAGCTATAGGGTATCTAATTGTGGAGGAGAATTTACTGACCCATTTGGATACATTCAAACACCAACACATCCTACAAGTTATCATCATAATGCTAATTGTACGTGGCTTATAACAGTAGAAGAAAACAGAATAGTTAGCTTAAAGTAAGTTTTGATTAGGTTATGGTATTAGGATGGTCTGTTTAAATGTGAAATATTGTATTAAAGAAACAGTGGCTATAATGGTCAAGATCTGCTCCAAATGTATGTAAAATATAACATTTTTCTTAAGCTTGTTACAAAATGCACATTATTGACCTTTGATGTGCAAGTTAAATTATTATTATACCTAGAGTGGGGGCTATGTTGCAATCAACTTGTCAGTCTGTCAGCGCCCATCTATCCATTCATCCAACCAATTTTTTCGTCACTATTTTCTTAGAAACTACTTCACTGAATAACCTCACAATTGGTCAGCAGCTGAAGAGGAGTGTGAGGTGCCCACTTTTTGGATCACTCTGATACCCACTTCCTGTTTGACTATACTTTGAATGCATTGATAAAGCAATAACCTACAAAATGTTAAGCTGTGACAGATATATGTTGTCATAATTTTTGCCCTATGGTAAAATATTATTAAAATCACTTACTGCCTTTTTAACATTCCTTGCCAAAAAAATTAATATATGCCTAATGGAATATTTTGAAAAATCCTTTTCTTTGAAACTAACATGCCAATCAGGAACAAATTTAGGTAAATCTTTTTTTTTGGGTCTAATTTTTAACTTAGATTATGTTTGTTGATGACCAACCAGCAAGAAATCTAGGGATAAATTTTTAAACGGAGATCAAATTGGTAAAATCAATGAAAAAATGAAGAAATTCTGTAAAATTCAGACTGTTTTTATATTTAATGGAGTAGTACATTTATGATCACTTTTGAAACTATTGTGGATGCATGATCCCTATCTCTTCATTCTAAATTAAAATAACAAGTTTTAGTGTCAGAAAGTTGGCCTCGGGAGATGAATTGATAAATGATACTTGGATTTACATGATTTACCTGTTTATTCTCAGGTAAACATCAGCTGATGTCATATGAATAATCATTGAGTTTTAGGGTAATCACATATGATCTGCTGTACAGAAGGGATAATTTAATCAATTTATAGTCCAACATCATCACAATACATGACCTTCAACTTCTTTCACTTTAACAATTTCTGTGTTCAAGTTAAACTTTACATCAGATAAATAGCCTGCAAGTTCTAGAGGAAATTACAGAAAAAAAAAATTAATGGATAGTGAATATGACCAAAAGAAACAAGTACATGTACAAATATTTCCAAAGCAAATGAAACAGAAGTTAACCCACTCCCTTTCCCCTTGAGTACATGTCTTTTTAAAAGAAGGGTCTCAAAGAAAATGAAATTAGCTTTCATCAATTTCAGGGATAAAACAAAACTACATCTAAAGAGCAAAAATGAAATTTAGCTATACATCAGCACAATTAATGCTTTTTCTATAGTTAAGTGAAATTAACTCTTTTGTGTCCCTGTTGCCTGCATTGAAGCCAATAACACAGAATAACATACTTTTAGTCTTTTGTTGCAGAAAAGAACAAATACTTCAAGTGCAATGGGAATCAAATCAGTATGACTATACAAGACAAGAAATATTAAACCACTTAAGTTTCCAATAATTATTTCAGGTTTAACTCGTTTGAATTGGAAGCCCACCAAACATGTAACTTTGACTATGTAGATGTTTATGATGGTGGAGATCTGTCATCACCAATGATTGGCAGATTTTGTGGGGAAGTAGTACCAGATGTACTGAGAACAACTGGCAATCAAATGTTGATTAACTTTGTCACTGATTGGTCAGTTAGTTTAGCAGGATTTACAGCTACCTACAGAACTACTTATGGTAGGAAAACTATAATTATAATATATCAAAGAGTTATTTTAAGCGTATACAATGTTCTTAAAAATTATTTTTGAAATTTCAGGCTGCAGTTGGCCTTATTCTATAAATTGCAGACACTTTGATGCTGACAAGTCTTTTTTTAAACTGTAAATTGATTCATATTTTCATTATACATAAGATTAATTCTCTTTTGTGTATTTTTTAAACACAGGTGAATCTCAGGGCTGTGGAGGTGTATTGAACAGTACTTCAGGTAGAATAACCTCTGTTGATTCTGATGGAAACGGTAAATACGAACACAATTTAGATTGTCGATGGATCATCATTGTCGGGGACAACAAAATAGTGAAGTTAACTGTCAATGGATTGGGAATAGAGAGTCATTCAACATGTTACTATGATTTCTTAGAGGTAAGTACATTAAAAAAAAGTAAGTTGTTAAATGTTTGCATATGTCTAAATTTTGTCAATAAAACAAACACATGAAATAGAACTACATCCTCAATTAGTGTGCAATTGTATTTCTGTTTGAAAAAATGTAAGTGACTCAGCTGCCACCATCAGGGCCAGAACTATTGCTAATTGGGGTCTTTTAGAAGCTTACCTTACAACTTAGTCTCAAAATAAACTGAAATGTTTTGTATGAGGTAAAAGGGAAGCTTTAAATTTTTGTTGTACCTGAATTAACTTTAACATGATTTGTAGATAGATTTGTGATCATCTGGCAAGACGAAAAAAAAAACTTCATTAAAAAAGTTTCAAGCAGTATAGCCTAGTTGGTTTTTTTTTAAAGATTCTTAATATTTTAAAATTATATTTTTTCTTAATTTATAAAAAATCTTATTCGCAGATAAGAGATGGATTTTATATGGATGATCCATTAAAAGGAAAATACTGTGGAGATACAGTTCCACCAATAATCCGTTCCACTTCAAATGTCCTGCTGGTTAGGTTTTACACAGATAGTTCTGTAGATGGAGCAGGATTTAATGCCACTTATGTCCAGGAAGATGGTAAATTATCATTTAACTCAATCCAATGTTTCATAGTCACCATTTATTGATGGTTGCACAAACGAACAAGAAATAAAATGTCCATTTCACGATTAATGAAAAATTAAAAAAAAATGGCTTACACTTCGATTTTTACAATTTGCATGAAACACAGTGAATAATGAGTTCAGAGTTTTCGAAAAGTAGTGGTCGGAAGGTTTTGACCACCAAAAATTGCAAAGGACTGACACAATTTTGGAATTTTGCAATAGAAAAACATTAATTGAGAGGACCAGCAGATTTTCTTCAAAGACCACCAGAAAAAAAAGATTTTGAGAACTCTGTTAGCTTCAAGAACTAATACTTGTGAAATAAAAATTTGCCAACATGTTGGACTAAAATAACCCACCATCCACTTTTTCAATCATAAACATTGTAAAATTATTACATGCAGAAAAAGCTTCATTCAGAGTTAAAGTTCTTGATGTTTATTCATAATTTTAATTCCCTACACCTTATCTTGATTCCTGCACTTCTTGATGACAAATATGGTAAAAAACTTTATGAAATATGGTATATAGCAATCTTATTTTAAAGTAATATCTATTATGTTGCTGTCTGAAGGAGATGAACTATAGATGAACATTGTTGAAGTCTGTACAATAGTTAAAACATATTTTATTGTTTAAAATGACGAATGGACACAAGTTTTACAACTTAGTATTGTTTTCTCCATACGATGACCTATAGTTGCTTACATCCATGTCATTTGGACTCTGGTGGATAGTTGTCTCGTTAGCAATCATCCTAGAGGTTATTTTACTTCCTTTATGATAGATAGCAAAGTTGAACTGAAAAATAAGCTTTCATGCATAGTGTTCAAAGTAGATATTGTATGCAAACTAGTGTTTAAAGCAGATGTTGTATGCAAACTAGTGTTTAAAGCAGATGTTGTATGCAAACTTCCAGAACACATGTAAATAATCTGCTTTTGGACACTGAAAACAACAGAGCTTTGTGGATAGAAGTAATTGTTAAGATATGTGCTTTTGAACTAAATAACGTATGTTTTGTTCATGTTGCGAACAAGATGAAGTCTTTTTATCCTCATTATGATGCCACTGAAGTTTGCAATGGTTTTGAATGAATTTCAATTTCTTTTGTAATGCCTGTTTTCATTCAAGGACACTTTTCATTCAAGGACACCTATTAAAAGAGATTTTACTATGTTTGACTTATTTATTCACAATAGTTATGGTATACCCATAGAGTAATTGCAAAGTTCAAAAGATCAAGATTTTTTATCTTTTTGAACAAGTATAGTGAGTTTCACAGATTTGATGCTGTGGAAAAAAGATTCAATTTGCCTGGATTTCTTGGCTGTAGGAAAATTGCAAGGATGAAAACTTGATGAAATACAATTTAAGCTACTTGAATAGAAGCAATGATGAAACCAAGAAATTAAGTTCCCATGAAAAAGTTTTTTTTCTCAAACCATGAAAATTGATACCCACAAAAATATCAGAATCCGCAGTAGTTCATTTTGATTTTAATGGTAATGACCATCATTAAATTGGTATTATATTTTTATTCAGCATTGTGTGGGGGAACACGTACAGCTACAGACAGTCCACAGACATTGACGTCACCAGGATATCCAAGTTCCGTTTTCCAGCCGATCCAATGTCGCTGGACTATAGATACTCCAGAATCTAACCAACAAGTTCGCCTCACTATGACAGGCTTGGATCTTATGACCCAAACTTCCTGCACTGATGAATATGTTGAATTTAGAGATTCACCAATGGTAATGTAGTGTTGGGTTCTGTAAACAAGCCTTGCTTTCACCAAATCTTGGTTTAAACAGTATTAATTATTGAATAAGACACAAAAACATTAGAATAATAACAATTATAATATAGCAGACAAATATGGGTTTGGGAAATGTTTGGAAAACTTTTATAAATCTGTCTACCAAAAAAATATGTATATATAGGAAACGATTCCCATTGTGATGTTAAAGTCTGTAAGACAATTTTATCTTCTTCTTAAAACCCGAGTCTCATGTGTGTGTATGTCTGCATTAGATCCAAATTTACACTCCAATATTTTCAGTTAGTTGTGCGTTTGTTAAAAAATTCATTCTCTTAATTTTCTAATAAAAAATAATCCAAAGGTAATGGTGCTTATTTGAATATAATTCATTCAATGGATTTTGCTTTAAAATTATTTAAATAAACATTGTCACTGGCTAGATTTTTTTTGTTTCTCACTCATGAAAAATTAATTTTTTGGGAAAAAGTTTATAATAAAATTTTTGCTAGCTCAACATTAGGAGTCTGAAGAACTATAAATTGATTTGCTGTTGCCTGAGGGATAATGAATTTCAATAAATACTAGAAAAAAAAAACAATCATCGAAATATAGTTACTGTGATTTGTTCTGAGATACAGTCACCGAATCCAGCACACATATCTGATTAAAGCCGCTTGCTAGCTGTAATCTTGATTTTTCATCAGTGTGTAAAACTGATGAATACGTATACAAGGTCAATTTTCAAATAATTGGTTTGACTAATATATTCATAAATTTATGAAATATTAGCCTAAAACCAAATATAATCATGTTCATATTCTAAATACATGTACTCAGGGTTGTATAAAAACAAATATAGTACTTATTAATATTACTTGTATTGCTCCTATTTAATTAATAAACATCAGCCTGTTCATATACTGTAAAAGGACTGGGAGAGGAAACATGATTAAATTGTATTGTGACATTATAAATATTGACAAAAATTAAAACCATTTGTCATGTTGGTGATAATCTGAAGTAATGTCTGCAAATAAATATACACTAAATATCTAGACCTCTTTAATAAGTGAACTATGAATAACTTATCATGATATTGTATGCAAACTAGTGTTTAAAGCAGATGTTGTATGCAAACTAGTGTTTAAAGCAGATGTTGTATGCAAACTAGTGTTTAAAGCAGATGTTGTATGCAAACTTCCAGAACACATGTAAATAATCTGAAATCATGAAATATTTGATACTTTACAGGGCACTATGGGCCAGTCTGTACATTTCTGTGGTAGTACAATGCCTGGTCCATTTGATTCAATAGGAACTACTGTACAAATAAATCTAGCCATGATGGGTATGGCCAGCAGTAATGGTTTCTCACTTAAATACCAGATTGCTAGTATGTATTTAATAAATTTTGAAATTTCATTCCTGTTCATAGGCTTGAGTTTGCAATTATGATCATACACGATCTTTGTTTTAACTTATAAAGCTAGTAGATATGAAGTGGGTGTCCTCCCTTCCATGTGATAACATGTGTTTTTATAGGAAAATAATTTTTGTCAAGCCTGCAACTTCTGTCGCAGAAAGCTTGACATAGGGATAGTGATCCGGTGGCAGCATTGTTAACTAACTACTTAAAAGGTTTATATTTTAGAAGGTGGAAAACCTGGATGCTTCATACTTTGTATATAGATGCCTTATGTTATGAAGTTTCTGTCTGTCTTATGTCCATTGTCCTTGACCTCATTTTCATGATTCAGTGACTACTTGAAAAAAAAAGTTGAGATTTTTTGTAATGTTAATTTCTCTTTTATTATGAGTAATAGGATAACTATATTTAGTAAGTGCATACCTTGCAAGGTCCTCATGCCTGTCAGACAATTTTCATCTGACCTCAACCTCATTTCATGGATCAGTGAACAAGGTTAAGTTTTGGTGGTCAAGTCAATATCTCAGATACTGTAAGCAATAGGTGTACTATATTTGGTGTATGGAATGATTGTAAGGTGTACATGTCCAACTAGCAGGTGTCATCTGACCTTGACCTCATTTTCATGGTTCAGTGGTTAATGTTAAGTTTTTGTGTTTTGGTCTTTTTTCTAAAACTGTATGCAATAGGTCAACTATATTTGGTGTATGGAAATATTTTACGATGTACATGTCAGTGTGGCAGGTTTTATTTGACCTTGACCTCATTTTCACGGTTCATTACTCAGTGTTAAATTTTTGTGTTTTGGTCTGTTTTTCTTAAACTATAAGCAATAGGTCTACTATATTTGATGTATGGAATGACTGTAAAATTTATATGTCTGTCTGGTAGGAATCACCTGACCTTGACCTCATTTTCATGGTTCATTGGTCAATGTTAAATTTTCATGGTTAAGTTTGTTTCTTAGATACTATAAGCTAAAGGTCAACTATATTTGGTGTATGGAATGATTGTAAGGTGTATATATCTGTCCGGCAGGTATCATGTGACCTTGACCTCATTTTCATGGTTCAATGGTCAATGTTAAGTTTTCATGGTTAAGTTTGTTTCTTAGATACTATAAACAATAGGTCAACTATATTTAATGCATAGATTGATTGTAGGGTGTACATGTCTGTCTGGCATGGTTCATCTGACCTTGACCTTATTTTCATGGTTCATTAGTCAATGTTAAGTTTTTATGGTTAAGTTTGTTTCTTAAAAATTATAAGCAATAGGTCAACTATATTTTGTGTATGGAATGATTGTAAGGTGAACATGTATTTCCGGTTTGGTTTATCTGACCTTGACCTCATTTTCTTGCATCATGTTAAGTTTATGTGATACTTGAAGTTGTTGTAAAGTTTTATATTTAGGACTATCAACATAAAATCAATGATCAGTAAAGCAGGCGAGACATTTCAGTGTGTACACTCTTGTTAAATGTAAAGGTTTATTTAATTTAAAAACTTGTAACGTTATAAGAAAAATTGAAAATTACAGAAAAATTGCTCACATTGGCCTGTAAATTCAGTGGACTATTAAATTTTATTGATTATTTTGTAGTTTATAAGCAATGCAAATGTCAGTTTTTCATTTGATCAATATTGACCATTTATGTTATGCACTGTGGATTCATTATTATTTGTGGGTATATGGAAACCACAAATTTAAATGTCCAAGGAAGTATAAATCTTCTGTAGACTTTTTAAAATGCAAACTTTTGCAAAACCACAAAATCATATATCCACTAAAATACAATTTAGTACCCACGATAATCAATTAATACACAGGTTTCTTATTATAAACAGGTTGCAATAGAACTTATAATGGTAATAGTGGACAGATATATAGTCCAGGATGGCCAGGGAATTACCCAGTAGATAGTTACTGTGAGATGGATGTGTCCAGTCCTCCAGGAACATCATTATCCCTTTACTTCAACTCATTCCAGATAGAAGCACATTCAAGTTGTCGTTTTGATGGTTTGTTGGTAAGATTTATTACACAGATTTGAAATTACAGAACAAATTATATAAAGAAAACTTTAACAGTTTGTCTCACATAGTCTTGAAAAGCTTTTCTTGATGAATTAAAATGTTTAAAAACTGTATATATTTTAAAAGATCTAAAAAGCTTGAACTTCTTTAGCAGCATTCGTTCTTACAACAGCAACAAAATACACATGTTAAGAATACAGAATCCCTTTTATTTTAAATATTGGAGAAAGTTTTGTGCTATTTAGGAGGAAGATTGTTTAGGAAATGATGAGAGTTAATGATGCAGTGCAATTTTTGGCTCTTGTTTATTGTCGGTACAGCAATTAAAAAAACTTTACAGAGAACTTGGGAAGTATTGTAGTTTAAATGCTGTTAGTTGACATTCTAACAATATTCTCTATTGTTTTATCCAAATTGGTTTTTTAACAAAAAATTCATGGGGATGCATATGAACCTATGAATAAAACAATTAATGGGGATACATGTGAACCTGAGAAACAAAACATTTCATGGGAAAACATATGAACCTATGAATAAAACAATTTATGGGGATACATGTGAACCTGAGAAACAAAACATTTCATGGGAAAACATATGAACCTATGAATAAAACAATTTATGGGGATACATGTGAACCTGAGAAATAAAACATTTCATGGGAATACATATGAACCTATGAATAAAACAATTTATGGGGATACATGTGAACCTGAGAAATAAAACATTTCATGGGAAAACATATGAACCTATGAATAAAACAATTTATGGGGATACATGTGAACCTGAGAAATAAAACATTTCATGGGAATACATATGAACCTATGCATAATACAATTCATGGGATACATATAAACCTATGAATAAAACAGCTATGTATATTGAGACTTTAAGATATAAGCATGAAGATCTATATTCTTTATACACAATTAAATGTGTAAAAATTAAGTTTTAAAACACTTTAAATGTTTAAAATGAATTTATATGTAAAGTTCATGAACTTATCTATATCATTTGAAAATTCACTTAGTGACATAGTTTCATTCAGAAAAGGTTTAATTAAGAATTGAATGCTTCTTTTAGTAATTTTTAGGGTTGTAAAAGCATTGACAGTGCACACATTTTTAGAATGAAGCTCTTCTGCACTTCATACAAAATTTACTTCAGTCAACGTGTTTACACCCCAATAAATTTACAAAAAGAAGCATTGAATTCTTAATTAAACCTTTTCTGAATGAAACTTATAATAACATTTTTTTGCTAAGATGATGAAAACACAATTTCTATCAAGTTTTTCTTTTAATTACCTGTGCACTGTATTGTGGAAGCTCATGTCATCATGAATGTTACATTTCATTTTGAAATGAAGGTTAATTTTAGAATGAAGCGAGATTGGAGTTCGCCAATCAAAATAACGTATTATGATGAAATATACATGTCATGTAATTATCATAACTTGAATGATTATAGATACGGAATAGTTCAAGTGGAACAGACATAGCTACATTGTGTGGAATGGCTATACCAGATCCTATCTTTGCACCAGGGAATAGATTATGGATGAAGTTCTATACAGACAATTCTGTTACACATCCTGGTTATTCCATATCATACACAGCTTCTTATAATGGTAAGGTCTTGTTCTATACAGATAATTCTGTGACACATCCTGGTTATTCCATATCATACACAGCTTCTTATAATGGTAAGGTCTTGTTCTATACAGATAATTCTGTGACACATCCTGGCTATTCTATATCATACACAGCTTCTTATAATGGTAAGGTCTTGTTCTATACAGATAATTCTGTGACACATCCTGGTTATTCCATATCATACACAGCTTCTTATAATGGTAAGATTATGTTCTATACAGATAATTCTGTGACACATCCTGGTTATTCTATATCATACACAGCTTCTTATAATGATAAGGTCTTGTTCTATACAGATAATTCTGTGACACATCCTGGTTATTCCATATCATACACAGCTTCTTATAATGATAAGGTCTTGTTCTATACAGATAATTCTGTGACACATCCTGGCTATTCTATATCATACACAGCTTCTTATAATGGTAAGGTCTTGTTCTATACAGATAATTCTGTGACACATCCTGGTTATTCTATATCATACACGGCTTCTTATAATGGTAAGATTATGTTCTATACAGATAATTCTGTGACACATCCTGGTTATTCCATATCATACACAGCTTCTTATAATGATAAGGTCTTGTTCTATACAGATAATTCTGTGACACATCCTGGCTATTCTATATCATACACAGCTTCTTATAATGGTAAGGTCTTGTTCTATACAGATAATTCTGTGACACATCCTGGTTATTCCATATCATACACAGCTTCTTATAATGGTAAGATTATGTTCTATACAGATAATTCTGTGACACATCCTGGTTATTCTATATCATACACAGCTTCTTATAATGATAAGGTCTTGTTCTATACAGATAATTCTGTGACACATCCTGGCTATTCTATATCATACACAGCTTCTTATAATGGTAAGGTCTTGTTCTATACAGATAATTCTGTGACACATCCTGGTTATTCCATATCATACACAGCTTCTTATAATGATAAGGTCTTGTTCTATACAGATAATTCTGTGACACATCCTGGTTATTCCATATCATACACAGCTTCTTATAATGGTAAGGTCTTGTTCTATACAGATAATTCTGTGACACATCCTGGCTATTCTATATCATACACAGCTTCTTATAATGGTAAGGTCTTGTTCTATACAGATAATTCTGTGACACATCCTGGTTATTCCATATCATACACAGCTTCTTATAATGGTAAGGTCTTGTTCTATACAGATAATTCTGTGACACATCCTGGTTATTCCATATCATACACAGCTTCTTATAATGGTAAGGTCTTGTTCTATACAGATAATTCTGTGAAACATCCTGGTTATTCCATATCATACACAGCTTCTTATAATTGTAAGGTCTTGTTCTATACAGATAATTCTGTGACACATCCTGGTTATTCCATATCATACACAGCTTCTTATAATGGTAAGGTCTTGTTCTATACAGATAATTCTGTGAAACATCCTGGTTATTCCATATCATACACAGCTTCTTATAATTGTAAGGTCTTGTTCTATACAGATAATTCTGTGACACATCCTTGTTATTCTATATCATACACAGCTTCTTATAATGGTAAGGCCATGTCTTATCCATCATCAGAAAGGTAAGTTCTTGTCTTATCTATCACCAGAAAAAAGAATGAGGGAGATATTTCATTCAGAATAAAGTGTGGAAGTATATGAGATAGATCTCAGTTATAAGGGATACAGAAAAACTTCATTATTAATAATAAAAATAGATAAATCATGGTCCATCTAAAAAATAAAAATTTATGAAATTGTTGAAAAAAATGTCAGAGAGAAGTTTTTGTTCATAGTTTACAATAGATAAAATCCTGATGGAAAAGTTTTAAGTGGCACTGTTCACCAATTGATATATATAGTGTTAATACAGATGTTACATAACCTGGGTTGAATTTCAAGTACCATTTAGTTTTTCTGTGATAAGAGATTCAAAATTTAAATCAGTGTGTTTGCCCTATGCTGGAAACATCACAAAATAACATTGATGATTTTGAAAGTAAACATGTGTCCCAGAGAACTGAATCAGCCATAAAACTCACAGATTGATCTTAAATTGAATGAATCCTAATAAATAACTCGATTGTATTTTATTTTTAAGAAATCTAGGACAAGATCTGTTTTGATATACCTCCATCAGAATTATTTTTTTATATGTAGGTATGGGATGCGGTGGAAATATAACTGGTGTAAATGGTAGCTTGACAAGCCCTGGTTTCCCTAGCAACAACACCTTACGTCAGACATGCGGCTGGTTGATGTCTGCACCAGCCAGGCGGACTATCACTGTCAGATTTACAAGTATAAATGTTTTCGGTACAGCACAGTGTGAAACAAATTATGTAGAAGTATACAATGGTGGAAGCGAAGCTTCTCCAAAATTTAGTCGTTATTGTAGTAGTGTAAGTTGAAAATGTTCTCTTTATGACTACTTATACTGTATATTTAACATGAAACAGATTTTACCTACAGAAGAGACTTTAACTGGCTGTTTTGGGTATAAAAGCAAACTAACATTGGAACTTTGATTTCCAGAGCATTATGTTCAATGTTTCTGACTGCATGATTTCATATTGGCAGGTTAAAGACTTTGAGAATGAGTTCAGTAACTGTCTGCATTCTTTGATAATGTAAGATATTTTTGGTTTGAATATCCCTTTTGTTATCTTTCATACAGTTGTTTTAGAGTTCAGTGCTTTCCTGTAGTGATTTTCATTATAAATAAATTTAACCTCACCTCTTATTTATGTGCTTGTAACCAGTAGGGAACCTTTTCAGTGGGAAACCTTTTCAATACTTGTCTTGTTCATATCTGGATGTTTGATAAATTTAAAGTATTTTGTGCTGTCAGATGACAGATCTTTGAAAGTTTCTGTTTCATCTATTCTTATCTTTTTTTTTTACTGTGGATGATATAGAGCTTGACATTGCTGTCTATTGGTCTATTGTTGAAGACAGTATTCTGCCATTTATATGTCTTTTAGTGGTCGTAATGTAATCTGATTTTTTCGTCATTTATATTTTATTTAGAGCAGTAAAGTTGCATGAAGTTCTAAAATTCATGGTATCCATTCAATGTGAAAAAATCTCAACTGTCATTCATGGATGTTGATTTATCAAGAGAAATGTAAGAATCAGTTTTATGTCGGACAAAAAGTAGTTTGATTGAATACTTTTTTTTTATAGAAATAAGGAGAAGTTGTTTGTTTGCTGGTGGGATATCTATCTACCAAAGACCAAATGAAGGCTACACATCTGTACATAGATAAGCAGTGTCTGATGTTATATATATAAGCTGTGTCTGATGTTATATATTATTTGTATTTTCAGGAAACGATTGCACCTTTGCAAGCTAATACAAACCAAGTTTATGTGAAGTATGTGTCCAGTGGATCAGGATCAGCGCCATTATTCAGACTTGTTTATACCAGCTAATTCACAATTACTTATCACTTCTTAAAGATTTATATAATTCATGTCATATTGTTTCCTTGATTTCATTTGTCAATTTTTTTTATCTAAGAATATAATTGTCTATCAAATAAAAGTCTTTTGTAGTCAATTGTCACCTGTAGATTAATGTTTCAGCACAGACTTCTACATGTACAAAACCATATTACATTATAGCTCACGTGGCCTGAAGAGCTATAGTACGTTTTGCCATCACTTTGCATCTATTTTCCCAAAAATTTTCCTTAAAAATCTTCTGCTCTGAAACCGCTCAATAGATTCAAACCAAAGTTAGTCTGCTTTATCTTTAGGACTTTTCCTATTAAGTATTTGATTTTCAACTAAGTAGTTCAACCATCATAGCCACAGTAGAGAAAAATCAAACATAGGGGGTCAAACTGCAGTTTTTGACTAGCATCTTGATGACTTTAGTAAATACAGGAAATAACAACCAGGGAAAAATGAAGCATGAAATGTATTAAGTGCTGTTTAAACTATCTATCTTGAAAGTTTTAGAAAAATCTGTTGATCATTTTTTGAGTAATAACCCCTTAAAGTATTAAGTTTTGACTCTTTTGGCAGTTCTATGCTCTTGTCTCAACAACTTTATTAGCTATTTTTGTGATTTTTATGCAAATTGTTTGCTGTTATCATGAATATCATAGGAGCTAGATTAAGACTTTTAAATTAAAAAATCTGGTAACCTGTTTGGAGATGTGGTCCCTGAGTGTCATTTCATACTGACTTTGAGATTTTTATGTTATCTTGAAAATTGAAAGAGCCAAGCCAATAATGTTGATTGCAAAAATGATCAGCACAACATAATCTATCTACCCTACTTTTTTTAGTTTTATGACAATAACATCTTGTAAATGCAACTCATCTGAGACCATTTGACAGAAAACTCTCATACTTTGTACCATTGTTGCCATCATGTGTAGTTGACCAATTTTACGAGAGTTATGGGACTGACCTTTTGTTGGAGTATTGTAACAATAACACTATGAACACAACTCCTCTGAGTTACTTTTACAATAACCTCTGATATTTGTTCAGATTGGTTGCCGTCAAGTGTAGTTGACCATATTATACCATCACTTTTTACCATTTTCAAAACTGTAATAGATAGATAGATAGAAACTTTAAAAAACACAAATGATCAGCAAGACAAGATCTACAAATGGCTAAAATCTTCATTTGACTCGTTTTAAATTTAATGATAATTTCTTACATCTATTTGCATATTTGTCGAGCCTACGACTTTAGTCGAGAAAGCGAGACATAGTGATCCTACATTCCGTCAGCGGCAGCGTCCACAAATATTCACCCTGTGGTTAAAGTTTTTGAAATTTTAATAACTTTCTTAAACTATCCTGGATTTCTACCAAACTTGGACAGAAGCTTGTTTATGATCATAGGATAATATCTAGAAGTAAATTTTGCAAAAAAATAAATCCATTTTTTCCTTATTTTACTTTTAAATGGACATAGATTTTCTGCCAGGAAACAACACATTCACTCTGTGGTTAAAGTTTTTAAAATTTTAATAACTTTCTTGTACTATTTTGGATTTGTACCAAATTTGGACAGAAGCATGTTTATGATCAAAAGTTAGTATCTAGAAGGAAATTTTGTAAAAAAATAAATCCTTATTTTCCGTATTTTACTTTTAAATGGACTTAGATTTTATGCCAGGAAACAACATATTTACTCTGTGGTTAAAGTTTTTAAATTTTTAATAACGTTCTTATACTATTTTGGATTTGTACCAAACTTGGACAGAAGCTTGTTTATGATCAAATGCTAGTATCTAGAAGGAAATTTTGTTTTCTTCCAGTTAACATTACATTCAGTCTGCAGTTAAAGTTTTTTTAAAATCAACTATCCTGGATTTTTACCAAACTTGGACAGAAGCTTCTTACAATCAAAAGATAGTATCAAGAGGAATATTTTTATTGATTTACTTCCTCATGTCTGTTGAGCCTGCGATTAACAGAAAAAGTAGGCTAGACACTGGGTTCCGCAGAACATTTACGAATTTTTTGGCTATTTTGAAAACTATAATAAATAGAAATTCTAAAAAGGAAAAATTAACATCAGGATAAGATCTACAATTATGTCAACACTACTGAAATTGTTAGTTAATTCTTAATAGAGTTGTTCCCCTTTAGTGCTGACTTTTACTATAAAGTGGCCATTGTTGAAGATGCAGATGAGCGACACAGGCTCTTTAGAGCCTCTAGTTATTGAGTTCTAACTATCATGTAAACTGTATGGCCAATCCGAATAACATAATGTAAGGAAAACAAAGCCATTGTCCTTTCTTATAACATTTTGTGTACCCCCACCTTTTGATCGTAATTATATTCCCATCTTAACGACCTGGACATAACTTTTGCTGCCAAATCGGTATCCTTATGGGATTCGTTTGTTGGAATCCTGATTCACTTACTGATGGTTTTGTACATCACACTCATTACATTATACGCTACCTCACAATAATAGCCATAGCAATGAAACTGTCTATCATTTTGCAACTGTTACACAGATCTTACAGGTATAGTAAATACATGTACAAAATAATCTGGGACATAATAAATTGACGTTAGTATAATAGTCCCAGGTATAATATTCTTTTTGTGGGGACTAATGCATATACAAACATGCCATGTTTCATTCCTAAAGTTTTCCTGTTTGTCTAAAGGTTCATTCTATTAAAATACGGTCAGTTCATGATCTATTGTGAAATAAAATAAAATGATACATTCATCAAGATAAATATGGCGATATTCTGCTTATTTAATAGTCTACACATGCACAATGTTGAGACACGAAAAAGCTATTAATGTATCAAGTATGTAATGTTTTTCACTATTTTCAAGGAAGATCCTGTATTATAAACGCCCACTTTCACATCAAATTATGAAAAAAAACAATATTTTAAACTAACAATCACTATTTGAGGTACATAAATTAGGGTGTTTACATGAATGTACAAACGAACCCCCTTCTGTTTTTAAAGGACTGAAAATTTTCTCGAAAATTGGACAGACAAAAGTTGTCACAGATCATATATCTCTAAGTAAAAGATTGAATATATACAACAGCTACAACATACGAAATTTGGATCTCGCGTATTTGTCCTTGTTTTTGATACATAAGATTCACTAAATGTATTGTGCATTTCTATATACGAACTTATCTTACTTTCTAGTATGTTTACTTACAACATAATGGAGAAATGCAAGACACAAAAGAACTACATGTACATAATTACTTGTAGTTTTACCCTTATCCGTCATTCTGCAACGAACATTCATACAGATTTATTTCTTAACACCATCCCATGTTGAGCGGATATTTAGAATGTGAGTCTACTATGATGAGATGAATGCACGTCGTTTCGTAACCTGGTCGTTTCGTACCTGGTCGATTCGTAACAACCTTGTTTTGTAACTGAGACGTTTCGTAACTTTTGTAATTATATATGGTTATAAAGTGTTAGTTTAAATTAATTAGTTTTAATGAAAAAGTTAAAGTTATTATTTAAAAATAATCAAATTGTTCATCTAATAATAACAATATTGTAATATTTTTAATTTAAAATTTTCTGAAATCTTTTTAATTATTGGCTAATTGGTTATTACACTCGGTGACAGCTTTCATGGTTTTATGACAACTAATGACAGGTAATAAAAACGCCAAATATGTCACTAACAGTAAATAAGCCCAAAGTACTTGTGATCGGTCAAAGTTTCATCCGAAGACTGGAAAATTGGATGTTAAGAACGCAATCCGACTTATCAAGTTCTGTCGAAACAAAGCTTCACGGGGTAGGCGGGAGAAAAGTACAGTCATTGAGACATTTTGATCTCCACATAGTGAAGAAATTTAAACCCGACTTTGTTTTCATACAGATTGGAGAGAATGACGTCTGTGATAAATTATCATCATCACACACAGCATCAGAGATTGTACAACTCGCAAAAGATGTCAAGCGCTTAGGTGTTCCTTCTGTAGTTATAGGCTCCAACATCGTCAGACTAAAAACAAGAAACATGAAAGAAACAACTTATGATAGAAAAAAAAAGAAGATAAATAAAGAACTAAGCAACATAAAGATGAGTGGTGTCAAGTATTTGAGACATCAAAGCACGTGGCAGAAGACTAAATACTCTGATAAAGACGGGGTACATCTAAATGATGATAGACAATTCAAATTCTTCTGTTCTATTCGCATGTGTGCAAAACTGGACTTGTAAAGTGTAAATGTATGTGCAATTAATTATTTAATAAATAAATATAGATATATATATAAAATAAATAAATAATAAATAAAATTCTTTATTTAACGAAGGTTACACATTTAACAATTACATGTTAATCTTCCATGAGGCCTTCAAAAACTATTAATACAAATAGAAAAGAAAAAAAAAACCAAAATACAAACAAAATAAAATACATAATACTGTTATACATAGCAGCTTAAATATTGAATAAGTACATATGCATTCAATAGAAGAAGAAAAAAATACATTAGAATCAAGCATCTTCATTCTGTGCAGTTTGAAAATAGTTTGAACATTTGATCTTAAATGTATCTAAATTATTTATTTCTTTAATATTATTTGGTAAATTATTCCAAGTAATAAGACCAGAATATTTAAATGTTCTTTTTAAAAATTCAGAATTAGGTCTTGGTACATGAAGAAGTCTTGATGTTGTCGACCTGAGACAATAATTATAAAGATCAGTACAAGCAGTAAATTTAATAGATAGATAATCAGGTGCTAGACCATTCATACATTTAAACATTAACACAGCTTGAAAATATTGTATTCTTGTAAATATAGTCATCCATGCAAGCTTTTTAAACATTAATGTTGATGGAAAATCAAAAGAAACAGATAAAACTAATCTTGCAGCACGTTTTTGGAGCTTATGTATCCTCTCCAGATTACAGTTTGTGGTAAGACCCCATACTGTACAACAGTAGTCAATAATGGGTAATATATAGCTATTGTAAAAAAGAATAAGACCTTTTAACGGTAAATAACGTTTCAACCTTTTTAACAGGTATATTCTGGTTGA